CGACCACCTATAACACGTGAGAGAAAAACCTTATATATATCTCAACCTCTTCTGTAGCCGGCTAAGCTGGAGATCGGCGCATTTTGTTGTGTTCTCTTTTGACTCATCTACGGTCTGCACAAGACCGTAAATTGTGAAACAATCACGTTACGATGCACCAAATGCCATTATGTTAGAAATAACAGATTTCACGACAATTTATAATGTCCTTCCTTAGCTCCATATGAATAATCAAATTCGTAGTTATCATATGCAGTTGGATGAGTAATTGAGAATTTCATTTTGTTCGCATGGACTCAATTACTTTCCAAACGTTCTGATAGCATCTGTATCACACGAATAATAAAAAAAAAGCATTAAACCCGCACATTATTTGTATTTAACGTTTGAAAATGTATCATTTGAATGCATTAGTAGTTTCAACCGAAAAAAAAAATACGTTTGGATTGAAACGAAGTGCAGGAGGACGCGAGAGTTGAAGATATTTGATTGAATTGGTAAATTATGAATCATCGAGTACAAACCTGTTGATGTAATTGAAAATTTGACTTTCATTTCTTCACGCTGTAAAGTCTCTTCTTCATTATAATGATTACTTTTGAAAATATTTTCGTCGGATAGAGAAATTTTGAAATCGTTTAAAGTTGCTTTATTAGGTCCTATATCACTAAAATCAAATCGAAAATATGAATCATTGTTTTGTTTTTCTATATCAACAAATATTCTTGTTATAGATGCATTAAAAGTTCGTAGCATACATTTTTCGAGACAAAATAACAAAAAAATGTTCATATCTTATTTGTAGTATAACATATTGTCCTTCTTGGTTTTAGGAATACATTTTGAAACCAAGCATTTTCCCCAATTATACATGTATTTGCATTTTTCCATAAAAAACAAATTCTTTTTACTGGATTTCTTTAATGTTTGAATCGTCATCTTCCGTTATTAGGCTTCCCGCTGCTTGTCAGCAGGGAACCTATTGTATTCCTGTGTTTTATTATTATTATTTATTTATTATTATTTATTTATTATTATTTATTTATTATTAATTATTTATTATTATTTATTTATTATTTATTTTTATTATTTTTTTTTCAAATTGGTCCTACAAACTTGAAATTCACCTCAAATGTGCAGAAGTTCTCAACTAACAATAAAATGCAAATTTTATGCATGACTGACCACGCTTTCACGCTCCAGTGAGCAAAACGCGTTTTCAGTTTTTTTGTGATTTCTCAAAATTGATACATGGTATTGGGTTGCAATTCATAACAATGATTAATGGACATGTTCCGGATACGATATGTCAAGGATACGCATGAGTGACCTCGGCGATACGCTCCAGTGAGCATTATAGGATTTTACATTTTCATCTTCTTCTCCAGAACGACACTACTTAGAGACTTGAAATTTACATCACACGCAGATAATAAGTCCCCCATCATAAATTGCAAATTTTATGCATGACCGACCACGCTTTCACGCTCCAGTGAACAAAACGCGTTTTCAGTTTTTTTGCGATTTCTCAAAATTGATACATGCTATTGGGTTGAAATTCATAACAATGATTAATGGACATGTTCCGGATACGACATATCAAGGATACGCATGAGTGACCTTGGCGATACGCTCCAGTGAGCAATATAGGATTTTACATTTTCATCTTCTTCTCGAGAACGACACTACTTCGAGACTTGAAATTTACATCACAGGCAGATAATGAATCCCCCATCATAAACTGCAAATTTTATGCATGACTGACCACGCTTTCACGCTCCAGTGAGCAAAACGCGTCTTCAGCTTTTTTTACGCGGGAAGCCTGTTAAAGCTGCACGCAGCTCTAGTTTTTTTTATTTGATTTGTCTGACTGACTGATGGTTGTCTAGATATCTAGAAGTGTGATGAATTAAATAATTAAATAATATGAATTATTAATTTAATAATCCTTTAGTATGAGAAGATTTTATTTGTTACTTTTTATCATCATATGCTTCGGTAAACAATTTTTCAATTTATTACAACCTTCTTCATTATCAAGATATTTTGAAGTGTGGTTATAAGAACCCCAGTAATAAATACTCAATGTTCAAAATAAAAGCCGTAACAATTTTCATCTCGGATGAGACCGCGGGCTTAAGCTAAACAATGTATCCCTATTCTGTCCTGCAAACCTGACCACGCGTATAAATATTATATTACATACTTCTGTTTTCGGCGGTAAAGTCCTCACTCCATTTAATGAATGAAAATTGCTCATTCACATCATAATTATCTTTTTTGTCATCTTGTATGGAACTCGGTATTGTTGAGGTTTGCAACTTATCAAATTCATTTCTATTATGATGCGTGTTGTCATAACCAGCAAAATATTTTATATTTTTGTCATACTTCGATATATGGCTGTTTATATTCAAAAGCCCGTTCAAAGCAATCACGAGAATTGTACAAATTACCATTGCACATAAAATGTTTTTTATCGCCTAAAACTAAGCATAACATTGCACTTTTATCTAAATTTTGTGTTTTCGATTTACAGTGTTAATGTCCACTTGTGATTTGAATGTATTGAGATGAGTACAACTCTTTTCTTTCCCGAGAGTTTCGAGTGCTGGTAGTAACAAACACTCGAGTGCAAAATATTCTCGAGCTAAAATATTTGTTTAATCAGCCTTACATTTATCATTTTTGTGGCTGAGATGCAAATAAATATTACTTATAGCGATTAAAATTTTTCCCAAGCTACGTAAAACAATTCTCAACTTTTCTATTTTAATTTTCTTATGAATCTTACGAATTCAGTAATTCGGGAAAATGGCCAAGTTGCATAATGTGCTAATTCGAATACTATTTTTAATTGTCATTATATTTATTTCCTTACCTGTAGGCCTAACCGATTCTCCTCTAAAAAACAATTGCTATAACTACAGCGATCGTGATTATCATTCTGCTTGAAACTTTTGATTCCGATTTTCATTTGTTTTAAATCTACGGATAGTTCAAAATTTTGACTCGCTTCACCTCATTTAGGAGTTCAAAAACCCAGACTGCGAATTCAATACCGGTAAATACGTAAAATCGACCTCAGAGTTTATGTATGTCCCCCACGGTCCCGAATTGAATTCGATGATTCGAAAACAAAATGTAGTCGCAGAAATAAGGTGATGTACGTGTAATAAAACTACAATAAATAATAGCTTGTAAAATCGTTTGAACCAGTGGTTCTCAACCTTTTTTTTCGTGGCCCAATTTTGTCAAATATTCTGTGTCCCATTAACTTTCTCATGCAAGGGAAATATTATACAAGAAAACACATTTGAATTGAAATTGAAAAACACTAATTGACTAAACACTAAAGGAGGACTGTTTCGATCGGAATTTCCTGTTGATTCTTTCGCTTCTATCATTTTAATTGGTAGATACGGGGTCATCAAATTATAGAATGTTGAAAAACCTTATTGAAATTCATCCATCATGCACCATAATTAGTCTATTCGTTTCATAGATTTGCAATGAGTTTGTTTGTAAGTCCATGTTGTAATGCCGGGAAGGCGATGATGACGTAAAAAGTAGCCCACTGTAAGGGGGCGATTGCACAAAATCGTTTGAGAACTACTGGACTAGATGATAACATTAGCAAAATATGGAGCTGGTTATTGTTCTATATTGCTGGAGACTGCTCTCATCGCGACTGCGACACACTTCTTCAGAATTCAGAAGACAAAGCCAATGTCAAGTTTAGCGTTAACCAGTTTTGTTGATGTTGTTATTTTAAAAATAAATGCTTGAGTTTTGTTTTGTTGCTATTTTATTTTGCGTTGTTTTTTATGCGGCTCCTTACAAATTTAAAGTTCGAGATGCGGCTCTGACACTAAATAAGGTTGAGAACCACAGCTTTAGACAGAATCGATATTTAAGTGTTTCAATTGCTTCGATAGAAGGATGAGACCCTTACATTTGCCTGTAATGTTTACATCACCAGTGTACTTCACTATTCTTGTCTGACGCAATTATCTTTAAAGTATCAAGTATTCCGGCACAAGGCATTCCCAATTGTTATAATGAACTATGACACAAACATGAAGTATTTCGTTTTTCTTTATTTCGTCATATCACCGTACACGGTAGTTTAACTGTGGTAATGTTTGAAAATTGGATAATATTTATGAGCATTTAGTCTGCGTGGGGAAAAACAAGTCGTCAGTTCATTTGCGATTCTAGAAGTTTCTAAAATAGATGCCTACGAAGGTTCCGTGTATTCTTAATACCACGCTGGTACATATTGTATCATATATATACTTGGTTAATATTCTATAAAAATCAGGCATACTTCTCAATATATATATATAAATATTTAAGTTTTCTGGACTTGTAAGTTTTCACTTCTCGGAGATGGAAGAGATCTCTAGTATATATATTTTTTGAATCTCGAAGGGCCGCTTTTCTAATTAAAAATTATCAAATTGATTTGAATTCGTTTTAGCTGTAATTTTGCCGGCATAGCGGTATTTATATTTGTGTCTAACTTTATTTTTGTTTATTCATTAAGTTCTGTTTGTGCATTTGTATTCGATATGGACCACAAGGGTGTGGAGTATGAAACAAAATGAAGCGAAATAAATATTAAGTATATACAAACGGGTATATATTCAAATTATCGTATCCAGATCAAGAATAAATACATGTTCTCGCTGTGGAAATGATGTCAAGTGTAATCTGAAATATACCATTGAAAAAAGTTGGCTACTGAAATAATTATTACATTATATTTCATTTTAAGGAAAAAATTAATATTAGTAGAGTCAGATAATTGTTGCAGTAAACAAAATTAAAAGAAAAAATATAAAAAAGATTCAGAAACGAGTGATTGGATTATATGCTTATTAGATTAGATGATATTTTATGTTTTGTTGGTAGTAAAATATTTAAAACCAATATCAACCAGACAGGTTTATTTATTTGTTATTTTAGATTAACATTGAATTAGTATTTGTTTAGAATATACGACAATTGAGTACGAATATTTTATTATCTCAGATGTGGAATTTATCTTAGCAATGAAATGATTTGCTTTCGGTCGAAAATCAAAGTTCGGTTAACAGTACTTGCATTCTCGTTGATTGTATTCATTTGTCTGACTTCTAAAAAATTTCAAACTTCATATGACCTAACTCGGCATTCAGTTATGAAAGAGGTCAATATGGGTAAAAGTATATATCCCTTTTTGCGTCCTCGTCTTTCCAATCCAGGTCATAAGAGGAGTGATCTTCCGATTACAAACTCAATCAATGTACCACGATCGTTGAGGAAGAGAGAAAACGTTTTTTCATCAATCTTTGTTCCAAAAACCGCGGATGAAAATGCAGTCAAAAAGGAAGAAGACAATAAATGCGATATTAATAGCAAAAGCACTCATTTAGAAAGGCATGTGTGGGAACAAAGCGCGGGACTCCATGGAATAATACGTACGAGGCCACAAAATGTAAACGATCAAGACTGTTTAAGTGAAACAGGGTAAGAAATGGCTTAATTTATTCACATATCACGAAGAATGATATAGTTGCTGCATGCTGTATATACAAACTGCATGTTTCATTGCTTCGGCTGAAAGATAAATAATATACAGGGTAGTCGTTAGAAAAGCAAAAAATTTGAAAGTCAGATGAGATCACGAATAAAATGCTTGCCCACTCATTTCTTGGACTTCTAGGTTAAGACACTGCTTTGAAGTGCACGGACGAAATTTTGAGCATTGTTAAGTTTGTTAAGTGTAATATAACATATGCCTTTAAAAAACTTTGTAAAAGTTATACTTTGTAAAAATAAATAGATGTTTGACAAATTTTCTGTTATTCTAGCGACCATCCTTGTAGCTGATACAATCAATTCAAAAGAATGCATTAGACACGGAAGTCTGACATTTTTAATTACCGAAATAAGATCATAGTAACAACAACATTCCTAACATTTATATGCAGTCAATTTACAAGTTCACTGTAATAAAACTGTTGAAGCGTTATTGTTTCCATATAAATGAACTTTTGTTTTGAACAAAATTTCTCTCATTTTCAACATTTTTTTCAGGATCCAAAAACAAGATTTGAACACATTTGAAACAAATTTCGATGCCGTGGAACCTTTTAACTCAACTGGAGTAAATGATTACTTTAGCGCCGATGTGTGTCATTTCGAAGCAAACCTTACAAATGAAACTGACTTCAATAATGATGTAGTTGTCAACCTCTCTGATTTGAAGAAAATCAATGAAACCATTCCACAGTCAAGACACTATATTTTCCAAAATGATAATCAAGTATTTCCTAAATCGGTTGCTAAAATTGATAAACTTAGTGTTTGGAGAAATAACTCGAATGTCACGTATGAATTTCCAATGTCGCCAGAAGGTAAGTTTCACAAAAAAGGTAGATATTTCAAATTCTACATTAGTTTGTTATTATTGTAAAAAGAAGATAGCAATGCTTAAATATATATAAACAAAGATCAAATGACGGTACTCCCGTAGTATGTGAACCAACGCAGTATGTGTGTACCAGGTTGAGGATAGGTCATAATTGTAGGTACAAATACTACGGGAGTCACTTTGTTAGTCCCCGAACTCGTAATGAAACTAAAATAAGGTAAATTGGAATTAAATTATGCCCTAACTCTAACCTGGTGCACATACTACATTCCGGTGTCCGCCATCGTGGTTCACATACTATGGGATTAACCAAATTACTAACGACAGCACAGCAGTTTAGTAAGAGACCACCTGCGCAAAAATTTGATTATTTGAAAATTTCAAATCAAATTTACAAATCAAGTGCCGTCACAGCAGCAACTTACACCAGGGTACTCCCGTAGTATGTGCAACAAGATGGCGGTCACCGGAACATAGTATGTGCATCAGGTTGGGATTAAGCCATAATTTCAGGTACAAATACTACGGGAGTCACTTGGCTAGTCCCCGAACTCGTAATAAAACTAAAATTGGAATAAAATTATGCCCTAATCTGGTACACATACTATGTTCAGGTGTCCGCCATCTTGTTGCAAATACTACAGGAGAGCCCACACCGGTACTAGTAAGGTAGTAGTTGAACACATGGCTTGCCTAAAAGATGACGTGCTTGCATATCGATGTGGTGGCGCAGTATACGCAAAACTAGCAAGAAATTGGCTGAAAATCGTTGCGCACACGATTTAGAAGAAAATATTTGCTGTAAAAAGTGTCTTTTCACAAAAAAAATAACCCAAACCACAACAACACTTTTGAAAAACGATCCATAGATACATTTCGTGTTGAATAAATTTTTATTTACAAATATACTGAGTTCTTGAAAATATAAAAATAGCATAAAATAGAAAAAGCATAGTATAATTTCATGGTGAATTCAAAGCAAATAACTAGTCTTCCTAAATTTGTTACATACTTGCTTATATGCCTGAATAACATTATTCATTCATTAACAAGACTCAATATAGTATAATACTTTCATTCCCTATCTATCACAGATGCAGTAAATATATTTGGGAATGCTTTAACAAAGTGGGAAAAACAGGAAATTTTTAATTACTCCAACATTTGGTACCTTGGACTCAGTGCAAATAAGAGTCAACATCAAGAAAACAAAACCAGTAATTTTGGATTTGATTTTAAACGGAAGAATAGAAACGGATATTATAAATCGGTATGTCATAGTTTTTGTTTAGTTATTTTCTGATTGAACAAATTTGTGTTTTTCGTAGTAAATCTTTTTCACAGATAATTCATGATCATATGGCGTACCGTTATGAAATATTGGAGGAACTTGGAAATGGTGGATGTGGATCTACAGTGAAAGCGCTGGATCACTCAAACGGTTGCTTGGTTGCCGTGAAAATAATTAGAAACTCCGAGTGGTATGGTAGAATAGAATGTTGTATAATAATATGCTGTTGTTGCAATTTTTATAAATTGGAACAAATTCTTAGAAAGATCAAAAAGGTTCATCGTTTCCACATAAAATAATTTTTTGTTAAAATATTGAAACGTTTTTTATCATTTCAACTTGATTTTCGCTACGGAAAGTTTGGACGTACGTGCAATGATGAAAAATAAGACCTACTGGGGGCCCTGGGGTTGAGTTTTTGTTTAGTACTAGCGGAATTTAACCCACATTTTTGGCATTATTGGATATTTAGAAATATTGCACGGCAGCCTATAATGTGGCACTTTAGCAATCACAAAACTTAAAAAAGTTTCTCACCTATATGAATAAATTGATGTATTCAAAACGTCAAGCCCCCCTTATGAAATATTTGGAAGACTGGAAAATGCGCTAATAACGCGTGAAATTGCATTTTGTTAAAACTGTCGCTTGTTTTCGTCAGCGCGACGAGCTATTTTAAGTAGGTACCCTCAGGTTCCTAAATAACAAATTTCCATTCAATATATGTATATCTTGTTCCACGAGTACGACGATACTTACTTATTGGTTTTCGCACGGAATTGTCTGTCGTTTGAAATAGGAATTATTAGAAAATAGTTATTCACTAAAAAACTTGTCTATATTAACAAGCGGCGTAATCGCGGGACTGTTTTAGGGGTCGTTTTCGATTACGATTTATGGATTTTCCCGCCCCCTTTTAATAATCCTGGTTTAGACTGGCCATTTTAGATAGGTCGACTTGGAGCTTATTATCACATTCGATTGCAGAAGTGTTCGTCCAAAACATAAAGCCCACTCATAACTTCGAACCCTTCATTAAATCCTAAATTATTTGCAAATATTTCCAGTGTAATGTTCTTTTTAAACTTTCAGGGACGAGAAATTCTTTTTACGGGAAGTTGAAATCATGAATATCTTAGAATCACGTCCAACCAATAACGAATATTTCGTACGAAAGCTTGATTGTTTTACCTTCCGAAACCATCAATGCCTTGTCTTAGAGTTGCTCGGGTATTTTAAATCAATTTTACGTTATAAAAAGCACGAGTATTAGAAAAAAGGTTGTTTGACTGATATGAAAAGCTTCATCTCCATAGAGATTAAATTCTTCTTGTCCTATGTAAAATTAGTTCCAATTTATTTATAAATTTCATATTAGGAACGTCGTCCACATCATATATCTTCAGAATCATCTATCCTTATTAACACTGTTTTTGAATAATTTAATGTTATAGACCTTCACTGATCCAGTTTCGGGGACGTCCTATTCAAGATTCATACTTGATGCGTCAATTTACAAACGATATACTACACGCGATGTATCACTTGAAGGAATCCAATATTGTACACACCGATTTAAAGCCGGTAACTTGTTCTCATTTTCTGCCTCTTCTTGCGCACTTTTCTTGCTTGTCCTCTTTTCGTAATCTCCTTTTCTGTGCTGATCGTTGATTTGCTCTTGTTTGCAAGCCTCTTTTATAGTGCAAAATCAGAAAACTTATATAATTTTAAACAAATTTCACAGGACAACATCATGCTAATTTACGGAAAGGAGATAAACCAAACAGAGGGTCAGCTTTTGAAAGTTGCCGATTTTGGACTCAGCTGTATTCCAGACGCACAGCCGAGATCAAGTAAGAACTTTTGATGTCTCGATATATTTTTTGAAAGTTCCATAATTTAACTTTTATTACCTATCTATGTATCTTTTTAAAAATGGTTGCACAATGTTCCATGAAACCATAGCGTACAGTGGGTAAACAAATATATTATATGGTTCCATTACATTTGAACCCACGTACATTTGAACCCATGACAATTGCACCTGTATGCTATTGCACCTATGGAATTTTTTTTGTTTCACGGATAGTTAAACCCATACTAACCCTAACCCATGGGTTTTAGCACCCGCATATAGATTGAACCCGTGGATATACGCATGGGTTCAAAATAAATGTACATGGGTTCAAATGTACGGTCACCATATTATATACCGTTGTCATATGGCGTGTCAGTACTATGTGACGTTATTTTCCGTTTTCTGAATCAGAATTTATATTTCGCGTATTTGTAATCAGTATCGGTTACACGAGGGCGGGGGGTATTTCTCTAAGTACGCAGAAGTTTCGTCTACGCAAGAATTGTATTGTTTGCGTTGGAAATTTTAAGTTCGTCTTTACTTTCATTAATCAGAACAAGAAAGCGATGCTCAAATATATGAACACGAAATAGTACGGATATACAATCTGTCGTGTAGTAGACTTCCGATACCCGCCATCACGATGTCATAAAAAAGTCGAAGACAGCTATCACGATGTCATGAAAACGTGTATTTAATATAGTTATCAGTGCAATTTAGATAAAATATCAGATCTCACAGAAAATTTAGAAACAAATGAAAGTTATAGCCCTTCAGAAGAAAAAACAATCTTTATCCACTAGAAAAATTTCAAAGCAATTGATCCAGTAGTTAAGAGAATAGCAATTTTTTCGTGTCCGATAAGACGAAAAGTTCTAACAATTACAACAACATAAAAGCAAAACGATTCATAGGTTCACTTCGTGTCCGGTAACCGAATGCTTCACTTCCAATAACGAAATATGCAATCATTCAATCAAGCCGATCGAGCCGCATTGTTGATAAACTTATCTCGCAGTAGAGCCTAAGTGTGCCGAAACTTCCTCAGGCTGAAAACGTCTGTGAGCCATCCTCATCATGTTGCCGAAAATTATGAATCCCCGCCATACATTACATAAATAATCTACTGACTTTGCAGATTATTATTGTCTGAGGTCAGTTCAAACTCTGCAATATCGATCACCAGAAAGTTTTCTTGACTTACCTATCACAAATCAAGTTGACATGTTCAGCGTGGGTTTGATTTTGACGAAGCTGGCGGTTGGCATTAACATTATGTACGGTCGAAATGAAATTGATCAATTTGCATGCATGATGGAAGTGCTTGGACCTCCGCCACCTTATATGATCTCGCCAGGAAAAGAAATATATGCAAGTATATATAGACAATTTTCCATATACGTATCTTGGTTTCCTGTCCAGCTACCAGGCTTAGTGGCAAGATATATGCTACTTGAAATTTTCGATTTCTCGATTCATTTTGTAATTGGATGACTGTAGCGGTAGCGACTTTTTAGAACATGTCAAAGCATATTTGAAAGACTAGTTATTTTTTTATCTTCTCGTTCGAATAGTACATCCGCAAGCACGAAACAGTTTTACTACAGTTTATTGACTTTTGAGGGTTCTTACACGCTGCAACCCTACCATTATCGAATGATTTTTTTTGAACTATTTTTTGTATTTAAATCAGAAGCAATCACCTACACAACTGAAAATGGATTAAAGAGAATACCAAACCGCACTCCACTGGCTTTTCTGCTTCGAGCTGTCGATGATGCTAAATTGGTTGACTTGATTGCGAGATGTCTAAGGTAAATTGAAATCACGATTATTAATCAAATTTATCAACTCTTCATCTTGGTTGGTCCCCACGTTATTCTGTCGTATTTTATAAACCTTTGAATTCTTTTTTCCTCAAAAATCCATCGTGCGCCCTATAATCCGGTGCGGCTAATGTATGGGCCAGAAAGTGCTTTATCCTTTATTACCTGCACTCAAAGCTGGTAACGTTATTGCTTTAAACGCGTTTCGTCTTATAGCCCGATGCGCTTTATATATATGAATAAAATCCCAATTTATTGACAGCGTGCCTTATGACCCTAAAATACGGTAGTTGTTGCCTATCTACCTTTCCTGTAATCATTTATAACTTTTTGTAGATGGGATCCAGAGTTCCGAATTACGCCTGAAGAAGCATTACAACATCCGTATTTAAAAGGACCTGTTCCGGCGGCATATAACCAAGTTTCACTACTCGACAATTCCTTGAGATGAAGATATGTGTTCAATTGAGAAATCATCAAAAACATATATATTTTACCAAAGTCAACAACAAATTTAAAAGTAAACCAACCCATAGAAGAATGTACTTATCAGTATCACTACGACACTTTTAACATGGCAAACACTTTTGGAATATATATTATAATAATATTCGATCAGTAACCAAATCAATCTAGCCCTACTAAAATTTCATTTACTATATATATATATATATGACACGCTTCAGAACTTGATTTTTGAAATTATGATATCGTGTGTCGGTCAGTCATTAGTTTATTTTATCACATGCCGAAGGTACACAATGGACAAACATGATTAAGATAAAAAGTGAAAAAAAAAAAAATACGTTTCAGAGTGAAGGGAGACGCGATAAACCGATGATGGTTATCGAACAGCGTCACCAAGCTAGACTTGTATGAAAATTACTTGCTCATTGGAAACGTCTTTCCGTAACCAGTTATAAAGTGTGTTTTACAACCAACTGTGTCGTTGCAGGCTTGAAGATAGTATTATCTTTAGCGCCTGTTTTTATGGCCATCGGTATGCAGATTCACAAGTGTAATCTATAATTATATGATGCACTATCATTTACTAAATTTATCTCAAACTTTTTTAATTTACAAAGCTGGTCCATTATTACAAAGCTATCATTAGTATTCGAATTCTTAATCCTTGCTTGTGGACTGTGAGAACACCTTGCACGCCGAACCCGCTAACAAGCTGTATTCAAGGTATTCATAATCCCAAAGCATGTATGGCATTATCGGATACGGAATGGACATATGAATGGTTTTCAAACTGTTATCATTGTTGGTGGTGGTGGTTTCTTCTTTTTGTGAAAAAAAAAACGCTCTTTTTAAACTACTGGATCAATTGATTCGCATTTTGCAGTGCTTAAAGATTGTTGCTGTCGCTAGAAAGATATTACTTTCATTTATTTTAAAATATTTTGTGCGTTTTATGGGATTCGTTTTTTACTTTGAAGTTTTGTGTGTTGACGTAGTCGAAATAAGGGCTCAGCAAAATATATATATTTTTTCTGATAAGGATAGATTGACTACCGGTGGGCTACTGTAAAATATTTGATACTCTTTTATTTTGGCTTTCGTGTCCATATATTTGAGCATTGCTTTCTTGTTATAATTGTATTTCTTGAGATAGAGCCGATGGCAGTTCGTGGCCTTCTTTGGACTGCACGTATCGTAACAGCAATCAAGTTCGTTTAGTAAAAATACAAATACGGACTCAAAAGTATCATGCCGGAAAACGTTGTCATAAAATAGAGTTTCTCAAAATTAGGTCGCGAACCGGTGCCGTGCGGATTTTCTTAAGAAGTGAGCATTGCTCGATTAGTGAAGCAGGACACGTTGTCGCCCGTTGGTTAAGCTTTAAAATATGATTTACAAGTCAGCTAAAGCAATTTTTCTGCATGCTTTTATGGATAATAAAACCAGCTCGCTTGCAACCGAATGTGAAGTTCTTAGCCTTATACGCCCTGGTCTATTTTATGGAAATAACATATTTATTTCACAAATCATAAATACCAGCAAGTAAATACACACAATATCCGATATACAGGATGTCTATGAAGCCCCTGTACATTTTCAATATGAAGTCAGTTCTTAATATATCTTAACCAGATTTGTTGTGTTTTAATAAGTAATTGTTTGAGTCTTTTAACTTCATTCAATACATCTGTGAGAGCCAAAACAATATATGGTATCGAGAAATTACCTTTACAATTTAAAAAAAATTTCAGAACTCTATGGACACCTTATATATAGATAGCTAAGTTTATGAAAAATTACATTGTGTGGGTATTTTACAAAACCATTGTGGGTCATCGAGGTTCTTAGTGGTAAAATACAATACGCTTTTCGGGTGTCGCTGCTCGATAATCAGTTTTGGTTCACCGCGGCTTCCCTTCCTTAGTGATAATATGTTGTTAATGTTGGATAAAAATAACTTGCCTATGACTATGACTTTAAATAGGTTAAAATTACATTAACGGGAATAAATCAGTGGGTAATACTTCAAAGTTGAAATTGCTGAGGTCATCGATTAGTGAACCAGGTTCGGAATGTTATGGAAACCGTTTAGAGTTTTTATTAAAGTCATGCCTGTTCTGAAACGTTGAATTAAAAAAGTAAATTATATCCTATTATTGGTGTTCAGTTTCGTTAGATGAATGAAGAATTAATTGTTGTAGATAGCCATATTAAGAACCAAGTGGATTTGACAGAAGCTGATGTATTCCGTAAGAAGACTTTTTGTGAGGTCGGACGGTTGTGCGAATGAAGTTTCGTGGAGTAAACTTTACTTGGAAATGTAGGGCTGCGGAAACGAACTTCAGTAGAAACGTAGATCGTTCATAATCATACCCGGATAAAAAAGATCAGTTAAAATCACAAAAAAATTGTAAAATATGGTAACAATCTTTACAGGCTTGTCAAGTGCAAAATCAGCACGTTATTACTTTTCTGGAGGAATCAAATAAATGCAAACTTAACTGTGTCACAATCACACAATGTAATCTTTTATTTTTATACTTTTATTATTTTAGTAATATTCAACTTTGCTGTGCTTCAGGTACTAAAAACTAGATATGAAGTGAAAGTTCTTTAAACGTCTTCGGGAAATGCTTCGCTCCATTGTTTGATTCGACTTGATTTTACCTGCTCTCCGATAAACTGTGCACTGTTTGTGTCCATCATTCCAAATATGCCTCCTGAAAAAGTGCTGCTATGCTTGAGAAATCAATTTTAGGCTTGTGAAGATGAAATAAAGATTATACAAGTTTTTATAAATCTTAATATGATTTAACAAGAGAGCTGTGCTCAAATATATGGACACGTCACAAGGTTTCGCTATTTTTTATTCTGCCACATAAAAACCGAATCTCTTGAAGTCCACAGAAATTTTTGAAATAAGTGAAAGTAATAGCCTTCTGGCAAAAAGAGAAAGGCAATTCCATCATGACGAATAAGAAGACTAACAAGTACAACAACATAATATTGAAACGATCGTTATGTACACTGACGTGTCCAATTAAGGAAATTACGATCAAAAAATTGTCGCGAGTGCGTGAAAGAGTTTCGTTTGCGTTCTTCAATTTTCAAATGTTATTGAAGTTGGCATTAACACTTTTACGTCTGGCGATTCATACCCAGTATAATATATATATATAATTTCATTTGTTCCAATTTTAAAAAAAAGGATATAAAAATGGTAAATGCAGATTAAAACCGTAGTGCGTTTACACCAGCACACCTGTTCTCAACCAGTGGACAACGGCCTACTACTGGGCCACGAAACATTTTGAGGTGGGCCACAGACCTCGTGAAAATTGCTAGTAATATTTCTCTCACAATACTGCAATAGGTAATTTTGATTGTAGTAGCAATGAATGACGATGCTGTTTTCTTCTATCGAGTGGTAATTCTCATTCTAATTATTATTGCGAAAGTGCCCATTATCGCGGAAAGATTTTGTTTTTCTTGTAGTGTTTCTTTTGCACAAAAAGTTAATAGCTACAGAATTTTTGTTGAACGAAAATAGACCACAAGTGTGATTCCGAAGCATCCAACCATTGGGCATTAACACTGAATGAATTTGCCTCTGTCGATAACATACCGCTTACCGGTGTGGATAAATAGAATCCGCTCCCCTTTGAATCGCTTTGGATTGTTCTTTAATTCGTCCATGAGACCTTTAATTGCTTTCCCAACATATACAGGGTCACAATATATACCGGTTGTTTTGGCGATTTCCAGATAGTAGGCTGAAAGAGAGACATTGAGATGTCATTGATTTTTATTCATGGTGTTAAACTCATCTGAAAAAATAATGAAAATGGAAACAAACCAATTTCTTCTTTTGTGAAAACGTTGTATCCTCCTCCAGCATGCCCTTCAATAATATCTACAACATCTTGAGATCGCGCGTCCAATCCAAAAATTCTCAATTTTTCATTAATCAAATTATGTACCATCTCCTCTTCGTGCGAAACAAGGATTCCATGTAATCTATAAGCACGATGAAAATTTTCTGCATATATCTAACTTTCAACAAAAGAATTTATAACTTTAAATTGATTACTTCAATTTACTACCAGTCAAATAATTTCCGATTGCAAGTCCGCAGATTGTGCCGGAAGTTCCGGTTGCAACTACAACATCATCAAAATTTCCATCAATTTTTTGCTGCATCATTTCCTCCCATGCTTGTATATATCCGTACACTCCTATCTCGGTATCGCCACCGGGTGGTATGCAATAAGGTTCGTTACCGGTGGTTTTTCTGATAAAACATGACTCAGTCACATGAGTCACATGACTCAGAATCAATGGCAAACTTTTTTGCTGCCCGGGTTGAGTTTCTGTTGCCGGGGCAAGTTTTTGATAATGCTGCCCTTTATAATTAACTTTTAAAATAATTTGGATGATAAACAGATCATAGATGTTGTTATACACGAGAATAAATAAATTAAAGGTCAAGTGAGAGTAAAATGTTTGTATTAATATTATTAGTAAAATCATCAATATCAGCAAAAAACTCACCCGTCTAGACACGGCTTATACTTACCGAATGTGATTTCTAAGTACATTTTGTTTCGCTAAAGCTTGTTCGTAATTGAAAGGCGTACATGGCAATAGATATATATTCGGGTTGGAAGATTCCATTAGCAGGAAATTGCCACTTGGTACTGTGGTTGTACAGTTCTACAATGATTTGTAAGGTTTGGAGGATGAATGGAGCAAATACAGTAATGAATTAAAACAGTTAATTAAATTAATAAAAAAATAATTAATTAAAATTAAAACAACAATGCAATAAAACAGGGTCACATGCAAACAATATTTTTCAACGCCACAATTGTACAATTAATAAAACCTTTGCATCAAATTTAAAATCGATTATCATTAGATATTGGAGTATTCAAATGCAATTTTGTTTTGCTAAAACTTTTTAGTAAAGTAAGACCAAAATTAGCGTTTGGTATATATTATTAAAATAATTACAGTAAATATGACATGAGCATTTTTGCAGAATTAAGTGGTTTTATGAGTATGAAAACGCTTAGACCACGAGAAATATAGATGAACCTCATTTATATCCCTCAGTATCAAATGACAATCTATCCCAACTTGTTTGGCAGCAATTAAAGTACTTCTTGCATGGTTTGATTGCGTAGATCCCCTCGTGATTACGCTTTTGCAACCTTTTGCTTTGGCATCAGCTAACAGAAATTCTAATTTTCTGACCTAAAACATATTATATATAAGCTGGATCAAAAGGGCAAAAAAGAATACCAATTCATGAACAGCAAATTGTAGTACCTTGTTTCCACTCAGTGAACACCCGGTCAAATCATCTCGTTTAACGAACAATTGAAAGTTTTCGGGGATATCTTTGATTTTCCATTCGTGAATAGGAGTTGGTGTCATTGCAAGCTGATAGGAAAGGGGGAGACGCGATCAAAAAGCATCGTCAAAACCAAAATCGCACCTTTGATTGCAAAGTAGTTAACGGAAGAGCGATCGTGAACCTTATATTTATATTGTAATAGCGCATAATTTAGACGGCCTAATCATTAGGGCTGGGCATTTTCGAATACCTTGTGATTTCAGAATCGAATCTCGAATACTAATAAGCGACTTTTTGTAGTAATTGGTTTTCTTAACAAATGAATTACTGAAGATATTGAATACATCACTAAGATAGATTACTGAGCGTTCACACACAATAAGAAACACGTTTTATCAATAACTCACTACAGGAAATATTCATATGTTAGAAATGCGTTGAAAAAATATGACTTCAATGAAAAAAAAATTTGGGGAATTCATCTCGACCATTGGCGAAAAAAGGAAAACAAGATGGCGGCGATTCAAAATTTAGCTCTGAACCGATTCGAATAATTTACTATTCGATTCGAATATTCGATTCGAAATGCCCAGCCCCACTAATCATATGGCCACGGCTTCTAGTCCTGTTGGCAGATCTTTTGTACAAAGCTCCAAAATGTGGAATTCGAGAAAAACACTCTCAGACGCGTTTTGAAGTATCAAACTAGTAACTAACCATTTGTGGTCAGGAATGATTTGAAAATTTGGATTCTCAGCGTATTCTGCATTCCTCACCCAAACCCTAACTGGATTATTAGTAATTTTCTTATTTTGAGCATTCGCGGTGGTATTTTTTGGCGGGGTCTTTGTACAAAAGATCGCAGTTGGCGATCAAGCTCGGGTACAAAAATTTAGTTTTATGAAACATATACGTTCAATTTCTAACGCCTACCTGAATCCTGAACTTCGGCATTACTTTCAGTTTCCTACACCATTCTGGGGGGGCATATTCTATCATTCTGTTGTATTCTGTTGTTTCCATTTTGTCAGCAATAATTCATAATACACTGCGTTGGGTTGCAGAAAGTCTTATAATTCTTTGGACGCACTCATTCACGTTCAGAAAGACTCGATTGATTGATTACATATTATAACGTTTCTTCTTGCCAAGGTCAGACTACGTAGTTGAATAATCAATGTCTGAGGAAGTCTGACTTTGGTCAGACGAAACGTTACATAAAGATAATGGTGCTAGTTTAGCGTGAGGTCTACCGCTATATGTAGTCTACCTGAGGTATGTGTGATGTCCTCATGATGTGATGTGATGTCCATGAGCGAGTGATGGTACAACGTTAGACCTCACGCTACAATGCTAACAGAGGTAGATCTCACGCTTAAGTGCGATAGACATCACCGTAAAACAGGGGCCGGCAAACTTTTGTCGTTCGCGAGGCAAAATTAAAGGTTGCAAGTCATTGACGGGCCTCTCATATTTTTAAAAAGTTAAAAACCGAATGGATGGCTGATGAATCAAATTTTTCTACACAGATCAGAAGGTAAATTTTAAGCAGTGTGCGAAGACTGACAATTTGAATATTTTCTGCACTATTAAACCATTTGTACTTAACATCAACTTTTTTGCGTTTTGTTGCCATTTGTCTAACTATAATTAAATTATAGGCTCATTAAACGAGTAATTGTGAATTATATACTTGTTACGTTATAACATAATCTAGTCTACGTTAAGAATATGTTACGTAAAAAATATAATCGTCAACACAGCTGTACTGTTACTATAATTCAGTGAAGCGTCGCGGTGAGAAAATCAGCGTCGTAAGAGAAAATCAGAATTAAAAATGAACACAGATAATATGCTTGGGACATAAACAAGAGAGCGATGCTCAAATATATGGACACGGAGTAGTAAGGTATACGGTCTTTTGCAGTAGCCTGCCGTAGCCGCAGCGTCCACGACTTCGCTGGACCACAAGATCGCTGTGCAAAGGCGGAATTGCCACAAGAACGCTATTTTTGATGACGTCATCGCACAAAAACGAATCACCTAGAGTCCACGGAGAATTTTGAAAGATATTGAAGCCTTCTAGAGAAAAATACAATCTTTTAACTGGACCTTTCCCCGACCTTTGACCCCAGAAAAATGTTTCCTATACTTTACCATTGCAAAATTTTCGGGGCTATTTTAAGAGTGCTTTCGCGAGTTGACGCCTGTAAAATGTATGTCTTTCAAACCATCATTATGATTCATCACATACAACAATCTGTTATTTAAAAGTACCGGAGAAAATTTTAGCCTAGTCTATCACAGCTATTTCTACACTCATTTTTTATTTCTGCAATTAAATTAAAACTCCTAGGAAGACAGAGTGATTATTGAATTATCTGATTTATATTTAAGTTTTCGAAACACAACTGAAAACTAACGAGTAGGGTTAAAAAACGCGAAAACGAGGTAATGTTTAAAACCACGCTCGAAAATCTGTCTGAGTGAAAAAAGTGTCTGAGCGGATACGAAGAGGGAGCATTGTTACGTCACTTTTTGCGTCTTGCTGATTGGCCAATTTCACGATGTAAACAAAGAAATCGAAGCTTGGGGAAAGGTCCATTGGTCCTGTGATTAAAGAGAAAAGCGATTTTTAAAGAGTGATAAGGAGAAATATTCTAACAAAAACAACAACATAACAAACAAAACGATCCACGTTTCCAAAAACTAATAAAACCTGTACCACGATAATTTCATATTGCAACGAAAAAACGATTACCTTACTTTTTCAAGAAGAATTCTTGAATCTAATTTTTTAATAACACCATGTACTATTCTTCGATTTAAGTGCTGATACCACGAACGCAATCCCTCCACGCAAAAAAAATGATTCAACATCCGTATATTAATTTCTCTTCAAAACATTCTGGATCAAATCCAAAAAGATAAATATATCGAGAATATCAACCCACAATCAGCCAATATCGATACAAATACCGATACCAAAACATTCCGATATTACCATTTTCCTCTCTACCACACAATCACGATATTTCAACCAAGTTACCATTGTGAAGTCACAGGTTTTAATTTCTAATTCGATATGCACTCATCCCCTCATATTTGAAATCGCCAGAAATACTTTGCTCCAATCGTGGTCGTACGTGGTGCTGAATAGATGCTGGCCTTGAACTAAGCGCGGAACGATCAAGGAATTAGAGTAGTTACAAGAAACTAGGACAAGCCGGTGGGCGCCCAGGTTCTCCGCTGATAGTGGAGGCCCGCACTCAAGTAACTGATTGCCATCCATAGAAACTTGAGGATCTTTAACAGCGGCGCGATCAAGTAAGTGAGCGAGTTGCCAAAAAGTCCAGTTCATTTTAACGCTGCGCATTTTGTAGACATACTCACGTGACTGATATGAGGTGACTAAAAATTGAAGAATAATGTCCACTAAAATCCCTAAAGCTTCTTCAGTTCATAGAGTATCGAGATCAAAGACGACTTATTGAATTTTCCGTGCGGAAGGTAGCGTTCTTGGAATTTCAACTTGGCTAACGAGTAAACGGCGATAAGTTGTGAAAAAAATGGAACTTTCTTAACGATCGGCGCGTTATTCGTCGTTGCCATGGAAACGAAACCTACATACGGACTTTCTATAAAACGTGCAGTACTAGCGTGATACTTGTTTTTTGGTACTATGTCTGCGATAAAATATTAAACACTATAATTATATGAATTTATTGTACAGTGATACCTCGGTAGTCGACAAAAACATTCGAGTCAAGAATGCTTTGTTTTTAAAACGGAAATTCGGATCTCCAACAGCCGAGCGGAGCGCGCGGTCGAGTGAGATGACAGGTCAAGACTGACGGACGAAAATCTTGGTATGCAGTTTAAAAATTCCAAATCGTCATTTCGTCTTAATATAAAGCACTTAGTGAAGCAAAAAACTGTTCAAAAATTTCACTAAGCAAAACCTGAATTGAATGTTCTATTTTTATTTTATACTGCAATATTTCATTGGATAACTTCATCTTTGTGGATGCTGTTGTTCGTTTTTGTTGATGAAAATTAATATAAGCATCATACTATGCATGACTAAAAAGTTGTGCGGCCCTCTTACTCAGCGATGACTGATGAAATGGCCCGCGAAAGCAAATGGGTTCGTCACCCCTGGTCTAAACAGACAGAACGACTGATAATAAGGGTCCTAGAGCGGAGATCCAACAGAACGACTGAGTACAACCCTAGCACAAAAAATCCATTGGTGAATGGGATTTCGTCTTGATTGCTTGCAGCTATAGTATACAGTTGATAACATGAAGCCGAACCCCTTGTCACAGTTTTACATTCTGTTTTTTTTTTTTGCGTTATAGAAAAACTCCTCACGATGTAAAGATCACAGTTAGATTAGAGACAAATTCACATATTTTGAGAAAATGTATTTCATAATGTACACCATGCTGAATGCACGAGAACGTGTAATTTCGTTTAGAATGTCACTCAATACGCTACCTATAATTGGTGCAAAATTATAAGCGTTCAAAATAGCCAATACTTAGAATTTTTTCATTGTCCTACTGATACAGAACCGCAAACCCTCCAAGTGAGAGAGCAACTTCGCTAAGAGACTGAGTTTAACAAAAAGCGTAGGTGGAAAAGAGAGTGGATTCGGTGGTGAATGAATGGCGGGGGAAGGAAAAAGTGGGATATCACAACGTTTCTCACAATAAAACGAGCAAATAGATGTGGTTTTTGTTTATTCAAAATCTTTATTCACAATCACGAAATTTATCCCTAAGAATTAAGAAATTTATCCATGAGAACGAGAATGACGACCCAAGTTAAGAAATGTTGATCTAAAGGAATCTTGAAAGTATACGAGAACATTAATAACGTAAAATGACCACTCTTGATCCCGAGGATAACGACGATCCGCATTCATCTATTGACTTTGGTAAAAAATGGATGAAGTAATGCTTCTTTAGGCGTGATTCTGATGTTAGCATCCCACCTGAATAATTGAATACAAATCTTGCAAATATTCAAGATTACCGAGGCTCATATTGTACATTAAGAAAGTAAGCTTTTTATCATAGATTTTTCTTCGATGTTTAATATTCCAAAAATCTAAAATAGGCCTACTTACTCCAAACATTTTGAAATTAAATCGAACAGCAGTGGATCAATGTCTCTTAAAACATAATCAAGCGGTCTCCTTCCGGGTATGCGTCGCAACCATGTCCTAGTTGCACAGGAGATTGCTTCTGCAAATATAATACATTGCATTAAAAACTGCTAGTTTGTGTTGTGTCTGTATACCTGCTGTACATTTAAAAAAATAAAAACTGAATTTTGATAAACATCGACATTGCGTTTATTTGCGAGAAGGTGCGTGGCTATAATATGCACAGGCCAGCAATGTTAAATTTGTAGATATGCGATTCAATCAAGTGATTTTAACCAGTTTGGTTACCAGAACTGGTTTATCTGAAATGCTCTTGTCGAGGTTTGCGACTAATCATCAAAAATAGAGTCGAAATAGCTTTCCCAATACCATTCGTAATCTTGCTGACCTAGTTGTGATGTTAGAAGCCAGTTCTACGTCGCAGAACAAGTTGAAAACTATATGTTCCTTTATAGCAATTAATCCCCAAATTTACCCCATTTCATGGTAAAATTAGGAAAACAAAGTTTATTTTACCCAAATTTATAATAATGATTTTCGTAGAAACAACTTATATATATATACAATTTGAGTCATAAGAAGCCTATTTTGTTCATAGCTATTATTAAATGAAAATTCATTTTTTCGATAATTACTTGCTTTCCACGTGGTACGATTCATTTACCAAAACTTGAAGGGATAAGATGTCCCTGAAGTAACTGACTGGGGTTTGACGAACTCGTGACTAGATGCTCTAGGAACGATCAAATATCGTAAGCAGTGATGGGATTCAAATTTTTTGTCAGACGGTTCCATCACAAAAGTCATATTTTTTCAGCCGGTTTTGTTACAAACAGAACATTGACAGTAACCAGTAATGCTAACCGGTTCGCTGTTCTCAAAAAACTCTGTGAGACGGTTCTATAGAACCGATGCGAACCGGCTGAATCCCACCACTGATCGTAAGTCTCCCCAGACGAGAATGAAAAAAAGTTTGGAAAATCTCTATATATATGTTTTTATTCGTAAATTTCCAAGACACACAGAATACAAATCTTAATCTTCTCCGGGCTAGAACAGCTTTTTAGTTACATAGAAAAGCTTATTTATATGTTATTCAAACAACCAATTAATTTTAAAGATGTGACTTCGTGAGTTCGCATCATAATAATTTAGTAAATAAAAAGTATTTAAATGAGCTGAACCTGTCAGGTTGTAGATTAATTGGTGGGAAACGAAATTTAATTTGATAATGACAAGACGGAACATGCTATGTTTCTAAAAGTGGTGTAATTTGATTCCTACAAAAATTCTTGTTGGAAATTTGGGAAAAATTAACTTTGTTTTCATAATTTTAACATGAAACGGGGTACATTTGTGGGTTAATTTCTATGCCTCCACTATTTATATTCACAATTGAGGTACTGAACACCAATAGTTAGACATACTTGCATATATTTCTCTTCCATTTGCATGTGAAATGATATATGCGGGAGGAAGACCAATAACTTCCATCATTGCTGCGAATTGATCGACCTCGTCTCCACCAAAAAATGGAGCAGTGCCGAGAAAAAGTTGTGCCATTATCACACCTAAACTGAACATGTCCGATTGTGATGATACAGGTAATTTTAATAAGCTCTCCGGCGATCTGCAATACAATGGCTGGAATTCGATTCCTTGTCGACAACGGTAGAGTAAATCTAAAATATCAAATCAATGCTGTTCTCATATCTTTGTTTATATAAATCTTAAAGGAAGATTCATTGGGGTTCAGTAGAGACGCCTAGAACAAATCTTGTGACATCTATGGCTTCTGTATTCTATAAATAAGTATCACTTTGGTACGTGATTTCACTCAAAAAAGCAAAGTTTTTTAGTAAAGATTTAAGTGTTGTTTCCAATACTGCACGAGGTTGCAAATCACGAAGAGTAGAATAACACAAAGTCTTACTACAAACAAAGGATTAGGTGGTGGCAGATACGATAAAAATATATTATTTCTTACTTTCCGCATCAGGAATACAGCTCAGGTCAAAATCTGCAACTTTTAGTAATTGGCCTTTGCTCTGATTATTTTTTCCATGCATAAACATTATATTTTGCTGTAAATAAACGGCAATCAAGTTGAGCAGTTATTTGAATAGAATGACCAGGAATGAAGATCATTAAAAATTAAAGAATATTATTTGCAATCTTGATTAGAATACAAATTTATTTATTATCCCATCTCCAAAATATTAAAAATAAATCAATTCGTCGGTACAAAAATGTTTCATTTGACTATTTATTGATTATTGTATAAATAAGCAATTTATTTAAATTTACCAGTTTTAAATCTGAGTGGAAAATGTTGAGTTCACTCAGATAATATACCGCGTGCATGATGTCGCTCGAAAAACGTCGTAATAAATCTAGACTTTCTACTGGACGATTGGAATAAACATCATGTAATGAATCTCTAAACGGATAATAATTAACTATAATATCTATATAGACTTCCAATTCGGTAAATATAAAGTCAATATTCAAAGCTACAATGACGTCGGCAATTTATTTTCAAAGACAACAATCAGTGTTTATTTCGATTCCTCCCGTAAGTACGTCACAAACAGACATAACAAAGGGGGAAGCCGAAAAAAAAGTTAAATTTAGAACGGGCGAAGCACTTCTTTTTCATCGAAACAAAAACAATAACACGCAACGCACATATATATGTAAAAATACGAGTAAACCATTAAAGAAAGCCCTTCAATCTCCATACGTTGATCCTAATCAAATATGTGTTTCGAGGAATGCAATACTATATATACTGAAAAATTGAGAACTGAGTAATAATAAATAAATAGAAATGTCAAATTACCCCAATAATTTTTGAACGATATAATGATGATTTCGAAAAAAGAATGTATCAAACATCCGTGAAAAATAATTTGTGTTGGTTGCTTCTGTTTCTATATATTTCATGATTCCTAATTCCTTCGTGAACATAACTTCACCCCTGTAGTTAAAACAAGGTGGATCAAATAACTGAACATCTTGAGTACACTATTATCAAAGAATATACATCCTCGTTTAGACATAGCCTGTGGTAACGTCAGTCAGTCAGTAGTTTATTTTATCACATATCAAAAATACACAAGAACGATTTGGAAATTCTATCATTGACTGTATCACAGATACTCATATTCCCCCAAGTAACTTGGAATTGAAAAGGTGAAACCCTTCAAACTAGCATACGTCAAAATTCTCGGGGTGAGAATCTAAAATAAGATCTAGTTCTCCAACACTTTTCGAGTGCAACTTTGGATTCATGAACGCCGGAACGGAAGCGTTTTCATGAACATAGGGAATTGCCTCAAATTGTAGAATTTATTAAAAAAGAACAGATCAATTGTATTGCTGTTACACGTCGTGAATGTGTCAGTAGTTACACACAGGAGTTACTGAAGTGCTTCACTGATTTCGTTTGATTTGAGCTCGCCCTCATTAAAAGTTATCACTGAAATACGTAAAAAAGTACGCTTTGTAAACAATTCGTAACCTGACCGGTCATAGTAAACCACCACTATATGTCCGCCTTTCCTGGTATATATAAGAGAGCAAGAGATCTAAATTTATTAATTCACGAGCCCGCAATGAATATGCCATTTAAAACCACCATGGCTGGGTGGTCGGTCAAAGATTAGTGCATCTGATGATAAGAGTTTGTATCGCACATATATTTTTTCAATACCACAATGTTTTGTTATGTTTCATGCGTAAGTATGTTTGTAAAAAAATAACCATTACCGTTTTGTTGTATTGACCAATATTTTAATCGCAAGCAATTCATTATTTGAATGATCCAATACTTTCACGGTTGTACCTGCCTTGCCCATTCCAAGTTGTTTCAAAATTTGATAACGATATGCGATGTGATCGTTCAAAACCTATAGAATTGCAGAATCAGTAAAATAATTCATAAGAAACTAAAAACATAAGTAACTATGATATAGATCTAACCACTTTATAGTGTCCTTTATATTTTCCTGACTCAATATCAAATCCGTAATTGTTATCAGCCTCTTGTTGAGCTTCTGTTTTGTTTGCACCTTCTCCTACGTACCAAATCTTTTCATATTTCATGATTTCTCTTTTCTCCCACGGAGTTAGTTCATCTCCAAATATTAGTAGTGCATCTTGCTCAGAGAAATAATTTAAGGAGATGTTTATTAAAGTGCTATTATCGTGATTAATTTTTTTGTATATATAGAGAGAGATTATAAATGCCCCTAGAAGCAGTAGAGAGAAAATATTGGATGCACTAATGGTTCAAATACATTAATTTTTTCAAATGGCTTATTTATCAAATCCTTTTATATTATAGAAAATAAAAAGTTGCTTATGTCGATTCACATAATATTTATATTGTGGCAATTGAAATAAAACACCTAATTTGCAATAGTTTATGAAATTTCTTCTGACCTTCTGGTGAATGGGGCAACGTCTGTGTTGGATTTGAATGTACAATCTCATAGTCAACTTTCAAGCCTTTCAAATCTGTAGAAATTTTCAAATAGATTTGACTTTAGGCTTTCGGTTGGTTGATATTCGCTCGTGAATTGAAATCGGGTATACACAGGTAACGTACATAAATTGACAGCAAATCTCACAGAAATACGATTTTATCGATACAGAAACGTTCTCCATTTTGAAGCCCCGAATATTGTTCAACCTGATATACGAAATGATTTTTGGGAATCTAACTAACTTTCTGGAGTAATAGGAAAAACTTGCTCTCCGTTTGAATCTACCAAATTGCCGTCATCAAGTTTCTGGCCTATAAGAAATTTTTGTAATGGAATGAAATCGGAAAAAAAAAATAAACTCTAGAATTGAAAACAAGACTTCACAGCATTTTATAAAATATTTCAGGATTCTACATTAATCTGGAAGAAAATGATATTATAGAATGATAAATTTATTAAAGACTGACCACTGGTTGTTGAAGAATCTAGAGGCTATTCTTGTGCTTTTAGGGCTATATATATTATTTGGCTAGTCTATAATTCTATATATATTACTAGATGCTTTCTAAAAGGTTTATGACACGGAAACATGTTTATGACATGAAAAAATACTTGTGATATTCTTCTAAAGACTTCTTCTATCTTTAAGCCCTAAAAGTTTTAAATCGGTCGGTCTACTTGCAAAGAAAAGAGTTTCTGTAAAAAAAACAGTCCCCGCAAAAACACCGTTAGACGATTAACAACACCAATTTTACAAACCGCTCTATAATTCCACTTCCTGTCTAATAAAAATAAATTACCAATGGTCTCGTATCGTTCTTCGTCATTATCCTGGAAGTTGTTTTCCAAAATATCTTCGAAGAATAAGCCAGTGGCTGCGAAATGCGAACTATTCTCAATACCGGGAATGCCCAATTGGCGATTGAAGCTTCTGACAACATTGACGTCGTAATCACCTTGGTTAAATTTATATTGTTTATCAAAACTAGTTTTACCTGTTTTGTCACGTAACTCATCAATTATCCGAGTATCTTCTTCTACATCTAATCTCACTTTTCCAAGGTCAAGATTCTGTTCCGAAGTCGAAATTTCGATTTGTGTTTTTTCCGCAACCTCCATACAAAAGTGCCCAACTTGATTTGAAAATGCATTTTTTGCTTTGATATAAGTAGTTTCTTCGCCGTTTGTTATTTTATACATTGTAAAATAACACGGAATAGAGACGAAAAGGAAAAATATCAGCGCATAGCGGATTTTTGTTCTTGCATGCCAACAATGCATGGTTACAGAATTTGACTGCTTGTGATATTGTGTTTTTATAGCATCGATGTTTTCCAAAAGAATATTATTTTAAATATAATAATGTTGCAGAATATTTATTCCTCATTTTCATTTAATAAATAAATTTTTCTATTTGATAAATTCAACACTTGAAAGTCCCTGCAAACATAAACCAATGAGATTTTATTGTAACTGAATAAGGCATAGATTCCTTAATTCAAGGGTATATTCCATATACAAAAATAAATATTATTGTCTATCGCAAGCTGTTTACATTTCTTTCTTTATGTCTCTTCTACCTATTAGTATAATTTTACATCGTTGTAAAAAAAATAATCTGAATAATACGAAGCTAAAACTTCGTAAAGAAGTTGAACTTGATATTTTATTGATTATTTTATTTACATTCATCAGTGGATAAAGCGAAATGACTGTTAGAAATTCCTTTTTTCGTATGTTGAATATTCTGTTGGATGACTTTGTGGTTTGCAAAGAAGCACCACTTAACACTACTTTGTCAACCCCAAAATTGACTTTCTATCGGACGCGACAAGTTGCCAATGTGTTCTTAAATATTGATCGTGTACTTAAAGATTCCCGAATAGAAGATGAATCCGTTACAATCTTGCTAGTGGTGCTTTTTTGTAATCAAATTTGGTCTATATATTTTGTGTGTAATACACAGGCGGTATTCTCGTTGATATCTTCGGTAAAGTAGTCTTGAATTTTTCACAATAGGCTTATAAGCAATATTTGAATAGGGACCAAGAAATACCAACCATCAGCTGAATAAGGGCCAAGAAATGGATATCAGCCAAATACCTTTACATGCATTTATTGCATATTAAGAATACTTCCAGACGACCAGCTATACGCAGTGCTTTTTATTATTATTATTATCTTACAGTTGCACATACATACATCACCTTATTTTTTAGTGAGCGGGACTTCAAAATAAATTATGTCAAAGCGGTATTTCTGCGATGCAAAATACTTAAAAGCAACAAAAACGGATGAAATATTGTTAGTAACAAAATCTGTATGCGTACTTCCGCATCTATTCTTTTCCATCTGGAAACGAAATGAATTTTTCATTGGAGAGTGGGCTACTATGGAGTGTTAAGAGTCTTTGTACTGGCGCCGTGGATCATGAAAGTTTGGAGAATCACTGCTCTAGCACGACACCAAACCGTGACTACTCGAGCGTATGAGTCGTCAGGATACTGTTGCTAGGCGACAGCCTAGGCGTCAGCCATTGGTCCGAGTTTCTGAATAGATTGGTGAATAGGTTGCGCTATCGTCGCTGTGTCTTTAAAGCTTGCTAGTCCTGATATTCGATACCACATACGTAAGGAGATATCCCTTTATTTATGGTTTGGATTGTTGGAATTTGTTTTACGATTAAATAGCTCCGAACAAATTGTGATTTGTAAACTTAACCAATTAAAATAGCGAATTAATTGCTTTTAAATCTATGTTTATGATTAAATATTTTCCGCATAAATATTAAACTTATCATGTATTGAATGTAATTCAATTTTAGCTGAGCAGAGTGGAAATGTTGAACAAATGTTTTTCAGTGACCTGTAGCTTATGTTTGTTTCCTTTGTCTGATTGTTATTTGCCCTTGATTGTTTTTGTTTTGTCATAATTATTTGTTATTGAACATATCAGCATATCCTCATTATGAACTTATGGGCTTAGTGAAGTAAACGCTGTAACTGCTCACATAACGCCTAACTGAATTGTGATGTGAAATGAAAGCTGTAACGGTTCAAATTTTACGAGACCAGAACTTATGATAATAGCTTACCTACGGGAGCACTGAATTTGAGGGGCCTAAGATTCTAATTTCACAGATTGAATCATCAGATATTCAGGAGCGGATGAGATATAGATTATAATAGGGTCAGATTCGTATATTAATGTATTTCATAAATAATAGTTGAGAGCAAAAATTATGCTATCTGAGGGACTTCCAATATGAGGGAATTCTAATGCATCAAAGAAATGAAAATAGCAAGATGAATTCTACGAGAGTGGGCAGTTTTTGTTAGCTAGATATTTCCAGAATATTATAATGAAACATATCCTAGCTTAGGCTTTAGTACAGGCATGTGCCCAATGTGGCTCGCTATATGCTCGAACATGGCAGACAAACAGTTTAGTAAAAAGTAATTCTTTGTTTTAAATAAACCTAAATTGCCATGTCTTTTCACACATTATTAGCTCATGGCGCTGTTATCGGAATCCAATCTTTTTATGTTTTTCTATCAATCGCTTTTATGTGGAATAGGTGAAGATATTGTTTTTGTATTATGTACTTGTTTCAACTCAGATGGTAGCCATTCAGAAAAATCAGAATTATCAAAAGCAGCAAATAATATTGTGTGATTGGGGAAGAAACCAGAATTTTATTGCAACATTTGTCTCAGCTTTATGTCTCTATGTGCATGATTTTTTTTTTTTTTGAATTTTATGCAAAGGCAATCAATATTCTTTTTTGTTAAAATACAGCTGTGTATCCTTTTATGAGAATGTTTTCATCAAAATCATCCATTGTAAAATAACACGCATGACCCAACTTTATTCCTCAAATCAAGAATGTGGCAGAATCTTGGTTGAATGACTTCATCTTCAATTTAATCTTACTGCATTACAAAAGCGCAAATAGACCTTAGTTAGTAGAATAGAACAAAAATATAATGAAATAAAGAATATTGAAATCTTAGCAATTGTATTGAAGTTATATTATATTTCATGTTATGCTATGTTTTTCCAAGTATTTTTTTTGTTATAGGCTTTATATATTTATGATCAGCATAAAAGTGATAGTTTTACATTGAAATTTAACAACTAAGATACTTTCATTAATTTATTTTCTCAATCTACAGTGTTATTTGTGTATTTGTCATAGTCTAAAATGGCCAAGTTAATCCAAGCCCCACCAAAGTTTACACCTCCAGAATGGCACACATCGAATTTCATTAAATATAATAATGCTGAAGGTCAAAGGTCAAGATCTGAAAGATTAATTGATGAGAGCAGAAGACTTATAGAAGAGGTGGATAAAACGACAAGACGCAGTCAACGAGATGTTAACAAAAAGATTGGTAAGATAATTTTCATACAAAATTTATTGATATGATTTTTATACAATATTATATACTTCTGAATTAGTAAAATTCATGAAACTTCAATTTCGTAATTGAACATTTCTTGTTTCCTACATTATAAATTTGCAAATAATTGCATAGGCCAGTGATGTCAATGATATTCCAGATACATTTATTGCTGAATAAAATGCATATTATATTAGTGCACTAATATCTGATGATTCAATTTGAGTCATCAATTTGGGCCATTTCAAGAAATTTTTAGTCGTATATCCGATTTAGGTAACAATTGAAATAGGATAGCAAATAGATGATAAATCAATAATATTTTTATTGATTTTTTTAAATGTACATACAATATATTAATTATACAAAGTACATAATGCTTTTGTTTTTATTTTAATTTTATGAGGTACATGTATCAATTATTCTGGAGTACTTTTGAAAACTACGTATTTATTTCATTGCAATATATACATAGCATTCATTTTTATTTCCAAATTTCAATTATTAGATCAAAGATTGGAAGACATAAATTTTTGGAAGTCTGAATTAGCAATCAAGTTATCGGAAATAACAGATGAAATTGATACTTTACTCGAATATAAAGCAAGATTGGAGAAAGCATTGCAAGCATGTGATGAACCCCTCGCAATTTCTCAAACTTGTCTTATTAACAGGTAAAATATTTCTTTTATTTTTCTGTCCTAATGCAATTATAGCCTACAGTATGTTGTTACATACACTGCATCGGTCTTGGTGATCTGCAAACTACCTCTATATGGAGAAGATATGTTCTACTATTTACGTACTTTTTCTAATTACTATCTGCTAGAATTCTAGAATGTTATAACAACCTTTCTATATCTTCATTCCTTATTCGATTTTTAAATTGCATATGGTTTTAATATCCACTTTTGAGGAAAGCCCAAAAGGGAACAATGTTTATCTACCAGTTACCAGACCACGTCAGGCATTTAGAAAGCTAACTAGTGAAAAGCTTCATCTAAGTGCAATGAATTAGATTGTTGAGAAAGCCATGATCAACAAGCAATTAGGTGCATCTTGCAATATCATGGTGTCTTGTAATCCTGAATTCCGCACAAAATTTTATTAAGTTATTAGGTCAGGATTACCTTGAAGTCTATTATATCATATAAACTATCATTTCGAACAAAACACAGAAGCAATGTATCAACATAAAAAAAAGAAAAACGCCTATTGAGGATCAGGCCTGTTGAGTTGGAGTTTGACATTTTTCACTGGAATCTGTGCCGAAGTTGTATTATCGAAGTCACCCGGAGTCAGAGTCAAAATTTTCTGCCAAAACCTAAATTAATTATATTTACTAAGCTTTCCTAACAGTTTACTAAATAAAGCTTGCATATGCCAAAGTTCTTATCATCAAAATATGATTTTCTTCATAGTTTAGAGCTGGATTTGGAGTTAAAATATGCATCAACCTGAAGTTAGAAGTCGTTTTTTCATTTTTTTTTCAATTGTAAATTTTCTCTGTCTTGACAGCCCTGTTGGGGATATAAAATGTTACCAACCAAACAGTCCTATTGCGAAGCTATCTCATCACATTTTGTGTTCAGCTCTCTAGCTCTATTCATGCACAAATTCTTTTTTTGCAGCCGAGTACATTGCGAAAGAATTGGGAGAATTGACTAGCTTCATATCACTTTATATTTTATCTCATTTTACTTTCAGAGAAAGTCGTGTCTCTATCGATCTAGTTCATGATTTGGTAGAGAAAGAACTTTTCAAAGAGGTTGAAGTGATTCAAGGGGTTCAAGCACTACTGAAAAGAACACTTGAGCAGACTGTAGAGCAAATTAGGTATGAATATACTTTGTTCTAGTAAAATGGAACATTCATATACTCACCCCATGATATCCAACAAATAAGAAAAAAAAATTTTTTTTTGTGTATTACTCACCTAGGAGAGATACCAAGTTGTTACTTGTACATTGATTTGGGTATCTTCGTACTCTAACCCAGGGACCTGAAAACGGGCTCAGGTCAGAAATGGAAGATGAATCGAAAAGAATAACTCGAATTAGTCTTGGCTTGACAAAAATAGAATTTGATTCGACTGACTCAAGTTGAATTGGATTCAAATTGACGACATAGCCTACACTTGAGCATTTGTATTACCTTGTTGAGATCACATCCTCTGAATTCTTTAGCGAGGATAAGTATTTCTTGGTTAACTCAATTCGACCAACTTTGGAAACTGTCTTGATCATCCAATTGTTCTCTCTTTGCATTTTCATGAATTAGGAATTCAATTTAATCGAAAAATTTAATTAAAATTAATGCCATTTACCGAAAGTTGGACATTGGAGAATTCAAGATAAATAGTTTTATCCATTTGGGGCACTATAGCTAATAGCTATGATTATGTTTACAATGAAATTAATAAAAATTTTATTTATATTACTATTTTGTAACAAAATATATCCCAGATATTCGTTTTAAATAGATATTGATTGCAAACTACATAGATTTGGATAGTTTGAGATCCCAAAATATTTTCAGTGTTGCTGATTGAATTTAACCTATTGAATATTGATACTGGTTTCTAAAATTAAGTATTGTTATTAAATCTATTTTTAGGCTAAATCGTTCTGCCAAATATTATTTGGAAAAAGATTTGAAAGACAAAGCCATTGCTCGGGATATTGATTCATTATGTGCAGAACTCAACAACAATACGAGCGGAATCTCATTCAGAGCCAATGTTGTGAGAATAGATTCAAAGTATGTCCACATTGTTCATTCAAATACTTTCAACTTTTCTTATTTTTCGTTGTTTTAGCCTACGTATTCACATTTACAATAATACACAACTGTGTTGGGGAGAATCGAGTCATTCCTCGACTTGAGCTGGAATCCAGTCACCAAACACAAGAGACTCGATACAATGACTCTGACTCCTCTCCTCAAAAAACTGCAAGTGATAGCATACTCTTTGATTACTTTGACTCGAGGCTTAAATGATTCATGACTCACTCACTAAGGTTCAGAGACTCAACACTGATACACAAAGTTATATCTTACAGTATATTTCACCCTTTATTTGTCTGAGCAGTAATCTTGTACCACCGGCGCTATCCAGAGCATTCTACATTGCCAAGTGTTTTATCTTTTTTTCCAACGAATTGGTGAATAAATAGTTTTTGAATTGGCAAAATCTCAGTTATTAAACATGAAGGTGTAGGCAGCTATCAAAGATATGAAAAGAGAGAGTATCCAGGCCAAATACGATATAAATATAGAAATACTTTCATGCAATTATTTCTATCTACCTCCTTTTGATTATTGAAAATAATCCCATGTATTTTTTCACAGAGACTGGAATCTTTCAGGTGTAAAACTTGGATCAGCTCTTAAAAATTTTGTTCTATTTCAGCTCTGTGACACCACATGACTGGGCCTTGTTCAGTAATGCGAACATCAAGAAAGCTGAACGAGAAAAGAATAGTTCAATCACATTGAGAGCTGGCATTGATGGCGTTCTCAAACAAACTGCAGATGACATGCAGACACAATGCAATGCTGTAAACCTGTCATTCAGAGAAAGAGTTGCTGAAATGAAGGACGCAAAGAATAAATTGGAGAAACACCTGGATAAGGTTTTTTGCATTTAAAAAATTGGCAATGTTGACTCAAATATTTCCATTTAACAGAAGTTACTAACTGCTACTACTTATGTATTCTTCCACTATCCAAGTTTGTCCATCTGGATTATTAGTTGACAATTTCCACATCTTCAGCGAACATGTTATACTACCGGATGAGAGCTGTGGCTTCATTGCATGATTATGCTGTCTCATCCTTTTGTCCACCCCATGATGAACAAATCCGAGACATCGTTCAAAGCCAGAGCGTTGAAGATACTAATCTAGTTTCTTATGCCTGAATTCAAATTACAAAGCTCGATGGGTAACCACATCATTTGGTGGTAAATTTCTTACATATCTGTTTCAACGATCATTAAATCATTTTGTTAGTTGGATAAAACCTCATTAGTATACATGAATTCAATCTTTTGTTCTTGATTTATCAGGTTCAATCTGAAATCAGTTCGCAAGAGAAGAATATCATTGAACTAAGAAGAGCAATTGAAGATAAGAACGGACCAATGATGGTGTCACAATCAAGATTGGGTGAAAGAACTGAACGACCAAACGTTGAACTTTGCCGAGATCCTGTACAATATAGACTGATTGATGAGGTAGGCAATGTTCCAATCCTTAAATAGTACAAAATAATCTTGATTATGAACTTTATTTTAATTTTATCCAATACACAACAAGTAATACAGTGAAGCTTAGTATATTGCACTTAGAATTAAAAAGAACTTTTAACTGTGAGGTAGCTAAAAAAATTTCATATGCTCTTCGGACTCCTTAAAAGGATATTTAAAGAACAAAAAGAACACTGGATGGGTTATGGAATTGAATACGTGAAATTATTGATTGACACAAAAGTATGAAACACTAGCTGATAATTGACTTTGTTATAAACTTTTATTATGGTGTTAAAATTATGATCAGTATTTCATATCAGAAAAGATTGCTTTATAAAATGTATAGTTTAAAAAAGAAATTTTTTCATACTTGACCGATATTAAATTTATTTTATTGATAGAATCCAAAGTGACTAGCTATTATAAAATGAATTACGAACATGAACTTTATTTTATGTTATGTCCAGATATATATTTATGGTACATAGTTCTTGATAGAATATATATAATTATCTTTAATTAATAGGTTAACGAGATCCAAACAAACGTGAACAATCTTGTTGCAACTCTTGCTTGTGCTGAAGCAGAACTGAAAGGTCTTACTAGAAATCAACTATTACTCGAAGAAGATATCCAGGTGATTTATTTTCTACCTTACATTTGATAGCAGTGATGGATGCAAGTCCTTAAATCCTGAGTCATAGACTATCCGATTCTCAAGTCAAGTCAAGGTCCAATCAAACTTTAAGATTCGATTCCTAAGTCAAATCAAGACATTGTACTTTTGACCCATTTTAAATTTCATAACCAATTGTAAAATGGATAAATATGATTGTGATGGCGCTAACATTTCAATATCATGTTAAATCAACGTAATTTTAGTAGTTTTAATAACCAGATTTAATATTGTATTGACATTTGACATGGGTATTATCACAGCCTAGTTTGACTTATTGTCCAAACAAGCAAGTAATCTTTAGTTCCATAGGCAGTGACACACAATGGTTCAGCGTATTTCTCAACTTTGATAAATCTTTAATATATTTCAGGTCAAATCAAACTCTCTTTTCATTGATGAAGTCCAGTGCATGCAAATCCGTGAAGCAATTTCAATCAATTATTTCTAAATCAGACGAGACAGGCAAATTACTTTTATCATCAAAGATTTTTATCAGAAACCTTTTCTTTTATCATCCATCCATTGACTCTTTATAAGAGAAAGAATGTGTATATGCTAAAACTATTTCTTATTATGAATAGGTAGGGAAGAATTACCACACATTTTTATTAACTTGCATCGTGCGTGTTATGTTTAGGTCTGTAGCGTAGTTTGTCAACATTAAAGTCATTTTTTGTAGGTAATTTTACTTCTTGAATTTTATCATAATTTACAACCAAGATGGACACCACAGAAATCAAAGTATTTGTTTCTGAAAATCAAATAGCTCATGAAGAATGTGTTATGTGTGAATTTGAATATCTGAAATTGTAGCTATTCCTTGTATTGTTTTGTATTTTTCAATAATTGTGAGATTATCAACTTAAACTGCGGATGCGTGTGTGTTTTATTATATAGTATTGTCTAAAAGTACTAGCCGGTTCATTTCTCTGATTATCCACCAGTAGAAATTATATTGTCACTGTCCAGTGTGGTGTTTTGTTGACTGTTTCAATTGTAGGTCTTGCTTCTTTTTATGTGATTAATATTTTCTTTGTACAGTATTTTATGGTTTCTGGTCTATCACAAATAAATGTCTGTCAATGTCAAGGATTTTTGTTATCTGATGACAAATATGAAATAGAATGGCCAGGAAAATCATCGATTACTTTGAGATTATAGATAATTATCTTATGTCTAATAATGATAAGCAGGCAGCAAATGACAAACCTATAGTTTGGCTGCAGTAGGAAAGGGTACGTAATTGTAGCAATCTTCTGCCAAGAAGTTCACCGGAACTGGTAATTATTTACCTCCGCAAGTCACAATTTTAAGAACAGGTTGTTTTGCATCAAACAGGAAGTTCCATCGTCTCAGAAAATGTATGTCACAAGAGGGCTGCATGACACTCTTCATATAATTCTGAACTGAACTGCAGAACTTTCAAAACACCAAATATAATACGAATACGCACGCTACTCAACGTATCAGTATCATACGATAAGTAGGCTAAACATTTATTTATTTTACCACCAACAGTAGCCAAATCCTACTAGTTTTCTAATAAAGCACCGAGATTTCTAGCGCCAGTGCTCAATGCATCTGAATCAATTAACGCATTTGGATCCCAAACATCCATTTCCTAATATGTGATATTTCTCTTTTTTGATCCAAAATAATGTGCACTATTAAAAATGCTCAAAGACTATTGTTTTAAACCGTCCGCCCTGCACAATTGAGGTAATAATTACATAGTATTGGAATATTGGCAATAGCGGTCGTTTTCGAACATTGGCGTATCGGTATCGGCTTTTTAGCTGTTATCGGATCAGTATCGGCGAAAAAGTGGTATCTGTACATCTCTACTTCAGACATCAAAGTTTTCAAATTTTATTACAAACAACAAAAAAAAAACGAGTAATGAAAAAGTATTTACAAATGAAACTTGCCTTGTTAAGGGCAGTTTAATAATAGTCATACATAGCAGCACATTTTGTAAAACTATCACATAGGCAGTGTGACGCAAGCCACGTCCCGGTCATATCATCTAAAGATTCAGAAAAGACCTTCAATCCATCTGAAACCTTAAATGGTGACGCTTGGTGTAGAAAATAAAAAACAAAAAGTAACACAAAGAAAAGTATTAAGGAACATGATTAGCAGCAAACACAAGATTATTTACAAAATATGGTTGTTGTTCAGATTATGGCACGAATAATTTAGACAGTCAATTTTAAAATGATTCTGACAATGGCAGCATTTTTAATTTTTTTGAGCAGTGACTGGGCTGACTTAAAGAGAGGAAACAGCATGGATGCCAGTACTATGATTCAATGATTTTTCACTCTCGAAAAAATTTCTTGTCAAATTTGGCAAAGGTTGACAATTGAATTTATGATTACAAGTTGATAAGAAAAACAATTTAGATTAAACACTTTACAAATACACTTACTAAACTACAAAGCATATAAGCAACTACTGGTTATACATGAAACTACTAGTACAATATGATTGACTTAAAGGCATTAAACATGTTTAAAAACATTTTCAGATTTCTTGTTCTTAATATGAAGTTTAAAAACCGAACAAAAGATAGTTACCGTAAAAATAACATTGACTTCCAGGGTAGTAGTATCAGACACAAACTGCAACTTACTAATTTTTTCCCATTCTATAATATTTCAATTCAGGGACGAGTAAAATGACAAATCGTAACCATAATAATAAGTTCTGTTTATATGATAAACCAACATAAGTATACACAAAAAAGAACTAACCAAAACTATTTAAAATATAAGATTATGAGCATACCTCCACTCTTCACATAAGACAAAACATGTGTTATTTACAAAATGATATTAAAAAGTGTTCATTGAATGATGAAAATTTGTGTAAGCATGTTCTCAACTAGAATTTTAGACCATTACAACTGTGAATTGAATTTGAATTGCATTCCTTTATTAATTAGTTCTGAAATTTTTTCCAAAAAAGGGTGGTAAAGTTCGGGCCTGATTCAAGTCAAGTCGAAAGAACACTGGAAGTTTAGTTAAGAATTAAGCTCTAACAGTGCAATAGTGAAAGAATTTGCTGTTATCACATCATCGAAATTTGCCTTGAAAAGCTGTTTTCAGAACTCACCATTGAATTTCGAGCCATATAGCATATTGATGAACAATCTAATTTAATTTCACAGAAATTATGGGATTCTTCATTTTTACTAATCCTTGAGGGTCTACATCAGAAAAATGGTCTCTCAGGAGTTCGAAAGTACATATGAATTTTAAACTACCAAATTTGACCACCCTGGTGAGAAATTAGTGGGTTTTGATCAAGGTCTTGAATTTTTATATATAAGAGACTATGAAGCAGTTTATTACAATGCACACTACGATTCATACAAAACAAACTATTTACAAAGCTACATTAACATGGCAGTGAGTCGAGCAGCAAGCCGATAATAAAGAAGTTACAAATATGAATGAAATCGTACAAAAAACATAAAAAGCAGCAATATTTACAAAGCACACCAATCAATTTCTTTATCTCCATGATCTTTTAAAAGTTTGTTTGCTTCAGAAAAATGTTTGCAACCGAGGAATCCTCTGTATGCTGACAATGGTGAAGGATGGACAGAACATAATACGTGATGTCGTTTCTGAATACATATATGGATTAATCTGAGTTTAAAAATGATTTTCAACTTCGACAATCATTACGTCTCGCATCACCTCAAATGAATATTTCAAATATTTGTACTATGGCTATTTGTATTTATAATATACAATGCTTATTCAAGTATTTTCCTCTGAACAAGGCCTGTACAATAGCATTCCCGTTGAGCATTGCCTACCTAATTTATTTCACCCTGGGATATGTGACGAGATTTGAACCAGAGATTATAACCTGCGATACTGATGTATGGTTATGTCTAACTCTTCAATCACAATCACTAAGCCTTCATGTCCAAGGCATTCAACCAATCTTCCCTTTAGGCACTTCAAGCAAAACGCAAGCTTCATAAATAAAAACAATCATTCATAAATAAAATAAAAATTCCTACCTTATCTATTACTGCACCTTTCTTTTGGGCGTAAGATCCCCACAACATAAACACAACTCCGGTACAATTGGAATTGACATATTTTATAACAGCATCTGTGAACTTTTCCCATCCTTTATCTTTGTGAGAATTAGCAGAATGAGCACGGACCGTCAGGACAGCATTCAAAAGCAAGACACCTAATCAGGAAAGTTTGATAAAATCATCTGTGCTCTTATATTTAAGAACAGTAGTATAAGGATAAAATAAAAAAGCATGTTAAAATCCCACATAAGCACACATCACATTGGAGAGATTGCATGCTGATATGTAGTACTTTTTGTTTCTTTATCCTGTCTAGTGAGTCCGCAAAAATATTGTACAAATTAGGCGGTCATGAAAACAGGGAAATATAATCTCAATCTCATATGCGCTTATTCAATAAATAACAGAGCATTTTATGGCGCTACAGAGGTGTGTGCACCAATATGGAGGTAACTAATTTTGTTTGCATACTTTACATCAAGTTGTGTAAAGAGACTGAAAATTACGGGCAGGGGGTATATTCACTTGGCAGTTACCAGTCCATGTTGAATGTGAAAATACTTTTGACGTTGAAAAAAGGCGTGACTAACAGCGGTTATGCGAACGTGAACTACTACTAGGTGTTCAGCAATCCTCCCGAAGATAGGTATCCCTGACGGAATTTGAACATGCGATCTCGCACAGGGCACAGAATCCACTGGGAATTCATATTTAAATTTTATAAACTGTCTGGAATTAAATTCAACTGCACGACTATAAATAACGATGAATTCAATTTTTTATTGGTCTTCCTTTCTTATTTGAGTACGATACCTTGTTTTGCCCATCTAGTTAAATCTCCATGACCAGGGTGTTTGAAACCTCCAATATCAGATTTCAATTCTTTGAACATATTTTCCAATGAAGGAGGGGGTTTCACAGGTTTCTGTAAGAAAACAAATACTAATAAGACATTGATACCATGAAACGTTGAATTTGATTAATACCATCATTTAACTGAAGAAATATAACACAAAATGCATAGCCGAGACATATTCTAGAATACAAGCATATTTGTAAACAGTGGACACTCTGAAATAATCTATGCATGACTGGATCGTTTTGCTAAATATTTTGATTGTTCTGGCTGGGGTAGTTTCTTTTACTGTTGGTAAAAACCATTTAGGTGCAAACCATTGCGATATAGGCCAATCGATTTTAAATTTTCAAGTCCTCCTCAAGTCGTAAGAATTCGCTGACGAAAGCAATTGCTATTATTTTATAAGTTTACAACAGTGGTTCTTAAAGTATGGGTCGCGACCCAAACATGGGTCGCGGAAGGTTTAAAAATGGGTCGCGACAAGGTCGTCAATGCAAGGGCAATCTAAGAGGAGAAGGACGAATTTTCAGCTTTCCCAATGTTTCAATTTAGCTTCTAAACTCTGGTATTTAAAAATAATGAAATAAAAAATTTCATTCACGGAAAGAACTGTCTTGAGCTAATTGTTACATCACAATTCTGATATGCCAGTCACGTGTATTATTTTTATGGTATCGGTAACCATGCACGTCGCTTGTCGTTGTGTTGACCGCATGGAATGTCGTCTTAGTGGATTAAAATAACCAAAAATGGGTGTCTTTTTGGTAATGAAAATTGTAATAGACGACGCAATGAAAAAACTCGCTTCTCGACATTAGATTATTCAATATCTAGAGAAAATGTGACTTCATCTCGAGGCACCATTTACCGCGAACAAAGCAGTGCGTGCACATGTGACGAGTAAAAAGTTGTATATTGCGAGAGATACCGAAGGCCAGCTAGGATGTCGTGTTTGCGACGGACAGCGGACGCCTTTTCTGCTACAATTCGCGACAAGGCACTTGTGCGAGCGAGGATATTTGGCACTGACGGGTATCAAAACTAAGCTCGCAATCGCTTTCGATACCAGTGACAACTTGCGTATTGCGTTAAGTAAAATAGAGCTGTGTATTGAAGATATAATGAAAAAGGAAATTTCAGTTTCATCAATCTCACTGAGTCAGTGGACTGTTTCTAATAAATAGTTGTCTGTATTTGAGTCAGACTGTACTAACATTAAAAACACATTTTGCGTTTTTTAGGATTGGGTCGCGAGTATTCATAAAACTCAGATTTGGGTCGCGCTCGAAAAAGTTTAAGAACCACTGGTTTACAACATGGTCCAATATATTGCCCCTATATTTTTTAACATTTGGCTGAAATTTTGCATTGCATTAGTCATCCGACCTTCATGATATTGCTCTTTTCTACATCAACTTACTTTGACACTGAAGCATAATCCATGTGCCTGCCCCTCACCATGGTAAGGATCCTGGCCGAGTATAACAACTTTAATATCTTTCAACTTGCAATGCTGTGTCCAAGAGAAAACATCTTCCACTGGAGGGAACACTGTATGTGAAGATCTTTCTGATGTCACAAATTTGCCCAACTAAAGTAATAAATGAAAATATCAATGAGGTACAACAGTAAAAAAAATTAATTTTATGTTTTTGCGAATTATCTATCTCAGACAAACTACGGCCCATTGTGTAATTCAATATGGTCCGCCTGATGCTGCCACAACCAAATTTTGATGTTTTAGCTCAAGAAATAGCTTAAGGAATTAGTTGAGATTGGATTGAATTAGTTTTGGCACAAGGATCATTGTTTTCCACTTTTGCTTTTGTAACACTGTATATATTGTTCATAAAATTTAAATTTTTACGTCACACTTACATGGCCAGTCAGTCTGAGGGGGCAGAATTTTTGGCCCCTGGTCCAAAAACCGTGCCCACCACTGATCTATCTTGATACTAGACGACAAATATTAGAATACGAATATTACTGTAAAAACAACATAATAAAATACAAATAAATTGTAGACTAACCTTAACAAAATAGTCCTTATGAAATTCAGGCTCTAAAGCTTTTTTCCAAGACTCTCCAATTGTATCAAGACCTAAAGAATCCATATACGATTGTTTCTTCAAGGATATATGTGTCTGTACTGGTTTGTTTTTAGGTGACTCAGTCAACGGTCTCTTTGATAATGAACAGATTTCCTGACAAACATATGGTGTAACATCAGAACATGCGCTGATCATAAGTTAGATTTTGGCTATGTTATATTTTTTATAACCATAGCCAAATCTGCAAATGTCTGAATATAGGAATTGGGACACTCCTGCACTCATTAGGTACATATCCGACCGCTGTGATCAAACTACAGAACGAATAGCCTTGATGCAGTGATTTCGTGAGTTAGTGCTAGTCATTAGGATTCTTTTAGTTAATAGCTTTAATAGTCAGATAGCTGATTGTGGCAGCATGGTGTAACATGAGGCTAAAACATAATGTCTGAAAGTGTTTAGTTCATGAATTTTTCAAAAATGACGAAATGATATGTAGAGTATGTATGTTTATGCGTATCGTAAAAGCAATATAAAAGAGTTGATACTCTCTAAATACTGAAATACTGAAGACTGGATATACGCACAAGACCATACTGACCTAAAACACACGAATGTTATGTATCAAATTCTATCAATTTACTCGCTCTTTCAAAGTATTTTTTAGTTCTAAATACAACCAGAAGCGATAAGGATTCAGAAAAAAAATTTAAATTAGTAAACTGTAAAAAGCATTTCCACAAAACTCATTATGATTCAGTAATTGCATTTTAGCCAGAAGATTAGAAAGGTATAAAAGTACAGTGCCATAGAGAAATAATAGATTACAAAGAGAACTGGAGAAGCATTTTTACCATAACTGCATGAATAACATTGATTTTTCAAAGTGAATTAAAATAATATTATGGTAACGGTATCCTGGGATTAAAAAAGGGAGGAAAATGTTGGTGAAAATTGAGTTGGTGCTTTTGATAGGCGACAATATTGAAAAGAGATTGAACAGCATGCTACTGCTGTACTGTACCGTAACAATAACAAAAACCATTGTCCTATTGCTGTATTCAGGTATTGTTTGCAGCATTTCAATTTTATTGTTACTTTACTTTACTATTTCAGTATTTATAATATCCCTGCAGATTTTACACTGCTGTGGACTTGAATACTTTAACACAAAAAACAGTAATGTTTTAATCAATTAACCTAAATTCTACAGCTGAGATATGCACATGCAGACATGACATGAAATATCAATAATCTCTGAATCTGCTGGATCTGACAATTTCAAATACATTTTATATCTGTACCGGTACCGGTACCGTATGTTCGGTTAATTATCGAAACAACATTTGAAAAAAGTAAATACGATACCTTCTCTTTCAATGGTCGTTTCAAGTTGCCTGTCTTCTTCTGGGCCGCGTTGAAGAAAGACGAAATTTTTCTTTGTGATGACATTTTTGTTTGTGGACAAGGTTGGGTTCCGGCGTCTTTGGAAATGGAAAAGACGCCTTAGCTGGCTTTTATGTGCCAGCCAGGCGTCTTATTTGGAACAATGAAATTCACTCAGCACCGCTCCACACACCACTCTGCCACAAGAGCGAATAAAAACCGCTGAAAATTGCGGTTGGATAAAGCAGTAACGGCGGGAACGATTGCCGCCAAAAAAAACACGATGTCCAAAAGTTGATTATTAACTATGACGTCATATCCATAAAGGACACGCGTCGTTGCGGTCGAATCACGTGTATTTGTGTTTGTTTACTTTCCAGACACACCCCTTATACTCCTGCTCCCCACTCTCTGCATTTTGCAAGGAGCTCTATGTTTATTGGTTATCGGCATGTGATTTCCCGCGATATGGCGGAATGGAGCTGTTTTTTATATAGTCTACTTATTTAATGAAAAATCCTCGAATTCCTGAAGTAAATGTGCTGCTGCAGAAACTTTCATGGTCGAGCACCAGCGACATTGTAGGCGGTGCAGATATGTCTGGATGTAAGACAGTAAGATCATCATGTAGGTATGCACAATAAGGAGAACGATCTGCTTCAAATTGTGTGGGCAAATATGCGGACGTACTTGTACGCTTTTTAACTTTATTTTAAGTTATGATCGCCTCACAGCCACAGCCCACAGGTACCGTACCATATCTCTGCATTTTGTTTTTGTCTGTTCACTTTTTGTGTTGTTCATGTCTAGATGTCAGAGATGTACTGGAATAAATGATTGATTGAAATTGCAGAATTGATCAGCTCATTAATTGGTACCACTATCCTGTTACTGTGTTATTGTCGCACCTCTCATTTTCTGATTTAGTCCTTCCACTATGATTATATATCTATTGGGTTATGATAGGATAAGTTTGAAGGTGGGGCAATGATCTAACTTCACTTTTCCTCACCTAATGTAAACCAAGTCAAGAATTGCAGATGAAAAAATTAGTGAGTAATAATAATAATGGAGGGCAAATAAATCCTCAATAAACTGGTAAAGTGCGATGTGAGATGAATAGTGCAATACTTTTGTGTTTCAAGTTGAAACTTCGTTTTAGCATTTCAAATTTTGGCAACGTTCCTGTATCATGGTAGGGTTCAAGCTGACTATTTAAGATAGCAATACTGCAATATAAAAAATAAACAATAAATGAAAGTATAAGATTTTCAATGTCTGTGCAAAATTGATACAAAGCTGAGTAATCTCTTCGTTCAAAAGACATCTTCCCAGCAATCTTTTAGGAATACAGTCGTGAACGATTCAGTTGAATAGTGTAAGAAATAGGTTTTGATTTTGATCTTGAACAACACAGAACATGCAAATATCATTCTACATTCTAGGTGATGGATTACAATAACACAGAAAAGCTAAAACTTTTTGATTGCTATGTTATTTTGCCACAGCTTCCAGAAGTTGAATAATTTTTTAGGAGTTTACTATGACCTTCCCTTGCTCATAATGATAATTTTCAAAATTTATGTGAATTTCCTGATTTCTACACCTCATCAGATACCGTTGAAGTACTGCCGATTCATTTTATTGAATTATATTGGGACCTCGAATCAGAGTGATAGTTCAGTTATTTGGCATATACTCAAAGTATTGAAATGACAAACTAAATTCAAAGAAATTGAGAGCTTCTAGTGTTTTTAAAACATGTTGAATGAAAATTTTCTATGTACATGGGAATAATACTTACTACAAATGTTGCCTTTGATTTGTTTTGACTGTTCTAAAATATTTACATTAAACATACCGATAGAATGAATATCTTTTCAAAACTATGAAAACAGGGTGTGTATGTGTTTTATGAATGGGGTCGCTTGTCATTTAACAGAACGGATTGGCCAATTTCAATATAAATTAGTACCATTACTTTGTCAAAATACAAATATTATTTTATCAATATTTGTCTTTCACAAAATGTTTCATCAAGTTAGAATTCGATCTGGCTTTATTGTAATTTTGAGTTTAGGAATTAAGGGGTAGTTTTATCTTTGTCATATTGTCTAACTCAAAATAATTTTGATTAGTGAAAATATTTTAATTCATATAGTGTGATAGATTTCATCAAATTTTATAGGGATCGATACAAAACGTTGCAAATTACTGGTTTATCGAAACTAATATCTTAAATCCATGTGATTATGAATGCATTACTCATCATCCATAACTTGTTTATAAATGTCATCGATTCCCATGTGATTCGAGATTAAAGAGAATTTATTACAACTGATATTTTATTCCTATGAGATTTTTGGATTCGTTTATCATCTGTGGAAACATATAAACATGAGTGAAACCTACCGTAGTCATTTTTATTAATATTTTAAAATTGTTTGTTATACAAATTCTTTTCAGTGCGGTTAATTGGAAAATGTATGGGGTCTTACTCTTATGAACTGACTGCCAAGATCATGGTCTATGTGACCCTGACGTATCATAGGTTGTTTGTATTTGATTCATCTTTTCTAACTTTACTTATGTATGTTATTGAAAACATCTGCTTTCTACTAGTCATCAGTTCTATTTCCTGGACATTACATAGCAAGTGAAATGATTCACAGCTTTTTTGTTTGCATGCAATGATGCATGTTTGCATTTCCTCAGTTCAAACGAAAATAGTTTGCAACACATAGTTGTTTGGATAGTTTAGTGAAATGATAACACTTTATTAAAAGCTGCTGTTTCTAAAGTGCTTTTCTAAATGTGAAGCATGGGATAAATTGATAAACTTATTATGCTACAGCCATATTTGAGCATACAATCTTAATTTTTTGAACAAGGTTTTTTAAATTAACAGATAGATACCAGCAAAAATTGGTTGTCATATTATTTGATATATTTCAAGTCCTGACTGGCAGGAATTTATGATTCCATGTATTATTACTATTATTATTATTTTCAGTGAAATTTGACATACCGTGTTTGTATTATATCCCTGATTGGAGTCTTTGATATGATTTTGTTAAAAACTTATTCATCTAGATCAGAATATTTTAACTAGGAGGGCCAAGGAATGGTGCTTCGGGACCACGAGCAAAGACCTTTGCTAGGTACCATTTGTCATGACTACAAATAATTTAAAGTGAATTAAATGTGATTTGTTTAATTCTCTGACCGAATTGAATTTATTCTTTTGCTTACGTTTGTTGACTTTTCTGTTATTAAAAGTGGTGTTAAAAACAAAACTAGGTATTGTTAAAATTGAAGTTTTGAAACCACTGAACGAAAAACAAAAATTTTGCAAAACAAAGCTCTATACACCAACCCATTTGAATAAAAATATGATTTTATATGATGCTTCCAATCGAGAAAAAAAAGGTTCTAATCCTGAGAGTCTATATATAGTCTGTAAAAGAAAAAGGCTTTATACTAATATTCACATTGATTTTGGACAGATTAGTTAAATATTTGTATTAGATAAAGCTATGCAAAGTCATGACCCTCTGTCAGTCATGGCTGGCGTAAAGCCGTCGTCAATGAATGTGTTGAAAATTGTTGATGTTCCTAACCCTTCCTTTTCATCTTCAAGGGAACTAAATGGAAATGGCGTTTATGAAAAAAACGAGTGTATTCAGGTATGCATGTTGTTTTGGTGTACTGTGATATTGAGTGGATTACACTGTTTACAAATGATGGGGTATTGGCTAATACGAACCAGGGCTTTGAAGTCCAAGCCGGGTTGTATTTTCCAATACCTCATAGTTGTAGACAGGGCAGAGTTGAAATGGATCCATGGAATTTTGGAGGAATTTCAGATTTTCAAAGTTGAAAACAAAAAAACTGACTTTAGCATTCTCAATTAAAACTTTAAGAAGGCTTACACATGCCAAGTTTTATACTCAGAATTTGGTTTTCTCATAGTTGGGATGCATTTCAAATTTTTCTCAATAGTGTTTCGGGGAGCTTGAATGAGAGTCTGATGTAAGTTTTCTCAGAAAACTTAGCTCTGATACAAACTAAGTGCCCAATTGGACAAATATAACCATATATTTCAAGTAAATAGTTTACGTTGACATTCTAAATAATCTCAGTTAGATTATGTATTCTTGAATGTTTCTAATTTGTAATTATGCCTTTGGCTCATTGCTCCTAATATCCATTTTCATGATTTTTTTTTAAATTTAGTTTCAAAATGTAATCACACTTAACATTGGAGGAACAATACATACAACTAGTTTATCAACTCTTCTGAAATATCCAGATTCAATGCTCGCAGTTATGTTTAGTGGTCGGCATCATTTAGCAATGGATGATCAAGGAAGGTTAGTATATAATTCATAAAAAATATATGTGCAATTATCAAATGCAGTCGAGGTTTTTCAGATTCAATTAAGCCATTCAATCACTTTCCGAGTAAAAAGATGGAGTGGGCAAATTCAAATTAGTTGATTCAATCAGAGAATTGGGATTTTTTTATTGAATAATGTGGTTCTCTTTGAGTTTTTCTAGTTTATTCAATATTAAAATTGTTTAAAATATTTCCAATATTGATCTACCGACTACCGGTATTTATTTTAATGCCAAAGTAGACAATTAAAGCAAGGTCCATGTTTAATCAACCTATTTTCAACAGAATGTAAGGGTAATCTTTCAGTACAGTATTTTTTAGCAAATAAAACAATGACTGTAATATTTCAGGATAAATAATATGACTCTTCTTATCTCCTATCTTCATCGGAAATAGAATATATTGTAGGAAATGAAATAAATTATTAATATTTTCCATCTGATGACGTACGAGAAATTGTAAAAAAATATTAATATCCTGTGAGTAATGGTATTATGAATTTTTGAATATATGCATTCCATTGTGAATGAAAAAACAATCTATATTTAATAATAAACTGAGTGTTCTGAATTGAGTTCAAAATAGTTTTATGCTGAAAATTTCAATAGAATGCCTTGACAAATAAGAATCCAAGTATTTTGTAATGGTTTAGGTGAAGTATATACCTTTAAAATTCTTTCATTCATCTTTAATAATCACCATTCAATTTAGTATGTATTTATCCACATACCCTGTACTTTGTTTAAAGATTATGTGTTGAACCCATGCGAACTCCATCTGTAATCTGCATTCACATATAAGCAATGCAGAATAATCCTGTATTTTCATTAACATTAATGTGAAATTGATTATTTTCAATTCTTCAAAACCAAATGAACGTGACAGTATGACATTTTAATTAGTACGCTTGAGTATAAATGTATAATAAATCAATTTATATTTCTTTTCTACAAAATATCTTGCAAACTTTCAATTCTTTTTCCTGCCAGCGTGGCATGTTATATTATGAATGATTAATGAACATGCAAATTATTACCTTATAAATCAGACATCCAATCAATCATGTTGCAGACCTTTTAACAGGCGATAGTATTGCACTAGATTGCAGGCGCCGCACTAAACAATGCATAAACAGTGTAATATATAGCAATGTATATCATATACCTGATCAATTTTATATATCGGTATGTTGTGAATATATATATAACACTGAATCTAACCACTTGACCAACAAATTATATTTATTGATTAAGCTATCTTTTTACACCAGTTGATTATGGCCTTTACGAACTCACAAGTTGGGGAATGTGCAGTGCCTTGTTTGGAGCAAAGATATTACGCATCAAAAATATTAAACTATCTCTTATTGGTTTAGACTTCTTTTTTCTAATTTTGGCCCATCTTCTTAAAGTGCATCAAGGTGTAAACCTTAGGTCTATATTGTTTATATTCTGCACACACTTTTTAGATATTTCATTGACCGAGATGGAAAATTGTTCATCCATATTCTAAATTATCTTCGTGAAAATAAAATGCCGCCACTGTCACTTGTGATGGATGTTTATGAAGAAGCGCAATATTATAATATTACTCCCCTCATTTCTGCATTGAATTCAACTTGTCCTGTTGCAAGTGATAAAATAAGGAGATTATTCCTTGATGAGGTTTGTTATTTAGATGAATTTGTCTGTTCTATTTCTTTATTTGTTATGTCATGTTGGAATTGAATCAACTATGAATAATGGAGAAGCTGTTATGTTGAGTTCATTCTATTCCCCATTTATGTATATTTTATGTTTTTATAAATCGTTAGAGTTACCGGTAGTTAATATGTGTTAAAAACTGTACTTATTGGACACAAAGTGACAGATTTATCGTTTTGCGAAATTGGTGTTGTAGAAAAATCGCTTTCTTCATATCTAATAGAACAATCTACCGGTATTTCAAATTTTCAATACTAAATTTCTAGAATCATTTTTTATGCTTCTTTTTGAGTCGTAAAGAGCCCTATAAATAGCTCTTGTTAGCAGCACCATGTTTATTCATTCGAAGATTTGTGTAATTGTTTGTTTACGATACAGTATTATGAGAATGCTTCAGGCATTGGACTTCATAGAATTTTATTACAGTTATCATAGCCCTTAGGCCTTAGGGTGATTCATGCTACACTATAACAATCATTTTGACAATAATTAGTCAGAACTATGAAAATATTGGCCCATCTGTTATATAAAGTTAGGTTTCGAATTGCTGAATGGCACTTTGAAAACATTTGTCATCTTCGGTCAAAATTTTATTGCTAACCAAGTCCGTGCTGGCAAAAAAATTGCTCGGTTTTCTAATACAAATCGTGATTATTTTAGCATTGTTTCGCTTCTGGGATTTATTACTCCTTCATTTAGCTAAAATTAATTTCGATTCTTCGCAATATTGTTTATTTGAAAATGATTTGTATACAAATAATGAACCTCCTTTGAGCAAAATTTATTGATTTTATTCCTGCTGTGGAGAATGCATTATGATTATTATGGTTTACCAATACATATTGATTTTCGTACGAAATTTTCCTGCCTTATCTAATGTATTTATTCTAAGTATTATTGCTATAACCTTTTCAATAACACCTCTTTGGGTGAGGCTATTCCAACTGATATCTTAACAACAGGGAAGAATTACCGTAACTGCAAGCCATTGCATCACAGAGAAAGAATAGATGTTAAAATACTTGATGAAAATCCTTTAATATGGAATATCTATTCTATCTGTTCTGAAACATTACAAAAATTTTCAATCGATTTGAATTGTTGCCTATATGGGATGATAAGAATATAGGTGGTTATATAACTCATCTAGTAGTCTGTGCATTGACAGAAATATTTATGTGCATGTAACCTATTGCTCATTAGTTGCTAGACCAGTGGTTCTTCCATGTTTCATGATCCCCTTCCAGAGACTTGTGGCCCCTGCTTTTTATTAAAGTACCAATATTTCCGTTAGTCGAGTTCAGTTATTTTATGTGTCATGTTTCATTTTAAAAGATCAACAAACGAAGGTAAAAGAATAAATGCATTGCAGTCAAATAATTAAACAAATCATTGTCAATTTTCTCTAAAGTAATGTAGGGACCATGAATGATAATGGTGCAGACGTTATCTCAAGGCTCCCAGGAAAACTACTCTTTGGCAATCTCAGAGTGACTGGATCTCAGTTGCAGTTGAAGAGCGATATATGCAATGAATATTAAAATATTACACTTTTATTTTCAGGTGCCAAATTATGATATAAAGATCAATGCATTAATTGAAAAAGCTCAGCAAGTTGCAACCATCCATCCAGATAGAGTATCAAAACTTCTTGTTTGTGTCTACAAAGAAGATTCACCAATAACTGCATATGAAAATTCATTACTTCCTCCTGTGCCTGGTGAAAGAAATCCAAATGGATCTCAAATGAATCATAGGTAAGAAGATTTAAGATCATATAATTGTATATTTTCAGAATTGTTTATTTCATCCAAGTTCCAGTTGGGACTGCTTGTATAGGGCCTTGTGCAGAGCAGGAGTGGGAAACCCAAAATGTACTTATATTGCTTTTAGAAGGTTGCTGTTCTATGCAATACAAGTTCATTCGCAGAACTGCATGTACATCATTTGTAGTGAATTATCATTGTTCAGATATATTTGAAAAAAGCCATTCAATAAATTTTAAATATGAAGACTTTGATGTTTGCATGATTTTTTCAGTTACGATTGAAAATCTTGCTTTCGGACTCTTTTTTGGACATTCTAAATTCCAGCTACGGTGGGTAAAATTCCCCAAAATAATATCAGCAAAAACAATATTCCGGTAATATGCAATAATTAAATCTAAATATTTTTATAGTTGAATATCTCTGACAATAGGCATTATCCTGACCAAACTTCTCACACTAAGATTTTTTAGAAAAATTTATGGATTAGTGTGAAAAAGCCATTTTTAATTTTCCTTATAATGTATCGGTCATTTTTGAGGAAATACTATAAATTCATCTAACAGTAGTATCAGCTTTACTGTGGGTTTGTCACAACCAGATTAGCAGGTTAGATGTTGACTTAGTCTCGTCTGAAATAATGATTTACCATATGTCAGGAAATCATCACTCACGATAAAAACCACTTCCTCCTTTTATGATAACGAAAGTGTCTCTTGTTCAACCTAACCTACAATGAGGAAGTTTTCCTGTATATTAAAAAGTACATGACTCAACGTGTCATCAAGTATCTAAATGGCATCGTGGTTTCATACAGACATTCATGCTCGGCATGTGGCTATTGTTTACAGCTGCTCTAAATGCGATAAAATTGATAAAAAACAACTGCTATATTATTCATCCTCCTGAAGAAGATTACTATATCAAGTTTTACATTCATTTGTGGGACATCCTGAAGTATGCGCACCAAGATGACGCACAACCTGAACTCAGGTTGTGTACCCAGGTTAGGGTTCAGGTTATGCGACATCTTGGTGCGCATACTTCAGGAGTACCCATTTGTGTTTTTGGTTTAGTTAGCAACTCCTTTATGTCCTACCCCCTTTAATTTTAATAATAAGGATGTCTGATGATCTGCTATATTCTGTCAAACATTGGCAGGTAGAAGACAAATGAATAAAAAATGAATGGCAGTCGAAATTTTTTATATCATGATTGCTCATACTTCTTGGTAACTCTCCTTACTGAATAATAACCTAATATCTGAATTTTATTTCTGTAGTTGTGATGTTTGTATTTCGTTCGGTCCATGGCTTGCAGCTCCCGATGTTTACGACCTTATACACTGTATAAAGGATGACGTCGCAAAACGAGGATATTCACTTGAATGTCAATGCATTGGGGTGTGTGATAAACACTTAATAGGACAATTTTATTGTAAACGGCCAATTTATGAATTCAAATTCAAGTGGTGGTAATTTTGTCATCAATAGTTGTTAATTTTATTTTTATTTTGCGTGCTATGTACTGTGTAATCCTGTGATATTTTTTAATCGAGCATAGGTGTGGGTTTTTTTCAAGAATTATAAAAAAATAACTATTCAAGTGATTTATTTATCCAAAATATTTGGATATTTAGTTGTACGTATATAAAATAATGCTGTTCTCATAATTATTTCCATAAATGAAATAAATATGTAATTTCATTACAAATTATGCTGCTCCGCACTGAGCATTTAGTTCTGCATATAATTCGCATTACAATTAAAGTAGCCAAAATGAATGGCTATATTATTCAGGAAAGCCATGGTTTTATTCAGAAATTTCTATGTTTTTAAGCATGAGCAATAGTATATCTGGATTGTTAAAAACAAGTTGGGATACCAATAATTTCAAATTCCATTCAACATAAATCTTTGGACAACCTTACTCAAGCTTGCTTTCACTGCTGTTATTTTTGAATGAAGATTTCCAAACTTAGATATCATTCCATATTATAAGCCTACGTGGTATTGTTTATATATAGATATATATTTTTTTGCTGCCAATTATTCTGTTTTCTTGTCTCAGTCCGCCGTGTATTTCCACATTGTTGCTTATTGCTATGCCTAACGCAATCCATATATAAGTGTTTTGAATTTTTAGGCTTTTTTTTTCTTTTTTCGCGGAACGTTGTAGCTATATAATTTTTTTAGATGTCAAAATTATTTTTGATAATTAAATGGGATTCCCAAATATTTTAAATTTGTAATTTTATATGGTATTTTCGCCAGCATGCATACTTCAAAAGTAGGTTCACACACTATTAAATATTTCTCAAGTGTTGCACTTAGTACATAACAGTTTATAAAGGCAATGTACAAATATGATTATTATACATGTTGAGGCATCCAACGGTTTGGTCTTAAATATCATTTTCTCTTATCGAGTGTTTAATAATGATTTCTGAATACAGCAACAAAGATTGACGTATTACACAGTGGCAAAATAAACTTGCCTCTAACCCCAGTTAGACAAAAAGAAGGAAATCATTATTTAGGTAGGATGGCTATTTTGTGTCTCCATTTGGGCAACTAGCCCTTAAGCTCTAAGTCTTCATGCTCTTCTCGGCAACATCCCCGTTTTATTATTCAATGAACATTCCTCCCAATGACTTCCATTTGCACTTACACCTGATGATGTCTTTTCACTGTGCAACCACAGATGGTTAATTTGATCCTTGTGGCGGTGTGAGCGTTGTGAATAGTTTTTAGCTGGTGTAGGGTTTAATAATTCATTCTAATTTGAAATCAAGTATGATATGTAATATCGTGAGTGAGCAGTAGTTATTCGTCAGAGTATTGATCAAATCTTTTCTTTCAATAAATACATAAAAAGCATATCGATTTAGTTGCCTGTTGGGAATGGTGTCAACTGTCCAGTTCAAAATCAATTAGCAGGCTCTTGTTCTCGTCTGTTCATACTACGAATGCATTCTAATGATGAAAATTATTTCACACGAAGTTCGCTTTATGGAAATTTCTATGACATACCTACTTCTTTGGCAGCGTTGTCTTGAATTGTTTTCAATGTCTTTAAATAAACCTATTCCGATTACTGGTCTTTATGTCTACGTTGGGGCCTCGAACACTATAAGAGGACAGTATTGTAAGAAATTTAAAGCTAGTTTGGATTAAAACCGCACCTCTGAATTGCAATTCTTCTCGATTTCTTTATGCTCGCTATGAAGCAGACGAATAAAAAACACTTTTCAGACGAAAAAAAACAAAAATCAGACTTTATTTCCTTGCTGATTGCAAAGCGTGTTTGCGTTCCATACAGAGCTTTTGTGAACGCCGGTGCAGTTTACGGGCACAAATGTAAATGGGCTGTCACCAATGATAAGTATGATATAAGTTTATTTCGACTCCATAAGCAGCATAATAGACCATAATTTATTTCTAAAACTGATTACGGAATCAGAAGAGCGAACAAAACCTTGGGGGGAAATGTGCTGTCAACAATAATATCATATATATTAATCTTCAGTCAGCACCTGTGCGTGTGTTTTTAATACAGATGTATCTTCTACTTCGTCTAAATCTACGCGAAGCAATAGTAGTGATTGCCTAAAAGGCTAATTGCGAATAGCACATCAGGAACAGCGAAATTGCGTTAGGAATGGCGCATTACGAAGAGCACATCGTTTGACCAATCTGACCATTTATTTTATCAAACACTGAGGTACTATTGAAAACTCGGATACGACCATTTCTATGATGCCCCTTTTCATGCGTAATCTAATCAGCCCGTCTACAACATCCCTGCATTGTTATACGGCATACGCCCACAAATCTGTTAGCATAATGAAGCAAGACTAAATAGAGTTAGTCTTTCGTTGTAACCCGAACTTCAGTGAAATCGAATATTAACACTATTGAGTTACGATGGAATTCTATTTAAACGTTTAACGACTGACGCTTTTAACAGTATTAAAGTGACGGTGGAATCCTATTTAAACTTTTAACGAATGACGCTTTTCAACAGTATTGAAGTTACGGTGAAATGCTATTTAAATATACGATTTTGCAATAAAATCGTGAATATTGTATTTCGACCTGGAACTGATTCTGAATTTATCATTGTCAAATTTCATAATCAGCGATCTTGATAATTCAATTAGTATTTATTTCTCACAATTATTAGGTTCTTATCGATGGAGTTAGTGATATTTTTTTTTTGAATTAAACGGCACAGGAGATAAATTTTAGATAACGTGAACATTTCTGAAATAGTTTGACATTTTAAAGATGATTTGTACCTGAGATGTTAGTTAACGGTTAAAAAAATCGTAACCGTTAACCATCTAAAATCGGTTAACTGGTTAACTATTCCCAGTCCTAGTTACAGGATCAAAACCGTCATTTTCATCAAAATATAGAATCAGGTGTCGCTAGTAGGTACTGATAGCTAATTTTAGCATACGTACCTTTTCCAGACTAATTTTTGATTACTGCAACCGGTAGTATATATTTACGCTGGAACTAAACTGAAGCTTATCGAGAGACATAATAACAACTATATTACTTCATTAACTACTGATTTTAACTGCTGACAAATAAAACGCAAAACCACGAAAACAAGGTAATATTTACATGCCTGAATATCTGTCAGAGGGTCAGAGGCAATGAAGCGTCTGAGCGGTTGTAAAAATTGCCAGTATTACGTCATTGTTTACTCTGCTGATTCATATTAGGATAGGATAGTATTTACATATTTATCCCGGGGGAGAGGAAAGCCGATAAGACGGCCTAATCATATGGCGAACCACGGCCTCTCGTCCGGTTACCAGTCCAGGTCGGGTATGGGATTAGTTAGCCAGTTATTTGTTTTCGGAAGAATGGACTTGAAGTTAGGTTAACTATTAAGTTAACTATGGCTAATTGGTCATTATTACAGATATGAACAAGGAATTTTGCGCTCGAGGAAACATTCATTAGTGGTGGTGGCCTAAAAGTATCGTCGCGGATAGCGCTCTGGAACAGTGAGGTCGCATTAGGAATGGCGAATCATCAACGATGACGGCGCAATGGGAAAAAAAACGGCGCAATGGGAACGGCTCATTATCGCATCGAGAACTTTGTCAAAATGCCCTGACAGAATGAAGATCATGTAAATTATTTGGACTTATTCGCATTTCCGTTTGTTAGCCGAGATTGAATATTAGTCTACTAAATGAAGTAGATTTTTAAATTTTTTTTTTAATTTCAGATTTTTAAAAACGTTTCGAACATGCATAATGTTAGATCTGGGTGGACAGGAGTATCAAAATTCTACCTTCTTCTAAATGTACTTCTTCTCAAATAGATGCTTTGATATTGCTCCTGTCTACTGTTAGATTTAAAGTATGGATGGAACGAAATGATGGTATATTTCAAGGAGTTACTCCAGATGTAACAAGGGTGAAAGAAAAAATTAAAAGGGGGTTAAAACACAGACTTAATTTAGAAAGGCATAGGAATGATAACAAATACATGAAATATGTTAATATATTAAATATATTATGCCAATGTTTATGATAGATGTAAGATAAGATTGTTTTAAATTAATTTATTACCAATAGTGTGAATTATTCATTTGCTAATTGTCATTTTTGTTTTTTATGTAACTATTGTTAGTAACCTAAATATTTGATTATATTAATGATATGAATTTGAAAAAATTGGATGATACTAATGCTGAATGGAACATACAATAATAATGATGGGGATCATATTGGATGATGACGTGTAATGTGATGAACCTTGTTGTATTCTTATATCAACACATATTAAAATAAAAAACTAAGTGAAGTAGACAAACGTTACACGTAAAAAAGTGTTCATGGAATGAGTAGTGCAACAAAAAAAGCAAAGAAAACTGGAGTTAATTTCTCTTGACTGCTGTACGGTACGCGGTACCTGCATTCGGGTCTAGTATAGTTTAGTACCACGTACTTCCAGTGAACGTAGCATAACGAATTTTGCAGATGTTATTCCTAACCCCCACCTGACTATGCCATCCAAAAATTACGTCACCAGCACGTCATAGGGCTTGCCAAAGTATAATTACGATCGCCCGAAATGGCATCTGCGCCGCCGATAACGAACTCGCTAAAGCCGGCGATCTCTCTTCTATCGTGATCGTTGTGACGAGAAAACGAGAGAAATAGCTTGCTCGATTTCGGGTGATCATCTGCGCGTTTTGGACGACCATTCGCATACTTTGGTGGGCCTCATTACGCCACTGTGACGTTGAAATGACGTAATTTTTGGGTGACGTAGTCAGGTGAGGGTTAGAATTGACATATGCAAAAATTGTCGAGCCAGGTCAACTAGAAGTGCATGTGGTACTAAACTATACCAGACCCCTGCACTCTAGGATAGATGAAATCATGCATGGGTTTATTTGAGCAAAATATACCACATTTAAATCAAATAAGCTTTTGTTGAAAAAACAAAGCAACCCAATAAGAATTTTACGTGGTCCAGTTTTGGGTTGCGACCCAAATATTGAAATAGGTGTGAGAAAGTTGTATAAAATGGGTGGGCAATAACGTTTTTAACCCAACAGTTTCAACGATATTTATGTAATTTAATAATTTATGTATATTTATTTGCCTCAAAAATGTAACAGCATCTGCATATTAATTAAACAGTAAAACAGAGACAGGATACATGTTCAAGACCTTACTGGCCTAAGACACAGATATGCGACATGTACCCCTAACAAATATAACAGCAGTTTAGGACTGCTGCGTTATACTAGGACAACAGACATGAAATTTACTATACAAATAAAATTCTAGTAAAATACACAAGACAAAGAAGTACGGCACAACGGCGATATGTACAATAGCCAGTTTACAGGTTTATGGCACGTCCATATCCCAGGTTCCGGTGTGAAAAGATGGAGATAGGGTATAGGTCGCTAAATTGATATGTTTTTACACTAAGTCACACGAAACACATAAAGATTTATTCGGGATATAAACTTGCCAGAAACCAACGTTGGATGGGGCCACGACACGAGAAAAAAATTGTAAAAGATAAATGTAGAAAACCTTTGTCTAAAATTGAGTTGGTAATCATAGTTTGCACTGGACCAAAGATATGGGAACAATAGAGAGTCTGGCATAAAATGTGGCCACTTTCATAACCGCTATTGTGTGAAATTTATTGCCGCCATGTCTCAGCATGATAATTATAAATTTTTTATGAATGATCTAGTTTGCATTCATCAAAAATTATTGAATATTGATGCCATGGTATTCTGCTAACCCTGTGATTTCAATAACAATACCGGTACTGCAAAAGTCGTTCTTGTGAAGTGTGCTTGATTTATTACAAATTACTGAATTAATACAGATTTCAGGATTTTATAATTAACTTCAACCGGTATATAAAAAAGTTAAGAATATTAATAGTTACAAAAGCACGAAATTTTCTTCCATAGTACTAGATTGTGATATTACACAATCGAATACAAATGTGATTTTGTGATGGAATATTCTGTTATGTAACGTAAGTTACCCTATTATCGCTTTAATCGTTGAAAATTTCAGGGCAATTGATTAGGTATTTAAAGAGAAAAGCATTTGAAAAAAAAAGTTTGACATAAGTGGCGATAATAGGATAATCGTAGTTCCTATTATCGCCATACCCACATTTCTGCTATATTTGTATGTTGTTGCTATAGCAAATTCATTTCATGACTCGCTGCTGTTGGCATTTTTTTCTCCGATTGGTAGCTAATGTTCCGGGACAATAGAGAGAAATTGTTACTTAGAGTATTGTAGTCTTCGGATGGATTGCAATAAAAAGTGGTGATAATAGGGTAACTTACGTTATATTGCTGTTGAATAATATCCAAGCTTGTGAATATTTTCCATATAGAATTTTAAATAATGGTGATTTTTCCATCTATCAGTTTATTGTATCGTTTACTTTTTTGCCTAAAACTTGTCTACAAATCAGGAGTGCGTCCTATCCACTCCACAGTAACAGCTATCACACATTCTTGCTCATGTTTCTATTACACACCATAATTTACTCACTTACCGTAATACTTGTAAGTGGAGCTTCAAAAAAGTGAATAGTGATATTTTTCAAGTTATAATAAGTAGTGTAAATTATCTATGCACTTATGCATTTGTATACTATAGGCTATACGGTACATCAATCTACATATGTAAAATATTATTATAAAGGTACAGATAATTTTCGTTAGCTTATTAAGTAGAAATCATTTGAGACAATTACATCTTCTCCAGTACAAGATTGGGACGAGGCTCTATGATACAGGTCATGATTGTTATTAAATAATCTCAATATATACAGCTGTGTGTTTATCTTGATTATTGGGATTGCTTATCCACAGTCAAATAAATACTCTTACAGTGAGTTTAGTTGCATTAAATGCGTAAGTTTTTAATTTATAGATTGCTGAGCATGAGGTTTTAAAAAACATATGGCACATGTATATACATCAGTACATGGTTTGTGCTATGCATTACGGTAATGCTATCAGCCCATTGAGAGAGTGGGCAAGTCCATTGTACATGCTGGTAAATTGTTGAGATAAGATCACATTGAGGACTCGATATGACCACCGACATCTGGTTGATGAGAGAAGGCCCTTAAGAAATTCGAGAATATTGTGCTGTTAGAATAGAGATGAAATACTAATATTGAAATATTATTTCATAAATGCTTGGTTCATACCTTAGTCATGCATGAATTCAGAATTATTAAGTAAAGGAATACAATTCTATTGAGCTTACAGAATTATAGGAGCGGATATATATATATATATAGCAGCGGAGCAATATAATCCGGCCCGTTGCGCTTCACTGAATTATAGTAACAAATTATATCTGTTTTGTCGATTATATTCTCCAGGCAAAAGAATTTACGTGTAGACTAAATTATAATATAATGTAACAGGTATATAATTCACAATTACTCGTTTAATGAGCCTATAATTTAATTATAATTTAGACAAATGGCAGCAAAACGCAGAAAAGTTGATGCGCAAAAAATATTCAAATGGTCATTCTTCGCGCGCTGCTTAAAATTTAACTTCTGATCTGTGTGACAAAATGTGATTCATCGGTCATCCATTCAATTTTTGACTTTTTAAAAATATGTGTGGCCCGCTAATAACTTGCAACCTTCAATTTTGGCCAGCGAGCGACAAAAGGTTGCCGACCCCTGTTATAGGCAATTGACTTATCATAGTTATAATTATTCTGCCAACTGGTTTTAAGGTACTCATGCAAGTTTGCTAATCCGGTACTTTGGTTCACTTAACAGTTATTGCATCTCACAACTGTAGCTGACAACTGATTGCCCCTGTTTGCATGTTTAAAATTCATTGGTATAATTTATGAGTGTATTGCTGGATTTGTTGTTCACTATATGATTAAGCAAACTTAATAAGCAAAATTCCTATGCTCGACCACAAAAAGCTGTATTTTCCCGTGTTGTAAAGAATAAAAAGTAAGTTTTATAAGTAGGTAGAACATTGATTTATAAGAATATAAAGCTTACCTTTTAAAATCAGTCATCTCATGGTTTTCTGCAATAACGAAAATGATTATTCAATAATGCTATATAATTATTTCGTATTTTCTTATGCCTTATAAAGTAATGAGTTTTTGTTGATCATTAAATTAATAAATGTCATCGAACATATATTAGATATTATCGATAAAACTAAAATGCTTGGAGGTAGGATCGTACATATTCATATTGGCTGCTGAAGTGTTTTTCAAGAGAGGATGCATGCTATTGTAATTTGTGATGCTTGTCACGCTTGTCAAAATTATCATACCTATGTTTAGGGACAAATTAATGGTCCTGGAAAAAGATGGTTAGGAATTGTTTTTTCATAGCAAATAATTATTCCCTAATCCCAGGTTCTGTCCTAGGTAGGTATTTATTTTTTATTATAAATTTGACTTCAATAACATTGAATATACTTTTTTTTTAATGTTTGTTCCTGTATCCCAGTGGTGAATAAGACTATGTTACATATTCATCATATTGCTTTATCGCAATTAGAGTTATTCTTGCTGTGGCCCAAATTAAATACCGGTACTGAATCTTATACTTACCAGGCTTTTTGGGACTTGGGTCCGTGGGCCACTGGAATTTGCGCGAGTGGAATAATTCCCGATCTTTCTCTGATGCGTATACTGGTAACATGTTCAAATCTGTTTCCATTGCTGACATAACCTCACAAAATTCTAGATTTATGAATAATTAATGATTATCATCAGTACATTGACAACATACTACTACAGTATATATCCAGCCATTAATAATACTTGCATTATGTCCCTGATGTCCTGATTTAGTTTCTGCAAAAATTCCTGAAACTTTTGTATTTTACCTCTATTGTATTCTTCAAATAATCATATGTAACTGGGTGAGGGAGTAAATTGCAATATTTTGGATGTATTATAAATACAAAGAATACTATTCCACACATCACATTGAATTCTTTGTAATTACCTGGATACGTTAAGTACGGACTGTACGGTATTTACGAATTGCCTAGAAATATATTTTAAATCAAGTATCTTTCGACACCTGATACTGAGATTTTTGTACAAAATAGCTTTTTTATGTACTATGTCGGTAATAGCCTGAAATAAAAATAGAAGCACCAATTGTAAAAAATAAATCTAAGCTTCAATCATATACATACCGTTTTAAAGTTTTTTTTATCTCTGCCCATTAATTTCCCAGGTATCACCTCATTGTAATATCGCTAAATAATATTTTTGTTTGTCTCTGTTACCTACCCATGTCCTCAGTCTGGTTGTTGTTATGTTCAACAGCACATCGTTTCAAAGCATTGAATTGGTCTTTGATAATTTCCGCAACTTGTGCAGAGTTTTCTACTGAACCAAATATTTCATCATGCTCACTAGCTTCACAAGATTCCGAAATAGAAGGGGGAATGCATGGGAGGGTATTAGAAGATCTCTTTGATCCTAAAAAAGAATATATTGTTGTACGAAGATGTTCTAATTGAAATTTATAATATGAGTGAGTCCCAGGCCGAGCTGGTAAAAATTTAAAACCGAACTCTGATTATGACAGTTGACTAATTATAACAGCTTTCAGCTTTATTATGGGATGAATGTGTGGAGTAAGCAGAGTTTAGAATGTTGTGCGACCTGACCTGCATCATTGTCCATCATTGATACTCTGTTTGTTGCTTTTTGCACTGACATTTTAAAACTTTCCACCTTGGAATGAAGCTGGCAAGATAATTCATCTATATCATCAATCTTCTGTAAGATTTTGTCCAGTTTCTGACTTTGCAAATCCAGTTTCAACAAAATTTGTTGTAGATCTATAGATGTCATGTTATAGTTTACTGTGATAGTTCTTCAGTTTTTTTAACATATTATTAAAAATGCCTATAAGTACGATAATAAATAAGAATATATTGTATAACTCTTGAGGATTTTGGAGTTATTACTAATTTTGTTCACTATGTTGATTGTATCATGTTCATTTTGCATTTTATTCTTCCTGGCTAGAGTAGCAGGTCCTCATATCTTTATTTATTTAAATACTATATGCTGTAGGTTTCAAAGCTTTCCAACTCATTTGTAATACAAATCATGAGATTGGGAAAAATATTTGAATTTATGGACAATAAATTACGATCAGGAAAACCATTTATTATGGTCCTTAACGTTACTAAATGTCCGATACTGCCAGTCTAAAGAAAGAAGTTTTTTAGGCAAAGGGTTGAAGTTGAAGCGCTTGTGTGACAAGTGACATGACAAATTTTTCCGAATATTTATTTCAGACATCCATGTTTTTAAATCTTTTAATCAAGGGTATCATCTTAAACATTATTTTGTTGTAATTAATGTTACATTGTGTACCAAGCTGTGTAGAAGCAATTTTGAAACAAATATTTGTCAGATGCAAATTGTATTGTACTTCATGAAATTATATTTTCGCCAACTAGTTCTTATAAATAGAATTGTGAAATTTGAATGTGTGGGACTTTTCCTTGGGTATATTTCTTTGATGCTCTTATATATCTACCTTGTTTGTGAAGAACTTGTTCTGGATGGGGAATGACGCTCCATCTTAAGGTATTTGGTCTTTGGGGTCTTTTCTTTTGTTTGATGACAAGAGCTTCTTCAAGATAATCAGCTGAAGCTTTACTTGGAAGGCTCAAATCTTCTAAACATAAAAATGTATCGATTACATACTACTAATGTTTCACTTGGGATTAACATGGTTGTGTCAAAGGTTATGTAGAATATGATCTTTTACAAGGGATTTATCCATTGTTTCAGACACTGATTGCTGCGCTTGAAAAATGATTTTATCGCTCTTTAGCTTGCTCAACGCAAAGTCACAATCGATCAACAAAACTCACAGGAATTTGATACTTCTCTTATTATTCTTAGAGCAACACTGGTAAACATCGAGTTATGACATAGCATTTTTATTTTATTTTGACTGGGAAGTACCGTGTAATGCAGAACGTTTCACACTGCTATTTCACACTGAGTTGTAATTGATACTACCATACCATCAATTTTGCACTATTACCAATATCAATTTGTTATTATAACAGCTTTCCATATTGTTAAAAATAGCACTCCAACGATTTTTATGTTTTCCGAATTATTGCAAACTAATAAGTGCACTGTGAATATATCACCATTAATATTCATTTTTAAATTCCAAAGATTGGCCATTTTCATGTGTTCAATTCAGGGGATGTTAGCCTCAACTGAATGGGTTATAGTCATCAAACTTCTGAACTTGATATTCATTTGTAGATAAATATTGTGGTTGTCTTACCATTAGTTTCACTCGACAAAGAATCTTTTTCACTTCGTTCATCATTGCCGAAAAAATCTTCAATAACTTTATACTCGATAGCTTTGTCAACTTTCACATTTCCTGATTTTAAAATGAAGATTGATCACATTTTTATGTGAAACATTTGTTGATTAACAATAAATGCTTGATTATTTGTCAATCTCATGAATACTGATATGCTTTCTGGACTGCTAGTGCTGAGTCATTCATTATTTTTGGTATGTTTCCACTTTGTCACAGAAAAAATTGATTTTTCAGCCACCGATACATACAGAGCCACTTTGATCTGATGAGAGTGGCATCGTTTCAGTTCATTTTTGCTTACCCATGGAGGGAAAGGCGCTATTTATGCAATTCGAATTTGTTTTTCATTTCTTGGTTGAATTCAAAATATTTCAAAAGCTTTTTGAAGACATTATTTGTGTGCTATTGTGCATAACTCACTTGTATACGGAACATCATCTTCATTTTCTGCAGTTGATATCTTTCCACAAGTGCAGAAAAATAATCTCAGCAATCTACTGTTTCCTGCTTTCACCATCTTTTTTGTAATTTCAAGCTTTTATGAACATTGCAAAATTTACTGAAAATTTAGATAATCAAAATTAATTAGTTCAAATCTCAAAGTAGAAGGAGGAGTATTGAGTTAGGCTTTTTATGTTTTTAAGTTTTGTGACCATGTATACATATAGGGATCCTTTCATGTTAAAAAAGGAGACATTCTTGCTCATGTTTTCGAAGGATGTCTATTTGATACTCAATAGGTACTATCATAAATGAGCAGTTTTTTGCTTTACTATTGCATATATTTCAGGTGTCGCAATAGTAAAAATAAAATGAATATCACTTCTTGATTAGATTGATTACAACACATTGAAGAATCTTGAATTTATTTTTGTTGTTTTGTTCTTAATATAATGATGGGTACCGGTATTGTTGAAGTATCATTCTATAGGATAAAAAAGATGCAGATTTTTTTTCAATATTGTTATGCTTCGTGTCCAACTTTAAAACATTAGTATCAGAATTGCAGATATTGACACTAATCAAAATATGATATTACTGCATCTTTGATAACTGGGCTATATAGAATAAAAATAGTGGAGAATAGCAGCAGAATAGATATTATACTGTCTCCCATAGATGTTTTTTTCTGCCTGTCATGCTTACAGTAGGGAGAAATGAACTAATGTCACATTTTGAGGTTTTGTAAAAATCACATTTTTATAATCATCAAATCTGTACAGTCAAACCTAAAAATGAATAAAAGGCGCTACCTAAAATCAAAACTACAAGAAGTGCAGAAATAAAACCCGGATCAAAAAATGGCACCTGGTCCATAATAACAGAAAATCAAAAAAGTTCATTTCTGAAGAATGTGACATATGCTACATTAGTTTTACTGCGGTGATATTATGTCTTTCTGCACAATGAAGCCTAGTGTAAATCTAAATTGTAAAATGAAGAATCAGCAGAATAGTTATGAATGTTGATGCAGCTATTTCTTTTGATTCTTAATAATGCTTATAAACAAGATGAACTAATCCGTTAATCTCCATTGATTTAGATATTAAAATACCATTGTGCTAATGCTAGAGTGACTCAGCTTGAATAGATGACTTCCAATTCAAACTCTACTATCTGTACTGAGGACAGCGCCAGGTAATATTTGTTGTATCGACTTCCCTTTTTCATGATGGCAAGTGGCAGGTGTTCTTTCATTGTCTTTCTTCGTCCAGGTTAATTTCGTTGCCTAAATAATGATGTAATCTATGCTATTTTAGTTTTTATGGGTCGTGTGCAACAGATCTTCTCACGTTACACACCATGACGATTAATATTGAATCAAGGGGTGGTGATTCGAATTCAATAGCTCTGTCCAAGATTATTATATAAAGTATTGGTTTTGTAATGGCAGAATACAGGTGGGCTTTTTCTAGTAATAAGAAAAGTGCTTTTCTGAAGATACAAGAATGTTGGTAATTATTAACTGTATATTTGCAATTTGAAGATTTGTCTTTGTATTTTGATATTCTTTATCATGTGCGAAGGTGTGTTTTTACAACCAAAGTAACCAATTAGAAAAAGGTATTTTTTGGTTCCCTATTTCGTGCATCAATTGCCATTTAAGGATTTGTTTCAATATTGTTCGACTTGGTTCAATACATGTCAATGATGTTTATGTTAACCTAACCATGAGAAGAAAATCTTTGTCAGCACAAGCTATTTTAAATTTAATCCCGCTAAGAGTTTTTTATTTGATCTTTCTAAATTATTCTCTTATCAAGCCTGGATCATATATAAATAACTAGAAATGAGCAAAACGAATTAATCCTCTGAAATTTTAGAAAGTATTAACTAGCATCAGTTAAGTACTCAAATGAAAATTATATTACAAAATAAATTGTTATTTATAATTTTATATCATAATAATATGGTAATTGAATTATTCCATTTACCTTTATATAACTAATTGCAATCAAAAATCATTTATTCCATAGATGGCTTTTTTGTGAGCATGATTAAATGTTATTATATTATTAATAAGCTGATATTTAAATGCCATTGATAGATTAATACCAATTTATTTTTATCTCACTCACTCATGATAAAAGTCAGGTTGGATGGTTCCAGATGGATCAGAATATTTTGTTTAATCTTCTTGATACTGAAAATGGTATTGTCTTGCATCCTTAATTATTTCAATTTCAGGGTGGTTCATGTAAGACAAGACAAAATTTCAGTTTCAAAGCTGTTCAAGTTAATCTCATATCCAGACATGTATGTTTGTTCAAGTCACTCATTTATAATCATTATTTAATCTGTGCGATGAAGCGACACAATTCCCATGCTATTTGATGATATTGTAGTTCCACTCTTAGTCAAGATAATATTACATCTGCATTGTATGCTTTTACAGCTTCGTTATCATCTGGCTGTCAAGGAATGGATGCAGAAGGAGACGACGTTATCAGTTTTTCATCTAAAGGTATGATATTTGAATATTATGGTGTGTAATCAGATGACCGATTCAAGTCTGTTTGGAATTTATAAGGGTAATATATTGATCTGAAGTAGGAAGTAGATGAGAAAAAAGGACCTGCGGTTCAATACACAATTTCCTAGTACGCCTTGTTTAAAAATAGTTATATTTAATAATATAAATCCTCCATTTTAGGATTATTTTAAAATAGGTATATTGAAAAGTTATTAATTAGAGTAGCTAAAGTCTCACAGCATGATAAAAAAAGCTTTCATTAAATTCTGGAAAAATAGAAAACTAATCAAATTTTGACATTGCTGTATTTTCAAATTTAAGCGTGTCACTTGTTGGTTATAACTTTGATCATGACCCAATATGAAATATATTTGAGTATTAATTTAGAATCAATCAATTCGTTTATACTCCAGAATGGATCCATAATTGTAAATCAACCGGTTTGGCCATGTAGTGTTAGACAAATATACCAAACTTTATTATGTCGTTATTGCCACTGTACAGGTTAAAGGTTAATACTAATGATGAAACACCAATAACTTTAAATCACAACACTGTTATATTTGTCACTGTTGTATTGAAAGACCTTGGCAGTCAAGAATAGACTGCTGATAAACAGCTATTCATGATTACTTGAATTCAAATATCAATACATATATTATGCAGCTGATAATTACCAATTTGATGGATACTTAAGAACATACTTTGGCACTGCAGATAGTTGTTTGAATTTTACAGTATTAACTGATTTTCTATCGAATTATTTCTGTTTAATTTATATCCTGGAATACTCTGCTTTCAATAAAAAATAGTATTTCCACAGGAAGTGATGTCACTTGGGGAAATCAATTGGACATAAACATGTCTAGCTTGCTAAATTGTAATTGCCATTCAGCATGTAAAGTTTTTAGGATTATGCATTTTACAGCAGTAGCCTATTGATGAAACTTTTTTCAGGAGCATAGTTGTCATGAAGTGAGTTGTCATGAAGTGATTAGTATGCTAGTTAGAGCTGTCAGAAACTAACCATATTCATTTGGAATGATAAATTCGATATTGCAAATTTTTAAGTTTAAAATGAATTGAAATATTTTTTATTTAAATAGTTATGAGAATCTTTATTTTCCTATATTATGTTCAGACCAGTCTATTTAATAATGCTTCAAACCAATTCAGACATTTTTTTACATTATGAATATCATTCCGTATGAATAATAATTTGTATTGGTTACTGTGGTTACTTTTAAATATAGGCTATTTAATATTTCATATTCAAATGATGATATATGATTTCAAAATATATTTGGCATAGGTATTTATATGGTTTGAACCATCCTCAATTTTACTAGTACTATGCATTGCAAGTTGCAGCATACTTTATGAATGCATTTGGGATTTCTAAGTTTATTAAGTTTCAATCCAAATGTCTGTGTCTGTGAATATGTGCAAACGTCGTCCATTGTGTCCCAATGAATAAATAATTTTTTTTTACTAAACTATTACACAGCTGTGTGAGCGTCAGGGGTTGTTGAGCCTCTGAATTCACTTGCAGGCTAAAGCTAAGATGCCTAACAAAATGCATATGATAAACTAAATTTCTTCTATGATTGGGAGATATATTGATAGCATTGTTCATTCCTTGAGAAACTTCATATTTTACTAAATTTTTCGATGTGTGTGAGTGTGGCAGAGATCATGTTTGAATTGTGAAGTCAATAAAAACGTTGCTATGTTGTACAAATATATGCTCCAAACATATCTTCTCTCGAAACATACTATTATTAAGCTGTTATCCTATCAAGTTAAGATGAGACCACATTGGTTTATGATGTATTTTATGTTTTATAATATTTAAGCAAGGTTGAGTAAATATCATTTTTGCTGTGATTGTATGTTCAGTACACGCTGTATGTGGTTAGTATAAACCTGTGGGTAGATGAGACTGAAATATATTTTAGTCAGATTGAGAATTGAGATATATATTGCTGTACCTCAAGATTAATAGTGAGTATTCTCGGGCTAATTTATTACAATTTAGAAGCTTTGAAAAGCTTTTGTCAAATTTTTCTAAATTCCAAATTTATCTTCTGCATAGGTTTACTTATTTTAGAAAAAGTGATTTCATAATTTCAACTTTGGTTGCAATTTTGCATACTTTAGGAATTAAGGTAAACTGTGCTCAATTTTTTCAATTGTGTTGTTTGTAGGTTGTATTTCTGTTGGCTCCTAGTGCTGGCTGCTTGGGCTTATGTCCAATGTTTGTTAATGTATTTTCAAGTATTATGTTTCAAAATGATGTTTCTTAATAAGGGGATGCGGTATAATTTTACTTTCAGACTATTCCGAACACAAATTTTCATAATGCGAAAATAATAATTGAATAATTAGGGTGATATAAAAGATCTTGACGAATAGAGTGGATCAGTTTATTTAAGACATCAGTAATTCAAAATCGTGTTTTCATTATTTATTATAATAAGTTCAGAATTCTCAGCTCAGCATCATCTTCATAAATCTCAAAGGGAGTCAAAGCGTTAGTGATCTCACCTAATTCAAATTTGATAGGATGTGCAGAGGAATTTTCTTAAGCCAGAGTTAGCAATAATCAAGTTACCTTCTGTCTGATTGAGCTTAGAACTCCTGACCTGTAATTTAAAGTACGGTAGGATTAAAAATTCTTGTTTATAATATTTCCTTTGCTACCTGATTGCAGGAACCACAGTTAGTGGATGGGGTCGAAGAAAAATGGATGAAAATGATAAAAGAACAGCAGTATGGCGACAACTTTATTTAAGCAGAGCTAAACTTAAAGCTGTCAGCCGGACTTCTGCTCTCATTGCTGGATTTGCAATGGTATGTTTTGAATATTTCATCTTTATGGTAATAATAATGGTAATAACTTGCAACGAAATATTCTATTAGCCATGTGAGAAAGCAAATAGTCTCCAAACAATAGTATTTGAAGTTGGGTTGTGAAAGTTTTATTGAAAGGATATTCTTAACAACGACTCCATAAACTGGGGTCCCAACCTCCCAGTTGGCTGCAAAATGGCTATATGGGGGTTGCGGTAAAATCTTTTTTGACACCCATAAAATTTGAAATTTTAATTGAATTTGAAAGTTTTGGAACCACCACACTGAGACCCACCATCACTGAAATAGAGCCAAGATTCGATCTTTTGTGCAAGAATATTCGAACTCATGCACATCGAACTCATTGAAGGTCTTGTCAATATTAGATGTTTTATTAAAATTTGCTGGATTCTTTAAACCTTTTATAAATATTTATTTCAGTTTCTGAGATTTGCGAAAAAAATTTGGGTGTGCCAAGTGGGTCACAATGAAAAAAATTTGAATAACATTGTTCTTAACAATAATTCCTATTTTCGATTTAATAAACAAGCTTATTACTATTAGTGCATTTTGTTTCAAACGAGGTCGTGTACATCTATCAATAACTCCTTTTTATTGCAGATAGCCATGGTGGAAGTATCTCTTGAAACAAATGTGATATATCCAAAATGGTTGCTTGTTACATTTTCAACAGTTACAACTTGTCTTGTGTCTGTACATTTATTTGCACTGATGATATCAACATGTCTTCTTCCTAATATTGAAGCTATATCGAACATTCATAATTTAAATGCCGTAAGTATAATGTTGTTTTTACCAATACCTCATTCTATATTTTTTGATCAGGAATCGAGAGAATCCCGAAACTTGGGCTTGGATGTTGGGGTATTGCCCATAACCACTGATTACCATGCGTCATCCTGCGCAGGATAATTATGTGAAAGGGGATTGCTGAACTCAGGGAGTGGTTCACTGGACATTGCAGATTGTCACATAATTAGACCATCTTATCAAGTCCATGTATCTGAAAACAAAATAACTGGCTAGGTATTCCCATACCCGTCATGGACTGGCAAACGGACGAGAGGCTGTGGCTCGCCATATGATTAAGCTGTCTTATTGGCTTTTCTCTTCTCATAATAAATATGTAAAGCCTATCCTATTGGCTCTCTTCTCCTAAATATGAAAAATCCTATTCTTGGTGTAAGAAGAACCTTTTCTTAGTCCCTAGTTTTGCTTTGAACAAGTAGCAGCAATCAATAGACTTTTGTCTATAATCTCCATAAGTTTCCCTTTATGCCATGTAATATTTGATGACAACATAGCCAATAAGCAAATCTTTTATTATTTAGAATCTCTGGGTGATATATTTAGAATGGCCACATATTTCATTGATTCTCAGTGGTGCATGAGGCCAACAAGTACTAAATTGGAATATAACCAATTTGTGTTTTGTAGTATCGTATATTGTACTTACCTGCTGTCTATATATTTTCAGGCAAAACATTCTCCTCATGTTAAAATGAGAACGTATATTGAAACATCGTGGATATTATCAACAGGTAAATATGCAATATTGAAAAAAGTGTCTTTGTTCCATGCAGTTATTCATTTTGTCCGGAAACAAGAATCTTATTGTTTTTATAATATGCTCCACCATAAATAGCATCAGGAATATGCTAGCGCTCGCGCAGATAATTATCCTGCATGAGGTTGTAGTGTCTCAAATATGTGATGTCCCAAACTTGTCCTATTTATACCACTGTACTGGGTTAGTATTAAACTACCGGTACTTGATCAATATTATTCTCGATATGTAGGCTACTAGTCACTGGCAAAATGGCAAGTTTGGCATGTCATCAAGTTTTTTTAGAAATGAAATCTGCAAATTCACTCTTGTATATTTCATCAGTTTAGTTACTAAACAGCAAGTTTCGATAAACGTTTTATTTTTCAGGTGTTGGGCTTGTTTTATTTTTGATTGAAATTGCATTGTTAATATGGTTAAAATTTCATGGATTGAGAGGAAAACCAACAAGTCAATCTTCTGTTACCAATGGGACATCAACAACTGATTGCTATGGAGATAATTGTAAGTATGTTAATAAGGTCATCATTAAAACGTACTAGAATTACTGTAGTTATTAGTTTACTTATTAAACGCTGATGCGCATGGATATGATTAACATTCATCATGGAGGAGAGGAAACTGATAAGATGGCTTAATCATATGGCATACCACGGCCCGTCATTCGGTTACCAGTACATGTGAGGTATGGGATTAGTTCACGAGTTATATCGTTTTAAATAAATGGACTTGATGGTTGAAGAAGCCGTAACCGACCAGTGGTTTCGTGAACCATCCCCTAGGCCCTAGCCGCAAGTAGTACAGCAATCCTCTCGCACATATTTATCCCCCGCAGGATTCGAACCTGCGAACCCACACAGGGTAGTCAGAAATGCAGTGGCGAGCGTATTCCTATCGCTTAGCATGATGCGCCACACTGCCAAACCAAAAAAGCATCAGATGCCATTTAGTCTAATGATTGGGAAATCATACTATTTTCTGTGTTAGACCTACTCATTAAAAAATAGTTGAAAGTTATGAAAAAATTGGAAGATATGAAATTTTGTCCTCTCCTAGACTTAAACAAGATGTTACCTTCAAGTTAACTCACAATTGTGTTTTGTTAAGTATAGCATAGTTTGTAAAAAATAAAATTCTCTGTATATGGTTGAGAATAGCGCATGGCTGTGGAGCTGGAGCTGAATCCGGCGCTACCAGAAATTTTAGTGGCTCCATTCCCGAAACCATCTAATTATTTTTCAACATTTATAATTTTCTATAACATCATACAATGAAAAAATTGATCCTTTTTCAGCTTATTCGAGCCTTAATTAATTGAACTTTATATATTGACTGTGAGCTTCTCCGAGCTATTACTGGTAATTATATCAGCTTCTTTGTCACAGGTGACAACGCACTCTGGGCTTCTTGGTCAGCTACAATAGTTCTTGTTCCAGTTATATTGTTGTTCGCTGGGTTTGCTTTCCATTTTTATCGAGCTTTGGCACAGCATAAGTATGGAGTCTTCACTTCATATATGAGAGAACTCAATGACTTGGAACTAAGACAAGGTGAATTATGTTAGGTTTTTTATCGTTTGAAGCAGAATTTACAATTGAATGTTTACTCATTTTAACATGTTTTAGATAATATGCATGATGTTTGTCAGAAGAATTGTAAACTTATACCGTATTTATAGTTACCCAAACTGGTGTGAATATTGTCTAAGTCGGTGGTTCTTTAAACTTTCATAATCCTTCCAAAGACTCGACAACACTTGTGGCCCACTGCTCTTATTTGAAACTGCCTCCGTCGGTCGGTTGTTTCATGTGTTGCGTTTACTAATAAAAAGCCAATAAACAAAAGGTAAAAAATAAATGATCTACAATAGAAGATTCAGACAAATAACGGTCAATTTACTTTAAATTAATGTAGTCTTGGCTCATGGTACTGAAGGAAGGTCCATAGGCTCAGTTTTTGGAAACCCCAATCTAAATTAGCACTTCCAATTTATGACAACATACAAATATTTACTTTTTTGGGGGATTTTTTGTTCGAAAAGAATTTTTTTTGTGGAATTACTATTTTCCTGATAACATCATGATTCATGCAGTATAAATCTTTCATATTTTTTTATGGCTACAATAATGACAAAATTTGTGAATTCCATTTTTTATTAGACGACATCAGTGGCCAGATGCGACAAGCCAGTATGCTCGAGGGAGGACTTTATGCTCATCAAGACCTATCCAGGATGCATTCAGCAGCTTCAGGAACTGCAGTACAATATCGTCCAAACAGCCAGTCAAACGCTATAGATCGTTTAAAAGTCGATTCATTTATGCTTGAACATGAAAGCACAAACAGTGGCCGAACCACACCTAGTATGGATGTGGGACATTAAATGATAACACTGTGTGGCATTTACTGATGCAGCTCATACTGGTTATGGCGATATATGTTCCCAATTATTGCAAATTTGGTTTTCAAACAACCATAATAACCAGAGGCAGAGTAAGCTCTGGGCATATTTACCATCTGTAAGAGCTTGGTAAAACCGTGGCACAAATAAAACGAGGTAATGTTTATACAAAAACTTACTAATCTCTGTCATTTCGAAGATATTGAAAAGTATCCGAAGTGTTGTATCAATAAAAAAGTTCATGTTCCTTAAGAACGATAACCTGAAACTATGGTAATGTGAAGTTATGATCACGTTTCGCATGGTATTGTTTTGTTTATGCCACTTTAATTATCCCACACAGGATGGGTTTTAACTCATTCTGACCTAGTATTAATAATTGATGTTCTTCTAATGATACTTGAGATGTTTTGCAATTAACATGCTGCTGCAATGTGCAGTCTCGTAACACCTGATGTCTTCACTACAATGCTGCCTCCTTTTTTGTGGAACACATTCATTGCTCTTCCGTAATAATTTCTATTGTTGTCTGATTTGACACTAACCTGTGCAATACTTACTGCCTAGTTTTTAAAGATAAATTAGTTTTTGGAAAATAAATTGCGCAGATCAAGTTTTAATAAATGACTATAAAGATCTCCTTCAGAGACCTGCTCTAATTGACTGATAGTGAAGGTGCTGCCATTTGACCCTTTGTCACTCACGGACTTGCTTGGTTGACTACTACTCGTTGCTACGAAACTCGGATCAGTTTGCTCTGTAATTTAGTTTGACGTGTATTCTGTCGCGTTTTAAGTTTATTCCTTTAGAAACACAGTTTACGATACAATATACATAATACCGTATCTAAAGCTGTTTGCTTCTGAAGGATCAAAGGCAATTGTATTGCTCGAAAATACAGGATGCAAATGTTGACACCAATTTTACTGGAAATAGCCTTGTTCTTGATTACAGTGTTTGAATTATCATTTCGGCGAAAAAGAGGCATCGTTATGTGCTAAACCTGAATAGTTAGCAGAGTCAAATTCAAAAGGCCGCAAATTCGGCAAAAATAAGGAACAACGGTACGAGCTAAAAAGATTTTACGTGGTCAAAACGTTTGTGAAGACTGTGAACGTTGTAATAAAAGCTATTTTGTAACGACATTACTTAGAACCAATGCAGGTTATTTTGTGGTCGTTTGGAGACGATATAAATGCCGTTTAACACAATATGCACGTTACTCTGCAGAATCGTCCTATAATTTTCGTAAAAAAAACGTCGGTACAACGGGAAATTGAATTCAAGTAGTCTCTAAAATTATGACTCGTTAGAACCGTGAAATATATATATATATATATACAACTGAATTTCGAGGATTGAGAACAACTGTTTGGTAAGTGAGACTTCGTTTTGAAACGTCGGATCCTGCAGTATTCTTAATGTGCTCTAATAACTTTTCTTTGTGAATGGCAAAATATATTGGCATGCAAAATTGAAACTATTTTTTTTTATAATTTGCCATACCCGACAAAAGGAAATCAACGTGTGTGGACTTGTGGGGTATGGCATTGAAAAGATTAAAATAGTGCAACACTTCATATTTATCGAGCCCACCTCTTTGCAGATATACATATTATACTGTATAATAATTTTATCAGCTTTTGTCAAAAAATGTGCTAGACTGCCGTTCTGTTCAGTCTAGCTAATTCATTAATCATTTATTATTGATAGATTTTAGACATGAAATTGAGTGTAATTCTCTCCGCATTGGCTTTACTATCCCTGCATTCTGGGTGTGACGCTGTATGCACTCATGATGATGGAACACAATACCAGACAGGTGGAAGATATGATACTGGATCACTCATGTGTTTCTGTAAAGAAAGCGGAAAATTTGGGTGTATGTCATTTAGTAAGTATGCTTCAGTAAATCTTTTTACAGTCCAATCAGGGCCGGATTTAGAACATGAGAGGCCCTAGGCTATTAAATACATTTGTGAGGCCTCTTCATATTTTTGAGCTCAGAACTTTTCTCTAAACAGCATCACATGTCCTTGCTTAATGTTAAAAATATGGGTGCATTGATTAAACTCTTCGTTAATTTCATTCTCCCCATTCATGGGTGCAAATTTTTAATTAAAAAATCAAAATTTACTTAAGGCAGTTTTGCTTTTAATTTCAATTTCTTTGATCAAACAACTGTTACAATATTTGTAATGTTTATTTACGAGGACATAAGGAATAGTTACAGCCATCAAATAGAGTAAGACTGGGCTACAAAAAAAATTTTCTAGCTTCCGTCAAACCAAAATCATGCAAAAGTTCATCAAAATTTATCTTTTCAAGTTTATCACTCTCAATGCTCAGTGCAGACAACCTTTCTTGCGACATTGTCGAGTTTATTTTTTGATGCTTTTGAGCCATGAGAAAGAGGATTTAAATTTTAAAGGGTTTGAACTTGTCAAGTTTTCAAAAGAATTACAAACTTCGAAACCGAATTTCGAGGCCCTAGGCTGCAGCCTGCCTAGCCTATTGGTGAATCCGGCCCTGAGTCTAATGTATATTCCTGACAATCATAACATCGACTGGTCGCTGCTTATGCGTCGTTGAATAATCTAGCTCAATGGTGTGCAACCTTTATTACAGGAGGGCCAGATTCAAGTAATTGGGTGAAGCCGCGGGCCGCACTTTTATTTAGGGTATATATAATTTCTAGTAGTTAAAGTAGTTGAAGTTTTTGCTAGCTAGTTTTGCCAATATTACAGTGGCACTCGGGTACTGGTATAGGCTTTGCGACGCAAGGGAATTGGAATTGCTCGCACGTACCAGAATAACTAAGCCATAAAACTCGTTTTGCGGGCACACCGGAAATTCTCCGTATGCCGCACAATATTTCCTTGCTGGGCGCAGTTTGCACACCCCTGGCCTAGTTCAATGCCCCACATGTGCCCAGGATAATGACCATGTACAGTCGTCTTTAGTCTGAGAAGGAAAGTATTCTAGATAAATATATCAACATTTTGAATGAATGAATAAATTACAAGAGAGCTACGCCCAAATATATGGACACGTCTGTTCGCAGTACAGTACGGTGTACCGTACCGTCAGATCACAATCTACAAATATATTCACACCAAGCGAAGCAGTACAGTAGGACACAAAATGTACGTACGTTTGATGACGTCATAGCAAACAAAAACAAATCTCACAGAGCTAACAGAAATATTTGAAATGAATAAAAGTAATAGCCTTCTGGGGAAAAATTTTATCTTCAACCACTGAAAATTTCAAAGCAATTGGTCCAGTATTCGAAGAGAAAAGCGGATTTTTAATATTTCCACTAGGTGTGTTATTCTGTGTCAAATAACAACAAGAAATATTGAAACGATCGTTATGTCCACTACGTGTCCAATAATTAATTTTGCTTCAAGTTGAATTCGAAATACTGCAGACACTCCGGGAGAATTCGTACCAAGATGACGCAAAACCTGAGCAACCCTAACCCGGTACACATACTATGTCGGGAGGTGCGCCATATTGGTACAAATATTTCGGGAGCTCCAAATGGCGTGGCAGACGGCATTGATAAATCATTATTTTTCTTTAAGAATGTATTATAGATTTACTTCGTTACGTAGGAAAGAAAACGTTATTGAAATCAGCTAACCAAAGAGAACTTAGCGCAAAATTTTGATCCTGAATGCATATGCAGATGTACGTCTTTTTTTAAATTTCTCACAACAATGCCTCTCCTTTAAGATATTGGTCGATAGTCAAACACGAAAATCGACAACGCTGATTCAGAGATAATACATCGTTGAGGAACAAGAAAGTATACGCCGATTTTCAGCTAATATGATAATGAAATTTAAAATGTCTGATTTTGTGTCATGATATACGTATTACAGTTACTGAATTCAACGCCAGACCCAGCATAGAATTTGTTTTATATTTAATGAGTTTGAAGAGAATTAAGATATTCGTGAAAGGCTACTATCTCAAAAGTCATAGAAATTGTGTCGAGTTTATATAAAATTTGATCAAAATGTTACAATTCAGGCAGTCTATTCCTATCGCGATTGAAACACAGAGAGGGAGATTTTAATTGATTGGCCAAACCGAAAATACACATTTATACACCAGTATGAAGTTGCGAAGTATTATTTTTACCCACAACTCCGAAGAGTTATAATCCAAATCTTTTGACAGACACGTCAATGGTACAATTTAAGCTAGTTGTTGTCGCTATGTCACTTCTTTCTTAAGTGCAGTTCGATGTCAATAGAATAATAGATGACTAGATACAGCAATAATTTGGCAGTTTGTAATTTTCGGAAAGCCTAAAATGAACTCGTTTGACTCTTTTAACCTGTTATATTATTATTTCGAGTAACACTAATCATTATAATAGTCTATAACACTATGGCTTTTTCCGGGGAATGTCTTATATTTTTATTTATCAAAAACACAATTACAATGTAGAGAAAAACGAGATTCAACAAATATATAAAATAAGAAAACCGCTATCTATTTAAATATAAATAACACGTTCTTATTCAAAATATCTGCAAAACAAAAATTATTAATCATTTAAAACATATTGGAGAAAGATTTCTTGCTATCGAATAGGTAAAACAAATTTTGCACTATTAACTCTTATTTTAAGTGGAGGGCTTATATCAAAATCATTTTTAAAATTCAGACTAGGGTTTATTTTCAGGCTAGGTCTTATTATCGGGGAAACACGGGAGTAAACAAACATGAAAGATATTTATAAAATTGACATCGAACCTGTATTTTTATGCTCATTTAATTTAACTGTGTGGCAACTAACTCTGATGACCCCTAAACGTCGTATGTTGCCTCTCATGTACCAAAAACATATATTTATTTATTATTCATATGTGTATGCTATAGGCCTACTGTTATCTTGGATTGACAAAATGGAATAAACTCTCTCTCACTCTCTTACTTTATTTTTATTTTTGACTTGGTTTAATTAACACACATTGAACAAGAGAGCTATGCTCAACAAATATATGGACACGTTTGGAATAAATGAAAGTAATAGCAATCTAAATAAAAATTCTTTCACCACTGAAAATTTCAGAGCAATTGGTCCAGTAATCAAAGAGAAAAGCGACACATTTGTGTTTTAGGCCAGTACGGTCTTGTGCATGCATCCCGTCTTACATACTAATAATCGTTCATTTATTTTTTTATCACTATTACGAGACGAATAAACATACATACAAGAGTGCCAGCATAAAATGCAAAACGAACGTTATGTCCACCGACGTGTCCAAAAAAAGGAAGAATGCTCGGGTTGTACATAGAGTGGCAGCAAAGTGACTATGAACAAAGTGTTATAGTCATTTTGAGTATCAGTAGGTGGGGTCCAAAACCTCCAGACTGCCAGAGGGAAGAAAACTAAAGAAAAATTCCTTGCCAAGGGTCTGCGGGTTGGCGATGCTGGTGTCAGTGGTGTGTAGGATTTTCATATTTGTCATTGTTTAATTAAACATTATTGTGGTCAAAATTATGAAACTGTTTAATTAAAAAAAAATGAAAAAATTTAAAACCAATAGTTATCTTGTGCACAAGTTATCAGTATCAGTTCCAAAATTTGTTGGCATTGAAATATTATGCGACTGCTTCTGGTATATTGAAAAATTATGAATGGAAGGAAAGTAGGGTCTGGTATAGTTCAGTACCACATGTAGCTACTTCTAGTTAACCTGGCTCAACAATTTTTGCATATGTCAATCCTAACCCCCGCCTGACTACGTCACCGAAAAATTACGTCATTTCGACGTCACAGTGGCGTCATAAGGCCCACCGAAGTATGCGGATGGTCGTCCAAAACGCGCAGACGATCACCCGAAATCGAGCAAGCAATTTCTCTCGTTTTCTCAAGTGCAGTTTTAGGTATTCTATGGCGTCTGCAGCTGCCGCAAAACCATGGCGGTATTTCCATACCATGGCCGCTACGGCCAAGCCCAAACCTATGGCGACTGACTTTTGAGCTGCCACAAACCAATGTCGAGCTGCCGTTACCGCGGCAGCAAATTGAAAACCAATGGCAGGTAAAATTTTGCTGCCGTAACCGCGGCAGGTGGGCCGTAAGGACAGGGCTGTCCCTTATGGTGACAAATATTGGGTAAGTTGGAACGTTTTTCTTATGGATACAGTCTTGATGGATTTGGGGTTAGGGTTAGGGTTTAAGTAGATATAATTCCGCATGATCAATTAGAATTTGGTACATTAGTTTGTGAATATACCGTTGATACTGATTACTGAATACAGAATAGCGCTATAAAACCATGGCAAGAGCTGCCGCGGTTCGTTCGTGGCAGGAGCTGCCATGAAGTGGTAAGAACTGCGCCTCTGTTTTCTCGTCACAACGATCACGATAGGAGAGAGATCGCCGGCTTTAGCAAATTCGTTATCAGCAGCGCAGATGACATTTCGGGCGATCCTAATTATACTTTGGCAATCCCTATGACGTGATGGCTGGATGGTGACGTCATAGTGACGTAATTTTTGGATGGCATAGTCAGGTGGGGGTTGGGAATAGCATATGCAAAATTCGTTATGCTACGCCCACCGGTAGTACTTGTGGTACTAAACTATACTAGACCCGGAAAGTATAGCTATGTTCATCAGTCTCTTGGCCTGACTATTTATGAAAGAAAAAATTATATTCCAATCATTTTCATGTGTAACTGCACTAGAATAAATTTGGCCAGTGCTCAAAATTTTTTGTATTATGCAATATTGTGTTCAAGAATCATATTTTATGTTAACACTTCCTGTCTTATATTAAAAGTACTGGTATCAATATACCACTTCATTTAAAAGTCCTTTCATAATGCTGAATATCAGAAGCTTGAGCACGTCAATTTTCCTAGTCTTAGCACAATATCATCATAATGATTTAGTTTCCTGCTAACCGTAAGAAAATTATTCAAACTACCAGTACTTTTTGCTAATATTATATTCTTACATTTTCTGCTTAAAGTTTTTCGTTATGTTCAATAGTTTCTAAATCTGAGGAGATGGATGTGAAGAAGATATGTAAAATCATTGTTTCTTCATTCACTTACCCGTATCAATTTTTTTACAATCAATTTTTTACCCATACTTCCTGTTGCCATGAAGTTGTCTTGCGATGTTGTTATTTTGCAAGTATATTGCCCAGAACTCTATCACTTTTGAATTTCATGTATGTCACATTATCTAAATGATTATATTTTTTATCTTATGCAGCTTGTTATACTAAAAATATGCCTACAGAAAGTGATTATGACAAATGTGCAGATATCCTGGTTCGTCTTCAGGAAGGCATATTGAAGAAAAAGTCATTGTCGAAACATGCACCAGTTATACGTCAACTATTGAACCTTGTTGAAAGTCCAGCATTTCGTGAAATATCCAAATTACAGGAATCATTAAAAACACTCAGTCAAGAAGCAAATAAAGAGGGATTTGATGTTGATAAACTCGCTTTTTCACCAGAGCATGGAGGATTAACTCTTGATGGAAAAAAAATTGAGCCTATGAAACAACCTGAAATTCAGGAAACAAAAAATGTTGCAGAATTCTTGGATCAAGCAGCTCAAGGACGAGAAACTGAATTAATTGAATTGGTTAAATCTGAAAATGAAGGTTTAGGTTTCAGTGTTGTTGGATTAAGATCAGAACACAGAGGAGATTTGGGAATATTTGTACAAGATATAAAACCAGGTGGTGTGGCCGATCGAGATGGTCGATTGAAAGAAAGTGATCAAATACTAGTAATCAACAATCAACCTCTGGCGCCCAATATTTCCCACCAGCAAGCTATCGGTATACTTCAAAGAGTTACAGGTGTAGTGGAATTGCTCATTGCTCGAGGAGGAATCCCACAATCACAAGAAGCTGCACAGTCTGATGCAAGTCCGCAGCTATCTCGATCATCATCTGTGGTTAGTTCAATGTCACAAGCATCTGGCGCTCTTCCTGACACACAATGGGCTGAAATTGAAACAATAGAACTTCGTAATGATGGAAGAGGACTGGGATTTGGTATTGTTGGTGGAAAAGCCACTGGTGGGGTGGCTGTAAAAACTATTGTTGATGGAGGTGTTGCAGATCGAGATGGTAGACTTCATTCGGGAGATCATATACTAAGAATTGGGGATACTGACTTGCGTTCAATGGGTTCTGAGCAGGCGGCTGCTGTTTTGCGACAATGTGGCACCATTGTTAGACTTGTGGTTGCTAGGGGTGCCTTGGATGGTGAAGATATACCAAACGTTGAAGAACAAGGGCTTGAAAATATACAAAGATCTCGTCGTTCCTCTAGTTCTACATCAGTAACAGTAAGCATTTCAGATGATGAATCTGAGGTTGGACCTCCCATCACTCGAGATATGGAGTATTTTGATGTTGAATTAATAAAAGATTCTAAAGGGCTTGGGATCACCATTGCTGGATTTGTTCAAGAGGAAGGAAGTGACAATGAAGATGAGGATTCTACAGGAATTTATGTGAAGAGCGTTTCAGCAGGATCTGCTGCAGATATTGATGGAAGAGTACATGCTGGTGATCAAATTGTTGCCGTGGATGGACAGCGTCTCGACGGACCAAATATGTCCAGTGATGAAGCTGTTGAAATTCTAAGGTCTACTGGTGTTGTTGTCAGACTGACCATTGGTAGGCCAAGAGGTGGTCATGACACATCCAGATCCTCAAGTAGTGATAGTTTGCCAGAATTGAATGCTCCTTCCATAAATAACTGGGATGAAATAGAAAAAGACATCAGCAAAACCATAACCCCAGCAGAGCTAGATAACATTAAAGCTCGTTGGCAATTAATCATGGGACCACAATATGACATTGTGATTGTGCAAATCAAAAAGTTCAGCAAAACAAGCGGTCTCGGAATAAGTTTAGAAGGCACTATTGATGATAGTGAGCAACCTCATCATTACATCAGATCGCTATTACCTGAAGGTCCTGTCGGACGAAGCCAAATGTTGCAGCCTGGTGACGAACTTTTAGAAGTGAATAAATCTCGTATTCTAGGACTTCATCATATAGAAGTAGTCACTGTAATTAAAGAGCTACCTTTGGATGTGTGTATTGTTTGTGCCAGACCTCGCAGTAGGTTGAATATTCCACAGATGCGGGATTCTGTAATACTTGAAGAAAGGGAGGGACAACTTTTTGAAAGAAAACCATCATTTGACAATAATGTTGAAATGATGGAAGACCAAGGACATGAAAGTGTTTCTGATCATGAAGAGGATGCAACATATGATGAAACTCCCATTCCACAGCCAGTCTCACCTGTTCACAACATACAAGAATCTTCAGAAAATGAAGAATCCAGCAGCAGTAGCAGTAGTAGTGAATCTGAAAATGAAGAAAATATGATGGTACTTGTTCCGCCTCCAAAAAAGGTACAAGTTGTCCAAGAACTTGACCATGATATGGATAGTGCTTGGGAAGATGATATCACTGTCATTGAGTTAGACAAGGGGAATGAAAGTCTGGGTTTCAGTATTTTGGATTTTCAAGATCCAGTGAATACTCAGCGTACTGCGATTCTTGTCAGATCAGTTGTTAAAGACGGAATCGCGGATCGGGATGGTCGTCTTCAACCTGGTGATAAATTGATGTTTGTAAATGATGTGCCGTTGAGAAATCACACTTTAGACACAGTGGTTGGTGTGCTGAAAAGTGTTGCACCTGGGATTGTTAGAATTGGGGTATCGAAACCAAAGCCTCTATTCCGAGTTCTGCAAGAAAGACAAGAAGAGATGAAACAAGAACACAAGAAAGAGATTCATGAAGATGAATCGATCCCATCTGAAAATTACGAACAAGCAGAAGTGCAGCAACGATCTCCCTTATTTGTTGAACCTTTACCTCCACCACCAGTAATCCAGCATATTGATGTACCATCTTCACCCAGCTCGACTTCAAGTGAAGAGCAAAACGTCGTCTCACAGTTTAGTTATGAACAGAAATTTCAATACCCAGAACAACAGCATCAAGAACGATTAGTAGGATATCCAGAAGAATTTGAAAGAGTAGAGGAGCAAAATTTTTCACACGAGTCTCAACCATTTATGCTTCCCTCTCCACAACCTGAACCACAGCACATTCCTCCTTCAGATAGACTGTCTTCACATAGTGGTTCAGAGGTCAGGTCACCTAGCATCATTACTCAGTCATCTGCCGAAGAAAGAACAATGGAGGTGAAACAAATGCAGGTTTCAGGCATGACTGCGATTGCAGTTACAAGCAGTCTGGCATCCAGTCCACCACAAGAAAGTGCCAAGATATTTGAACCACTTCAATACCCTGACCCATCTAGAGCACAGCCCCCTCCACCATCTCCACCCCCTCCTCCTCCATCTTTTAAAATCCCGCCTCCCATCCTAGCACCACAAAAGCCAGCATATTCTGCTCCTTCTTGGCAAGAGGCAGAAGAGTCTAGAAACATGCCTCTATCTGCGGAATTATATGAGAAAACAGTTCATATAAAGAAAGGTGGTGACGGACTCGGTATTACAGTCAGTCCAGACCGAGATGGAGACGGACTTACTGTTGGCTCCATAAATGCGGGTGGAGCGGTTCACAAATCCCGTAGACCAAAACTTGGTGATATTATCAGGCGTATTAACAATGACTCTGCAGTGGGGCTTGGTGCGATGCAAGCACGCGCTTTAATCAGGAATCACACTATGTTCAGCTCTGATATAACGATCGTCTATATTCCAAAAGAATATATTGGTGCGTATAAAGAAGGTCTGCCTCCACCAAGAGTTGCCTCACCTGTGTCTTCCATTCACACAGATGATGAACGGCCTAGTAGTGTGGCTTCCATCAAATCCAAATTTGAGCCTCCGAACGTGCAGAAAGAAGTTAAAAAACACAATTGGAAATTAGATGAGATAAACCATGAATATGGTCATGCAAATGGGGAATTACATTATATTGAGTTAGAAAAGGGCAACAGTGGACTTGGATTAAGTCTGGCAGGAAACAAAGAGAAACCTCAGCAAAGCATTTATGTTGTTGGAATCAATCCTAGTGGTGCCGCGGCTAAAGATGGGCGTGTCAAAGTTGGTGATGAACTCCTTGAAATAAACGGCATACCTCTGTCGGGACCCAACACTCACCAAGTTGCTCTATCTGTTATCAAAGCCGCTGAATCAAAAATAGGAATTGTTTTATGCCGAAGTAATACATCTGTGACCCCATTGGAGCATGCAAAGAAAGAAAAGCCAGTTTCACCGGCATCCTCATCACATACATTAGAAAAAGAGCAAGCTCTTATTCCTGCACAGGCCATATCTCCTGAAAAAGTAAAGAGTCAAAGTACATCGTCTATTTCATCAGAGCACCGTTCAAAATCAAGATCATCAACTTCAAGCAGGAGTAGTAGAACTTCCTCTCGTAGTTCTGAAGTTTCAGCGCCACGTCCTCAAACAAGAGTGATCAAGCTAGTGAAGGATTTTCAAGGATTGGGTTTCGCAATATCTGAAACTTCTAGTGGTATTGTGGTGCAGTCAATTGCTGCTGATGGTACAGCTGATAGAGATGGACGATTAAAAAAGGGTGATTTTATCCTTGCCGTTGATGACAAATCACTTGAGGGAATGTCATATGAATCTGCCGTTAAAGTATTAAAGGATGCAAGAGGAACTGTAAAGTTGGTGGTTGCCTCGGAACCTGTAAAATCTGGCAAGCAACAATCTGGTAGAAGCAGCAGTCAGCCAGATCCATTGATTTGCCCCATAGTCAATGGTCATGAAACAACAATCGAAATCATCAAGGGGAAATCCGGTTTAGGTGTTAGCATTGTTGGTGGAGCAGATTCCTTACTTGGTTCAATATTTGTTCACACAGTTTATGACGAAGGTGCTGCAGCAAAAGATGGAAGAATCTGGCCCGGAGATCGTATTTTAAGGGTAAATGATCATGATTTAAGATCTGCCACACATGATCAAGCTATTGAGGTTTTGAGAAATACACCAAGTCGTGTCATGCTGACTATTTTAAGAAATGACAACAATGATCCTCAAAAGCCAGATATTTATACTTTTGATGTTTTCTTGGAAAAACGACCAGATAGGGGCCTGGGTTTGAGTATCCTTGGCAAAGGTAATGATGGAGGTGTGTATGTAAGTAATATAGTACCTGGTGGGACAGCGGCAAATGAGGGCTCAATCCGACCTGGTGATCAACTCCTTGCTGTGAATGGACAAAATGTGCAAAAAGCCACACAAAATGATGTCGCTGCAATGCTGAAAAATGCTATTGGAAATATTCACTTCAAGTTAGGGAGGTCGCCTGATACTCCAACACCGACTAGTCCAAATCCTGTTTTTTCTCCTTCAGCAACTTCAGTCACTTCTCAATCGAGTAGAAAATCATCGCGTAATAATTCTGGGGCAAGTGGAAATGGATCAGCGAAAAGTGACGAACGCTTGGTCGAAATATGGAAAACACCAACACAACCTTTGGGAATCAGCATATCAGGAGGCGTTGGTTCCCCTCTTGGAAACGTTCCGATATTTGTTGCTATGGTGCAACCGACTGGTGCTGCGGCCAATAAACTGAAAGTCGGAGACAAAATATTGAGCATTAACGGCCAGTCAACCGTAAACAAAACACATGATGATGTAGTGAGAATGCTAAAAAGTGGAGATGATGCAATTGTTGTATTGAAAGTTCGGCAAGGAGGACAAGACATGCAAGCATTGGGAGAATATTTAGCTGATAACGCTAGCACTGTATCAAGCAGAGTTGTACCATCGTCTTTCGGATCAAACGAAGCACTCTCACCCAGTATGGGGTCTGATATGAATTATAATGAATCAAGATGCATTGACATTAATCTGGACAGGGGTCCTGAAGGTCTTGGTTTCAGTATAGTTGGTGGCATTGGTTCCGTACATGGAGATCTGCCTATTTTTGTAAAGTCTGTGTTTGATGTAGGAGCCGCTGCTGTTGATGGAAGACTAAAAAGAGGAGACAGAATTATTGCAGTAAATGGTCAGAGTGTGGATGGATGTACTCATGAAGAAGCTGTTACAGTTCTAAAAAGAGCAAGAGGAAGAATTGTGCTGAGAGTGATGCCATCATAATTACCTTGTGTATCTTCATATAAAACAATAATCATGACACCCAAATGTAATAATGCTATTTATCTATAAAAGTATATTGATTGATTATTCCTTAATGTAACAATATTAATGCATGTTGTGTGATAGTCGAGAAATCCTTCATTTGCTTTCTGATAAGTTTTGGATATCCAATATATTCTTAGTTGGAATAATTATGATGTCGAAATGGTTGACTAAAAGTCTAATGTAATTTCATACCTCCACTCCAAATGAGGCTTTGGGCAAGAAGCCACATAGATATATGGGACCAAAATCTTTTTAATTCACCTGGGTAGTAGCGCAAAACTGACTAAACATGATATGATTCGTATTGTATTTTGCCACATTTCAGTTTGTTATGATCTCTTCTATATTTTGTTTGAGTAAGCTATCATTTTTCAGTCTATGTTGCCTTGTTGAAAATATTGCTTTTAAATTTAAATCTTACATTTTGATATCTGTATAATTTTTTATTTATCAAGTGAATGGTACATAACTTTTGGTACTGTATTTCTCAAAATTTTCTGTATCACAGGATCTGTAAAACCCATGTCTTTGTTTACCAATGTAGCATCTACACATTGTCATATATTCATTTTTTCCCTTATTGTCATGGTACCTTTTTTATTTTCTACTGTCCTGAATCTGTCATTGTATTGAAAATCCCAATCAAATTCTATTGGTGAATGAAATTTAATCATCGTGGGGCCAACTCCAGGAAACTTTTTGATCAATGTTAAAATTTTCTGTGCTGGGGACCAATTTGAATATATATTAGTAATTGAAGCAACAACAATATACTGCATTGAATCATGGAATTTTATCGTGGTTGAACAGTGTTGTGTCCTGTAAATTGTTACTCATATATTGGAACTTTATTTTTTTATACTGCTTGCAACTTCATATATTATTGTGACCGGTGCTGCTCCATTTATTGAATGGGAGCTCTTTACTTTTTATGACAAACTTTATGCTATTTTTATTAACAAACATGTTTTATTAACTAATATGTTATGATCATATTTTAATGCATTATAAAGGTTCAACACTAATTTCTTGTCTACTAAATGTTAAACTTGGGTTGGGTAGCGGAAAGTTGATTAGAAAGACCTATACATGGGATTATACAGTATACATTAAAGAGTCAAAGCACATCATCTATTTCATCAGAGCACCGTTAGAATTCAAGATCATCAACGTCAAGCAGGAGAGCGAGATTTAGAAAAACAAGCATTGCAACAGCGATAAAAAATATACAGGATTACTAGAACTTCCTCTCGTAGTTCAGAAGTTTCAGCGACGCGGTCCTAAACCAGGGTGATCAAGCTAGTGAAGGATCTTCAAGGTTTGGGATTTACTATTTCTGAAACTCCCAGTGGTGCAGTCAGCTGGTAGAGACGGAGGAATAAAAAAGGCGATTTCATCCATGCCGTTGATGACAAATCACTTGAAAGGATGTCCTATGAATCTGTTACGAATGCGAAGGGGACAGTAAAGTTAGTAGATGCATCAGAATCTGTAAAATCTGTTGAAAGCAGCAGTCAGCCAGATCCATTGATTTCCCCCACAGTCAGTGGTCAAGAAACAACAATTGAAATTATCAAGGGCAAATCCGGTTTAGGTGTTAACATTATAGGTGGAACAGATTCCTTACTTGTTCGATATTTGTCAACAGAGTTTGTGATGGTACTGCGGAAAAAGATGAAGAATCCGGCCCGGAGATCGTATTTTGAGAGTGAACGATCACGATTTAAGATCTGCCACACATGATCAAGCAATTGAGGTGTTGAGAAATACACCAAGTCGTGTCATGTTGACTATTTTAAGGAAATGACAACAATAATCTTCGGAAGCCACATAATTGAGTATAATTGGCAAAGGTAGTGGTAGCGGTGTATATGTAAGTAATATTATTTGGTGGAACAGTGGCAAATGACGGCTCAACCAGTGAGCTATTATTTTTTAGTCTACGTTGCCTTATTGAAAGTATTGCTTTTAAATTTAAATCTTGATATCTGTATAACTTTTATTTGTCAAGTCGTAGTAGTATATATTTACGATCAAGGGAATGGTACATAACTTTTGGTACTGTATTTCTTAAAATTTTCTGTATTACACAATCTGTAAAACCTTTGTCTTTATTCACTAATGCAGCATCCAAGCATTGTTGCATATTCATTTTTTCTCTTTACAGTATTGTCATTGTACTTTTCCTTTTTCTGCCGTCCTGAATATGTCATTGTATTGAAAATGCCAATTAACTTTTATTGGAGAATAAAGTTTAATCATCATGGGGCCAACTTTTTAATCGATGATAAAATGTTCTGTGTAAGGGACCAATTTGATTATATGGTAATTGAAGCAACTTCTACAATTTATCGCATTGAATCGTGGAATTTTATATTGGTTGTACAGTGTTGTGTCCTGTAAATTGTTAATCATATATTGAAACTTTATTTTTTTATACTGCTTGCAACTTCATATATTATTGTGACCGATGCTGCTTCATTTTTCGTCTTCAAAGTGGTAACCTTGGTGTGGCGGTGTTTAGTTAATTAGAAAGATATATACATGGGATTATACAGTATAGATATATATATGTATCAGCCGGGATCTGTGATAGAATGTGTAGTTAATTCCCAGGTCATTAACGCCATTGGAAACAAAATCTTGACTTACTCTCTTGAAACGAATTACCAAATTAAAAAAATTCAACTCAAGCAAGCTTTGGAATAATGAAACAATTTTTACACTGCAAGCTTTGGCGTCACCAGGCTCTCAATTCGAGATGAATTTTGTGAATATCGTAGGTTTACAATCCACTCTTCAGTCTTGTAAGTTAAGCTTGTCGCGTGAGGGCGATGAGGATGCGCCGGCTTGCGAGATGATTCAGTCGCCCACGCCTGTCTGAAGTTGATCAAAGTGACTACAGTATAACTTTGAAGTTGATGACCTTATGTGCGGATTACAGTACCGATACCAGGATACTGTGTCGAGGCTTATTTTAACATTAGTTTATTGCCGAAGAATACGAGCATCTGTTGATTCACGCAAATCAAAAGCGTTCAAAATTTTGAATTCAAACAAAGCTGTCTAGGGAAACCAGTAATACCAATGGGCAGTTGGGAGAGAAACGGGGTCTCGTGTAGTTTCGTACCTAACGTACTTCTAGTGGGCGTAGCATAACAATTTTTTGATATGTCAATCCTAACCCCCATCTGATTACGCCATCCAAAAATAAATCATTACGACATCACAATCACGTCATAGAGCTTGCCAAATATACGCACGATCGATCGACCGAAATGTCATTGGCGCCGACGATAAAGAACTGGGGTCTAGTATAGTTTAGTACCACAAGTACTTCCAGTGCTGCAGTGGGCGTAGCATAACGATTTTTGCATATTATGTTATTCCTCACCTGACTATGCCATCCAAAAATTACGTCACTACGACGTCACCATCACGTCATAGGGATTGCCAAAGTATAATTACGATCGCCCGAAATGGCATCTGCGCCGCCGATAAGAACTTGCTAATGCCGACGATTTCTCTCCTATCGTGATCATTGCGACGAGAAAACGAGAAAAATAGCTTGCTCGATTTCGGGTTATCGTCTGCGCGTTTTGGACGACCATCTGCATACTTCGGTGGCCTTATTACGCCACTGTGACGTCGGAATGACGTAATTTTTCGGTGACGTAGTCAGGTGGGGGTTAGGATTGACATATACAAAAATTGTTGAGCCAGGCCAACTAGAAGTGGATGTGGTACTAAACTATACCAGACCCAAGAACTGACTGACGTTATCGGTCTCTCTCCTATTGGAATCGATGCCACGAGAGAACTAACTGTTCGATTTCGGGTGCTCGTTTGCGCGTCTTGAATGGCAGTTCGTATAGTTTCAAAGGGCTCTATTACGTCGTAATGCAGTAATGACGTAATTTTTGGATGGTGTAGTCAGGTGGGGGTTAGGATTGACAGGTGAAAAAATTGTCATGCTACGCCCACTAGAAGTATGTTAGGTAAGAAACTACATGAGACCCGAGAAACGCATACGTTAACAGCAATAAAAGATCTGTAGATACAGAGATACGGTACCGTACCCCCCGCTTGATTGCCAGGTACGGTACCTTAATAAACAATTTGCTATGGTATAGAAAACGAGGCTCTCTATTCGGGTATTTGTTGTTATTCACATTATCAAAGAAATAAAAATTATGCTTGTTCGTTGTGATTGAATATTTGAAGGCAAGTGAAGTATTTTGTAATTTTATTATTATTACTTCTTTAAAGTATTTCAATATTATAATTAACAACAGTAAGGCGAATGATGCATTAGATTCTGGATATTTTCCTTGTTAAAATTTTTTACGGCCAAATGATCTTTTATTCAATAATTATGTTCAACCCAAGTAATACCGTATTGTAATATTATTTTGATACTGAAATAGTATCCTATTTTTTTCTTTGTCTCACTACACAGCTACTTGACAATAATCTATATATAATAATATGGAAGGAAAAATTTTTGAAGCGTATCGTGCACTTGGATTATATTCAACTCATATACCGCATTGTACAAGGTATCACCAGAGACAAAAAGAACATTACGTATTTGTAGCAGTTGGAAAAGTATTCCATTCATACAATTGTTCCAAGCTTGGTATAACTCAAGTCAGCAACGCCCATCCAGAAGACATTTCTTGCATTGCTGCTGATCGTTTTTTGGTTTATACTGGCTGTGGAAAAACAATCAGAGCTTTTCAACATAATCGACAAGTGAAATATATATATGAAGGTCATAATGATGATGTTCATCTTCTTTTACCTTATTCGGAACATATCATATCAGTTGATAAATCAAGCACGGTAAAGATATGGCACATACAGTCACAAGAACTATTTACTGAAATGGAATTCAACAATAACTCATTTGAAATATCAACTATTCTACATCCAAGTACATATATGAACAAGGTTTTATTTGGATCAATTCAGGGCAAAATGCAATTATGGAATATAAGAAAAAATGAAATGTTGTTTGAATTTTCTAATTCTGAAGACAGCTCATCTATAGTGTCTTTAGTTCAAGCTCCCGCAGTCGATGTTGTGGCGATAGGGCGTTCGAGTGGTAATATCATGCTGCATAATATTCGGGTGAATCAGGAAATTATGAAATTTCGACAAAGTGGTGGTCCTGTAATTGGTGTGGCCTTTCGTACTGATGGACCATCCACTATGGTTACTGCTAGTCCGCAAGGTAACATTGCTGTGTGGGATTTGGATGAAAAACGCTTGTTAGGCATGATGGAGCATGCTCATTCGACTGCTATTGCTGGCATGACATTTATTCATGGCCAGCCTTTGTTGCTAACTAACGCTTCGGACAACAGTATAAAAATGTGGGCTTTCGATCAGAGTGATGGAAAGGGGAGGCTACTTCGTCACAGAGATGGTCATTCAGCCCCACCCACGAAAATAAAATTTCACGGAGATAGTGGAGAAAACATTCTAACGGTTGGACTTGACTCGACCATGCGTTCGTTTTCTACAATACATGAAGAAAAAAACAAAAGCTTAGGTCAAGCTTCGAGAAATAGATCTGCTGCAAAGAGGGTAGGAATCAGGCATGATGACGGAAAACTATCACCAATCGTTGATTTTTGTTCTAAGACTGCCAAGGAGAGAGAATGGGATAATATTATTGCGTTTCATCATCGATATTCTCACGCAACAACATGGAATTATCAAAATTGTAGAATGGGATCATTCAAACTTCTTCATGAAAGATTTCAAAAAAATCAGCACAAAAAAAGTAATGATAGAAGCGATAATTCTATATCAAATGCACATTGCTATGTGACTGCTGTTACAATGACTGAATGTGGGAATTTTTGTCTAATTGGTTATAATACCGGCGACCTTGATATTTATAATATTCAGTCTGGAATATACAGAGGCAGTTTTACTGAGGGTGACAAGGAAAATAATGGAACAGCTCATGATAAATCTATCACTGGCCTTGCTGTTGATTTTCTTAACCAAATTGTCGTGTCAGCAGGCTTAGATCTGAATCTCAAGTTCTGGAAATTCAAGTCAAGGCAATTGCTGGATGTTATAAACTTACCTTCTCTCCCAGCCATACTAAATTTACAGGGTGGTAATTCAATGATTGCTGTTGCTCTTGACGATTTTTCCATCCATGTGTATGATCTAGATACAAGGAAACTTGTTAGGCATTACCCCGGTTGTCAAGGTGCCATTACAGATATGACGTGGAGCACTGACGGAAGATGGCTCTTATCATCAGCCATGGATTGTACTATCAAAACTTGGGAATTACCGTCAGCACATTTGATAGATTGCTTTCTAGTTCATGCTGCTGCAGTTAGTTTAGCATTGTCACCAACTTCCGATCTTCTAGCAACTTGTCATGTAGATGATCTTGGAATTTATCTTTGGTCAAATCGTTCAATATTTACAAGAATATCTTTAAAGCCACTGCCAATTGATTTCCATCCTTCAAATATTGTTGAATTACCCAAAACTGATGTCATGGATCAAGACCAAGAAAAAGATGCCGAACAACGATCAGATGAGATTGAAATTGTTGAAGACGAATCACAATTAGAAAACGGATCTTTTGAACCATTAGATGACAGTTTGGTAACTTTATCACTTTTCCCACAATCAAGATGGGCTAATTTGCTGTCTTTGGATGTCATAAAACAGAGGAATAAACCGAAAGAGCCACCAACTTTACCAAAATCTGCACCTTTTTTTCTTCCTACCATAGCTGGACTTGAACCGACTTTTGATATTTCAGAAGAAAAGATAGAATCAAAGATCAACAAACGCTCTATACTTAATCCTTTGTCAGACATTGGTTTAGCATTATTAGATCAAAAATCAGAAACACCTTTTACAATAATGAATAAACTAAAAGAGTTAGGGCCATCAGCTATCGATATTGAAATACGTGGTTTGTCCCCAGATGGTGGTGGCTCAGTGGAGCTGATGTCTGCTTTCTTGTCATTTATTTTATCAATGCTGAGATCAAGGAGAGATTTTGAACTAGTTGAATCATATCTTGGATTGTTTATGAAGGTACACTCTGAGATGATATCCAGTGATTCTACACTATTGACATATCTAAGAGAGATTGAAATGGAACATAAAGCTGCATGGGACTGTCTAGGAAAAGACATTGATCAATGTGTTTGTCTTGCAAATTATGTCAAATCTTCCCTTATTTAGCAAGCAGTTTTTACTACCAATTTCAAATTTGAAGTTGAAATGATAGCAGACTGCATATATAAAAATATCTTTGTGCTATAAAAACTCAATACTTTATATTATTGATGATTTGGTGCTTATATTCAAGCTTGGAAACACTATTGATTTTGTCATGATTCGCTGTGTTAGGTATTTTATTTTATGAAGAGTCCATTGTCCATACGAATCATGACTGCATTGAATTATTTCGAAGAAAATCATGTGGGAATGGTATCTGTCTTTTTACTGCCTGCTTCGCTCTTATCACTGCCTGCCTCTATATCAGGACAAAAAATAGATACTTTTTGTGAGAACCTATTGTGGAATTGACAATTCTTTCTCAGTTATCTGGCTGGTATAGCTTCAGTGAGGCAATTTTGTATCTCAATACTAGCATTTAGCAGTTCACCGAATTGCAACAACTTTTATTTCATTCTTCAATTTTGAATCATATCGCCAGATGAGAACAGAACAGGCCTAAGTCACAATTTCGAGTTTTGAGTAAGTAAAATGCAAAAAAACAATTTGTAATTTTTTTATTTTCGAATTCCTAAATATTCACACCTAGTAAATACCTGAGCTCTGGTTATTTTAGTATGGATGAGAATATCTTTGTAATCGATATTTTTTGGCACTTCAGCTTCAATTCCTTCCAGCTTTTTTACCCCCATAAAGGATTTTGGCCCATTCTGTTCTCAACAACTTCTGAATTTTTTGTATGGGATGCAAAGTAAAACAAGGTGACTTAGGCCTAAGTTGCACTGAATAATTTTTTAGGGATGTAAGTTTCGGACATTTCATTTCTGATGTTCATGCTCATCATACTGGAACTTAGGACTCTTTTTTTTCAATATTTTGGGGTTCTGAGCATTGGGGTTTTGAGCCATGCTCTACATTCTACAAGGTGGTGGTCTTGAAATCCAGAATTTCTCAATAATAAAAATTTAAGCTGGACTTAGGCCCATTCTGTTCTTAACTTCTACAAAATATTATAGTCCTAGGTCCAGCTGAAATTTTTATTATTTAGAAATTCATATTGTAGAGCATGGCTCAAAACCCCAAAATATTGAAAAAAGATAAATTTTCCAAAAATGTGACTTAGGCCCCTTCTGTTCTCATCCGGCGATATAGGTCCAATTCATGTGCTACATTGCATTTATTGAAATGGGAATTCAATATCAAATCGTATTAGATTGTGCTCTGATTAATATTAATTAACGCTGTCACACTATTGTAGACACATTGTGAGTTATTGGCGATATCTTTGCGTGCAAAGTTGGATGTTAAAAATTTAGTGCCTGATGAGACCTTCCAATTTTTTGTAGCAAAGATCGAGTAGGATTAATTATAATATAATGTAGACTGTAGTGCTCTGCGAGAAATCCGTTGTTGCTTTACCGTCATGGAAAACAATAAAATCTTGGAAAATATGGAATGTCATAAAAAATGCTGTTGTGCTGAAGAAAATGTTTCTAAGACACATAGTGTTGTAGGAAGATTTTTCACATTCTGTGCTTTACATTTGTTTGGATTTGACAGACATAACACTACAAGCTGTATGAAACGGAAACAAAAGAAGTGAGTCGGTTTTCTTTTATGTATATTCAGATAAAAAATTACGAAATTTATCAAGATAATATGTACCAGGATATTTTGTCAGAAAATATTTCAATTTTTTTTAAAAAATACTTGAATGAAGACTGATTGAAATAAACCTGGTTATCAAGATGTATTGAGAACTGATTTCATAACAAAATTTGATGTAAAAGGACGGAACGAACACCCTGTATATCTTTCAGAAAAGGCATTGTGTTGTCTCATATAAGATTTTGTGCTAAAATATTTTTACTTATAACACTAAAAGGGATATGGTGGGAGATACCGGCTTTCTGACCAGATAGTCCACCAAGAGTGCGACTGCATATAATGTCCAGCTTGTTTTCAATCTCATAATATGAAGTAATCTCAATCAAATTGTATAAATTCACAGAGAAGTGTCCCGAGATGCTTGGCTACAGTCGTTCGGTTTACTCAGATCTAAAGATGTTCCATCAAATCTGCAAGAAGTTCATCTCATTGTGGGATACAGACCGAATCCATCTTCATTTTCTTATTGCTTGAAAAGGTAATCCTAAAAAGGTTTTTGCGAATTTTAGATTTTCTTATTCATTAGAAAATAAAATTGTCATTTTCGAGACGGTTTTCAATTGTTTGTATTCCTTTGGTCTTAATTACAACGGAAACATGATATCATAATTAGTCATCTGCGTATTTTCGAGTTTGAATGAGTAATTGTTTTGTTTGCATTCTTATTTAAACAAGGTTTGTCTTTTATGTTTGAATCATAATTTGATATAGTCAAATCTGTTGCTAAAATATAAATTTTATTTTTTTCTCTAAAATTTGTGTCAGAGCCTACTAAACTGTTTTCTCTATTGCAGCATTTTCTATCCAACCAATGAAATGATGAATTTCTGGACGCATTTTGTTGCTTTTGTCATTCTTGTCTATCGCTTTTATACAATATTTGCTTATAAACTTCAGGGGCCACTGAATGATCCACTGTATTATCCTGTATGGGTGTATTGTTTTGGTAAGAATCGTCCCACATATTATCTTTATTCGAATTTATTAACTCTTCTGGTAAGGAATGGACTCATAAATCTTTCCATTTGTTTGCAGTGATATTGGTATTTTAACATTCATTCAAAAATGCGATGATATATGTATCGATAAATTGTTCATCAAAAATATTAAGTTGGGACTGATGGCCTGTGGTTGTAATGCATACATTGGTTGAAATCTTCTTTTAGAAACTTACCTGTTTCAGCAGTTCTCTCTAGTCTCACAAACTCCTTGAGAAAGTGACAAACTCGCCGAAATATTTCAGTTTAGTTCTTTTGAATAGTAAGTAGCCCCTGTGAGTGAAAAGTGCAACTTATTATGAAAATCGAATAGTTTAAAAAAATCTGTTTTTAAGCAATCGATGTCCTTTTATGCTGTTTACCCAATTGTATGTATTTTTCAATACAGGAATCTAAAACAAACCACAACAGCAAGGTTATTTTTATTTTTCAGGGTTTTCTGGAATGCCATTTGGTAGCTGCCTTGCCCATCTTTTTAACTGTTATTCTCGAAATGTACGAGAAGCTTGCTGGTTTTGTGATTATGTTAGCATAACATTGAGCACATTTGCTAGCGCTATTGTATATCATCATTTTATTTGCCCATACACTTGTATCGGAGTATCCTATGGTAAGCTGCTTTTTATATGACTTTATTCTTTATCTCTTGCTTGAAAACCTCAGCAAGTGTGTTTCTGATATGTCGCTCAAGAAAATTACGGTAATTCAGAGTTCAGCTGAGCAAATCTCTTACATGTCGCAGCTGGGCTGGTGCCCCTTGAGTTGACTATTCTATACCTACATGACCTAATTAAAAAAAAAATACCAAATGTGGTAAGACTGGTAACCAAAGTGAAATTATCTCTTTAGTGGCAAACACTTGCTGGCAAACTCTCAAAGTGAGAATAGTTTTTCTCCCTGAGTCAAATTTTACCAAGTGCAATAATAACAATCTGTTGGTATGTTACAACCGTTGAAAATTTTGTATTCAGATTATTACATTGAAGCCTTGGGAGTGGTAAGCATTTTAGGTCATGCAGCATGTTGTTATTCTCGAAGAATGACTTCAGGTATCCGGTATCTCTTCAGAAGCTTAGTTTTTGTTTTTCTGTATGTCGCAAGCACTCTGCCGTGTGCGTATTTGTGAGTATAGTTATATATCGATATATACGTAAGTCTAATTTCGCTAAATCAAATTTTGGTTACATCTGATGAACGTGTGTTTCAAGTCCGTGGGGCATAGAATATACAAAAATCTAATTGACCAATGCATTGAAAGCAGGGGTCAAGTCCCAAGGGGTTGTATGAGTGACTTAGTTCAGGTTGCTTCTGCTTCTCATGACAAGTACATCCATGGAATCCAAAAAGTGCCAAAGTCAGTGTTTAGAAAATTGTTGAACCAAAATTATTTACAAGAATATAAATTACTCTCATTCTTCCCTCTACCCCTTGACAACTCCTTCAATTGAATTCCTTCAACCTAACAAACAGACTGTCTGTATGTATTGAGAACATAATGACATCGTGTTTGTGGTGGTCTATTTATGCAGTTAGAGAGCAATATGAATTTTTTTTCTGTGTAAAATATATGTTGATTGGCATGGCTTTTTTATTCATACATCCATTTTACAACTCCTAACTTATGATTCATTTTTGTTGCAGATATATCTTCAGGGCTGCGGAATCCCTTACTTTGATGAGTACATATGATGTACATGATGATAAGAGATGTGTGTTGGATTCAACTAATTTCATTCCATTGTTATCATTAGTCACTATATTTTGTTTCCTCACAATGTACTTCAATGTTTCCAAAGTTCCAGAAAAATATTTTCCAGGTAATTTAAGAGGAAACTTTGTTCGACAAACTATCAATACATGTGTACATACACAAATCTTTTTTATATGTTCACTGTAGCTATTTCTCTGAGGCTGGATCATTTTAAAAAAAAAAAGGGTCTCTTAGTTTGTGTTCCGCTGTAATTAACCTATTTTCGTTCAACTCTCTTTACTTGATTTGGGTAAAAGAAAGACTCCTCCCAACTTTATGAGGTCTTTTCGATCCCACTTTGATTTTGAATATTTTCGTGGCTTTGCAGGAACCTTTGACATCATTGGCCATTCACACAACTGGATGCATATCTGCATTGGACTTGCATTTTATTTTCAAACATACCTTTTGGAAGGTCCATTGTTGGAAGCAGATGCTAGAAGAGCGACAAAGTATGTCTCTGTATATATATATATATATATATTGTCATTAGACTCAAAATATGTTTGGTTGTACTAGACAATTACCGTACTATTTTTTTGCTATATCAAGTTATTACAAATATACTTAGATAGATATTCATACAACTGATGCCTATTGTTTGAATTTTCATGGTTGTTCTTTGGACCTTATTTGAGTTGAAATTTGCCTGTTATAGATCAGAATAGCTTGAGTAATGCAAGTTTTTTATTAATCCGGTGGAACTGTTTTCACGTATTTGTGATGTCTACAACCTTAATGCAGTGTTAATTTATTGTGTCTCAAACCAGATTATTCAACATATTATCATTTTCATCTTGTTGTGACTATAAAGCTGATGCAATTGTTCTTACATAATTGTGGAGTCCATGACCTCACCTATAATTTTTGTGTCAGATTATTTTATATATATTTCCTCCAAACTTTTTTCAGCACACTAACACCTGAGGATCTTCACATAACTTGGTGGAATACCATCGGGATTATGACAACTACTGCAGTGTGCTGTTTCGCTACATCATCTATCATGACATACAATCTACCATGTAGCAGTAAAAAAGAAACTACAGTGAATGGAAATTGCCGCTAAAACAAAATTTTTTACTATTTTTGTTTAACAAAAGCATTTTAAAAGCGTACTATTCGGTTCTAATTATTATATCATGATTTTGCTGTAATGCTGCTTGTTTTGCCTTGCATTGACACCAAAAAATTAATTTATTCGTAGATAACTTTTTTACTTTGTGACTTGAAAATATTACCGTACTCGACGCTTAAAAAATTACTAAATATACAAAGCTTATCTATAAAACAAATTCGGATTAATTTTACACATCATTGAATTTTATATTCTTGAAATAATGATATGATGTCTATTAATTTGGAACCTTGAAAAAAGATTCCAGTAAAAGTGGTTTTGCCTATCAGGTATCACTGTCTTACCTCTCAGGATAGGATAAATTCGAAATCCTACTTTTCGCATATGTCTCGAGTAGTCTGATGTATTTGTGTATTATGCAGTGATTGTAATATTTATTTTTATTTGTTATTATTATCATAGAATTTAGTAATATCAATATTTATATCAAAATGTGCTGTGACATTCTAATGCTTAATGCTGAAGTTTGAAAAAAAACTGTGATTAATAATTATTTTATTTGCTCCTATTAGTGAAGTCTTTTGAATGAGGTGCATGATTTGTCACATATCTATACTGAGTAAAAATTTATTGGTTTTGAGCTAGACATAGTCATAATACATTAAAATTAAGACGCACAGCACACACATGGTGATTGGATTGTTATGTTCTATTGTCTGACATTGCTTAAATATTTAACATAAAATTTTTTCTTATTAGACTGACATGATTGGTTTCAACATCTATGCTTGTGGAGCAACTTGTAGTTGAATTGAATGAATTAGCTGGGTATTTATGCTGTAATTGTTTTATTAATCATTTGTTACATTCAAATAAAGTCTATGCGTTGTTCAATGATTTAAACTAAAGTGAAAGGTATGGTGAAGTAAGAAATGACCTATGGGTCGAAACATTGATGTCATCAATGGTCGCAACTAAAAGCTGGGTTGCCAAAAATTTCTTGGGTCGCTTACCGCGTATCACTTTCCTTTTTAACTTCCGTAGCATTGACTTATTAGCAAGATGCAAAAAAGTGACGTGACAATAAACGTTTCAGCAGCTGCTCAGACACTTTTGTCACTGGGACAGATTTTGAGACATGGTTGTTAGCATTGCCTCGATTTTGCGTTCTTTTCAGGGTTGTGTTTCGGAAATTTAAGTATGACTCAAATAACTCTTTGATCATTTTGTTTTCTCAGTAGTTTTAGTTTAATTGCAGTAATAAAAAGTTACCGTACTCTGGTCAAAGCTGTGAGAGACTGGGCTAAAATTTTCTACTGTTACTTTTGAATGGCTGGTTGTTGAATGTTTTGAATCAAATTGATGGTTTGAACATGAAACACATAAAACAGTTTATAGGAGCCAGCTCGCGAGTCTACTCTTAAAACAAGCACCAAACATTTTGCAATGGTAAAAAAAAGAATTTTTCAGAGGGTCAATGGAAGGGGAAAACCCCATATTACTAATTTCAGTTCCTGGTTAATTTTTTTGTGCTTATTTGATATTGAGGTGCTGCTCAATAGTAATTATCTACATGGGAAGTATCACAGCGTAACAACTTAGCAGCATTTATTTTGCGTAAGTAAATCTACGGGACGTTTCAAAACTGAAAGCAAGCAAGCTCAGCTTTCCAACTTTGAGGTAATTTATGGGAAAATAAATGTTATGCAAAATGATGGTCTCTTGTAAGTCATTACTTTTGCGCCCATAAAAGTAAAACATATCATTTGGTATTTTATAATATCCTTGGGTCGCGAGATTTTAGAAATCGATTTTTTAGAAAATTGGGTCGCTTGAAAAAAAGGCTGAGAAGGGGAATCACCACGGCTCTATTGGGCGATGGTGGTAAGTTATCTATTACATTTCCATAAAGTGCAAGACCGCGAATCATTGGTGTGAACTGTGCATTACTTTGCTATTATATTTTGGGTAGCAATTTTGTCGGTATAATGCTAATGGGTATTTTTTTTATTTTAACAGCCAATGTTGACGTTAACCATATTAGTAAACTATAATCCAATGACTATGATTCATTGAGAGTACTCATAAGCTTTGCTCAGTTGCCGCATTCAGTTTTTGAAATATTCTGTATGCATTGATGCAGATGGATTCTTCCAACTTGCATCGTTTGAATGATTGTATTGAAGTGGCTAGATCGCTGTCTAATCCCAGAAAAGTTGTGGAAGATGACACCTGCATGGAACGAATTCTAACTACGTTGGAAAAAATTTTGAAGTCTTATACCTCTGAAATATTGTTGCCAGAAATTGAAGATTTTCTAAGAAAACTTGAAGAGAATTGGGAATTAATAAAAATTGATGTTGTCAAATACTGCCCAGCAAGTATCAATTATTTGTTAAAACTTAATGCAATATTTCTTTCAAGTGTTCATTTAGATTCAAACTGCTGGAAGTCCTCAGTGAAATTTATCGCGGAATTTCCATTGCTATTTTTGTCTCCAGGATCAACAAATTGTAATAACTCGTTCTCTCCTTCAATTGGGTATTCTTGGATAAATTCTATAAGAATCTTAATTTCACCAAAGTATGGTTATAAGGAAGTATGTTCACAAATAAACATTGATCATGTAATTCATCTTTGTGAAGTTCCATCTATCTTTGTGCACAAAGAGGCATGTAAGTGCTTAGCTGAATTTGTGGTTTCACACTCAGCAGATAAACCATCTGCAATGGTGCAGCAATTTAAAACAAAGGTATATAATGCGATTACCAAAAGTTTGCTTGTGAATTCAACTCTGGAAATAATCACCAAAATGTTGTTAAACCATTATCATGCTGCTGTGATGTTTTTGTCATTTGAGCATTTCAATGAATATATTGACTCGCACAATGATCAAATACTAGAGTTATGTGTTTCCAGTAATGCACTGTTGTGCCATTTATTCCATGCTCTGTTCAATGAACATACAGATAATGAAATTCCGGATGTTACGGAAAATGTAATTTCATGTTCTACAGCATTTCAATATTCTGTAAATGCAATAATTAGCAATCCCACAAAAAGTGTGGGTTGGAATATGTTGACCTCAGTCTTAATGCATTGTCCTTATTTGGAAAATGACAGTTTGATTTGTGGTAAGGCGATTATATCATATCCAATTGACATGCTTTTTGGAGATAAGAATGTCATTTCCAAAGACATTGGTATTTATAAAAAGTACACTGAAAAAGTGATGTCAATGCATGTAAATAGGACGAAAATGACAGCAATATTTCGCAATTCTCTGGAATCAATTTCAAAACTTTGGAAAACGAACAGTAAATTTTATTCTGTTGAAATGATGGAACGACTGTTAAAAATATTTGATTATATAGGCAATATGGAAAGCACCTATGCACTCAAAGATGACTCCTCAATCATTGCTGAAAATTGGAATATTATGGATGTTTTGATGAATTTAATGGTAGAGTGTTTTGATAAATTTGGGAGCAGCAACGTACAAAAGCAATTCAAAATTACTCTATTGTCTGTTATGGGGAATCGGAATGCCAATAACAGCGTTTGCTGCCTTTGTCAAAGACTCGTCATTAAAATTTTAAGCATAGGTGATGATATTCCTTTTCTGAACACATGCTTAGAAATTAAGAAGTTGAAATTACACGATCGAAGATGGGAAATCAGAGATTCAGCTTTGGAGTTTTTGTCTCAACTTTTGCTTCTAGAATCAAACAATATGACAATCAGTTCAAATTTTAAAAAGCATTATTTGGATGAAGTAATTTTACATCTTGTAAATGATTCCAACAGTTTTGTAAAAGCAACTGCATTGTTGCTATTAAAGGACATTTTAATTAAAACAAACCTTTTTGATGATTGTATTGATACTGTAGTTTTACCATCTCTGTTGAATATTTTGACTAATGAGAGAGAAGCTGCTCCTCGTCGTGCTGCAGTATTCGCTTTCTTGGAATGCCTCAAGAAAAAAGACTCTCTAGTTGAAAGCTTCCTGCGTCTTTCATTTCGCAGGAAGAATATGAAAGGAGGAATTACAAGTAGAGAATTGTTAAACAAACTTGAACTTCAGAATAAAGACGAAACTCTGCATATAGAAGTATTGAATGCAGTGTTTCATTGCTTATATGGTGATTTAGATTGGGAGGTTAAATTCAATGCCATAGACATACTTGAATATTTCATACGATTTGTCAGTAGTAACATGCCATCAGTCACTAGGGTAGAAAGTGATGAAACATGTCAATACTTGAAAAAATTATTAGAATACATGTTTGAAGATTGTGATACTGTGGTAGGTGAAAAAGCTAAAAATCTATGTCATGAGTTATTTCCCCAATCATCCGAATTAAGTGAACAACATCACACTGCAACACCAGTTGATAAAGTGTGTTTGGCCGAACTTGATAGTTTATTGGAAGATGTTTTAGGTTCATTGAGACAAGAGCAACAGAAGCGTCTTACTCATGGATGTCATGGACCATCCATTGATAATGATCTTGAATATGATGATTCTGTGGTTTTAGATTGTTATTGATTGATAATCATTTAAAATTTTTCTGTGTGTTTTGCCATAAAAAATAACATAGCCTTACCCACTATCAATTAGCATATAAGATTTGAATTGTATGAATCATTCTTATGGTGTTCAAATTTATGCCTTAAACTGGGAATATTCTAGACCAGGGTTCTTCAAACTGGGGTCCCGACTCCGGACCTGCCCGGTGGGTCGCAGTGCCCATTGTTGTACGCTTCTTCTTTTTGCCTCCACTTATCGGATCTTAATTTGTGCTATTTATTACTACCTAGTTCTTATTTGATTCCAGGTTATGTCTATTTAGTGTATTATGCTGACTAGATGTTTCTTTAGATCTTTGTATGTGGTATCCTTTGCACAGTGTGCAACACTAGTTGTCTGTGGACCAAGGCAGATTTTTCTACACTGGGGAAATTACAACTTGAAGAGAATCAATCCCATTTGCAAAAGAAAGATGTCAAATGAATCTTGTTCTGGAGTGAAATTGCTTGGACAGAAGGAGGCACAAGATATTGATAATGAGCTTTTTAACGACTATAAATTCAGTGTTGACCAGCTAATGGAATTAGCAGGATTGAGTTGTGCACATGCAATCGCAAGAGCATATCCTATTACTGATGATAAAAAATCTTCGAAGACATTGGTAATATGTGGACCTGGTAATAATGGAGGAGATGGATTAGTTTGTGCAAGACATCTGAAACTTTTTGGTTATGAACCAGTTATTTATTATCCTAAAAGGCCGAAGAAAACCTTGTTTGAAAATCTTGTGACTCAGTGTGAAAAGATGAATTTAGAATTTGTAGATTCTATGCCATCTATCGGCAATCTCGAAAAATATGATTTCATCGTAGATGGCATATTTGGCTTTAGTTTCAAACCTGGATCTGGGGTGAGGCCTCCGTTTGACGAGATCTTAAAAACTTTACATGAAACTAAAGTGCCTATTTGTAGTATTGATGTTCCATCTGGATGGGATGTTGAGCAAGGACCTGCTGCTATGAATCCCAACTTAACATTCGAAGCAGATTGTTTAATTTCGCTCACAGCACCTAAATTATGTGCAAAATTTTTCAAAGGCCGCCATCACTTTTTGGGAGGTAGATTCGTACCAGAGTCTTTGGAAACTAAATACTCGTTAAATTTGCCAAAATATCCTTCCACAGATTGCATATTGGACTTGAAATGTTCTCTTTAGTATGACCGAGAAACGGCATCAATTACCTTATGCTTTTTAATATACTTTTCTTGAAATGAGCAATTCTTTTAATGCAACTAATGTTTCACTTTTACATCATATCAATTGTAAGTTGTTTGATTGCGCTACTGAACTTACTGAATTTACAGCAGCTGGGTGTCCCAACAATTCATCTGATATGCTCGGATCATAATTTGGAGCAATGCTTTAAAGTTTAAACAATAACATGCGTGGTATCCGATTTGGAATGTCGACTTCTGATTTCCTTAGGTTATACAGAAAATTGCTGGTAAACAAAGAAACCGTATTTTGGATCTTTTTTATTGAGAACTATGACTTAGCAACGGCGGTAAATCTCTAATATAACGATAAAACCAATAACAAGTCGAGCTTTTTTCGCTTTGTTTTTACCCTTTGGATGTGGGATACACCATACTAGGTATTGTGTTGTTAATTGCAAAATCAATATAACACGTGGTGTGGGAGAGATATATGCAGCAGTCTCACATCTACTATAATTGAGTTTGCATCAAAATTGAATTCCCGTTCAACGTCTAGCTCGAAGTATTTGTTCGATAGTAATTGCTTGTTGGACATTTACTGTGTCCAGCTTCATTGCCTTAGATACGGACTTGTGTAGTTGTGCAAATTCTAATCATGTTAATCAATTTCTCCAATTGAATAAACTGCCTATATTTATACACTTTGTCATCAGGAAAATAGACATCAGCAGACAACACATGAGAGCGAGAATTTATTGTTTTCGTCAGAAAACAACCATACACACATATATATACAAAACAAGAATTCAAAGTTTTAGGTTTATGACTGGGTGGTAACAATACGACCGATAAGATCATCATCAGTCTGTTACCACCCAATACTAATCGCCATGCTGATTTCGAAATATGAATAAAATAAAAATGAGAGCGATGTATCAGAAAAGGTTGTGCTCGAAATAAAAATTGTACCGGAATTTGTTTGGAAGAGCCTTGTGCTCAATACACAGTTGTATGAAGATTCAATTAGCGATTATTGGTTTAAATAATGCTATAGAGGTGAAAGTTTCTCATGAAATATTACTATTGGACATATGATTTGAACGGTCAAAGAGGACTGACTGTAAGTCATTTTTTAACAATTCCGGGTGTTGTATAATTATCAACCAAACGGATGCACAATGAAACAAGAAGAAATAGGTCAAACTTCTCCCTGATTTTTCTCAAACAACTGGACTAATTCCGCGAGCAGAATATTGCGAATGCCGTAACGGGATACAACGACTGTGTGAGTAGTGCTTTCATATTATTTTATTATCGTAGAACCGTTTATTTAAAATGGATGGAACTATGAATTCAATATTCAAATTTCGCTGTTACTATATATATTTTAATTGTGTGCTGATCAAATATTTTCCTTTCTGGTTCGGGAGGATCGGGCAATAACTACACCTACATTTCCGATCTTTTTTCATTGTCGATTCGTTAATTTCCACAAATAGTATATATAATAAGCCAAATCCATTTATTAGGATTACGCTGCTTATACATATATATTTATAAAAACGGAGATCTGACAGATGTACTAATTTCGGCATTGCCTTGTATGTGTCCGCTGCCAAACGCCAAGAATGCCTCGATCTTGATGAATTTTCTGTTCTGGTATAAAATTCACGACAGTTGGTTATGGAACAAATCAGTGTTCAGTAATCAGCGCACGCGTTTTTGTTTTATACGATGGAAGCAAATGGGTAACGCCCCCCGCAAATCTTTTCCAACATCTAGGGTTTTGTTTTTCATCAATTCTAAAAAACATCGTGTTTTAAAACAAGGGCTTGTTTTAAATCAACTTTTTTTTAAATACCCCTCGCATCGCCGCGAAACTACGCCAAAACGTTGCATTCTGGCAGCTGCACACGCAGCCGAAAATATAATTTCAAAAATGCAAGTAAAAATTCTTATTTTGACTTTTACTTCTATTGCGTACATTTATCGCCACATTAGTATCTCCAATAAAGTCGTAAGATTTTAACCGAAATGTTTATACGAGATACCAGAGAGACGTTTTGAGTAAGAAAAATCATGAAACTTAGCTCACGAGCCTACTACAAAAGCAATTAGATCAAGGGTTGTTCGCATAAAATTAAGACATTGTTACGGTTAATACTGTTCGGGTAATTTATGCTTAGCATACTTTGTTTTTAAGGTTGAAGTGATAGAGTTTTCAAGGTTATACAAACTAATTTATTCGATCGCATTTCAATTTTTGCAAAGTGGTTTCGTCGTAGCATGGTCTTCAACGTAATATGGCTTATCGGTTCCCTCTTACTGCGCAAACCACTGAACTACAGCTTAAGGTGGTGTACACGAGCCTCCATCGATATTTGTGGCGTTTTGAAGGATTTATTGCAAATAAAAAGCGCTTGGCAAGTTTTTACATCCGTTTTTCTCCAACATATTTTATACAATAAAATCAAATAGTACAGCCATTTTAACCAAAACAGGCAAAAAAAAACTCGATTTAAAAACAATTGTTTTAAAACAAATCTTTTTGAACAAATCGCTACCAATAGTCTTAGTCGCTAAGCCCTTGCCACACTGAGACAATAAGTTTTCAGAAAATAGTTTACTACAATACAAAACACGTTCAAAAATCATCATTTTGAATAGTAAATTAAGAATATATGTATATATAATATCAAGTAAGCCGAAGTCAGGCAAGAGCAGCAGTAGATCAGTAAATTGAATCAGCGTACTTGTTGGAAGCAGTTACAGTAAGTATCTACTAGGCAAACCCTGGCTGGTCTCACTGTCTTTATCTTTTAATTGCTGATCTATAAATATCTTTGAAGAAAATCAGTTATTGTGGATTTTAAACACATATTTCGGTTGGTATACATGTTTATATCACAAATGTAAAACTTTGTTCTCTCAAAAATTGCCTTTATGATTTTATCCATCTTCGCTTTCATCACTGTCAATATCAACCTTAACTTGGAATTTACTTCGTACTTTCTTTTTCTTGTCCCCGGTGTTAGTTGTATCCAAAATTTGAAGATTGGCTAGTTCTATTTCCATGTTCTGCCTGGTTTTGAATGACTCAGATTGGGATGATTCCTGGTTCTTCGACTTTTCGTCAGTCTCACCATGACCAGTGGCTTCGGTTTTTATTGGTTCGTCTTTCACTCTTTCTTCGCGCAAGGACGGCAAAATCAAGTAATCCTCTTTCAGAAGTTTCTGAATAAAAGTGCTTTTAATTTTTTGCTTAGATTTTTTGATGTTCGTGGTATTTAACTTCGGCCCACGAGTGCTGTAGCCCAAATTCAACAACGTTTTATTCCGTGTTTCGTATGTATCACGAGCCGTAATCATGTGCGTTTGTAAATCTGCCTCTTCATTCAATTCTCTTTGTGGATAGCTTCTCCTTGCTTGCGTTTTTCTCAACAATGTCAGGTACGTAAGACTGGACAGCAAAATAGAAATAACAGCAGCTGGAAGAATCACTCTACAGCAGCATAATCCCAGAGACACCATGCTAAACTATGGTTGTGTAATGATGCATTATTTAAGTCGGGTCACGAAAGCGCGAAGACGAACCTTAGTACAGTCATCTTCTTCTCTTTGACCAATGTAGGCCGTTGTTTGTTTGTTGACACCATTCACGATCACACGATAGATGAAAAGGCTGATTGCACAATTCCATTAATTGCCCTGTTAATTACGCCTGATTGCAGAATTACGACATTTTATTGGATGTCAATATAATACATTCGCAGACAATGAAGACTGGTGGAATAATTGACAAGTAAAATCCAACGTTGACAAGACGACCTATTCATACGGCGGACCACGACCTCTTATCTGGTAGCCAGTCCATATCGGGCATGGAAATAGTAAATCAATCAATAGTCCTGCAGAATCGGGCCTTAACATTGTTTTGGGACATAAAGTTTTTTTTATTGTTTAGATATAATGTCGATGACATAAATAATGATACCCAGGTGGGTGTGGAGTATATAATGTTGAGCAATTTTTTTAAATGAATTTCAAGTATTCGTACCAAGATGACGCACAACCTGAATCATAACCTGGTACACATGCAATGTTCAGGATGTGCGCCATCTTGGTACGAATACTTCGGGAGCACCTTTCCGGTAAAAACAATTATTTCATAACTACATGGATTAGTTTTGAATACATAGTAACATTGCATCTCCTTACAATGTCAGAAATTCATTTTAGTAGAATAAATAGTTTAGGTAGGTAGTTTATTTCACTAATATAAGCCAAGATCCATCGACAGCATCTAGCCACTTTTTTGCGCTCGTCAAACTACATTTGTGTTGCTGTGAGCATTTCGTTTTCCTGCTTAAAGCTTAGGGACCTGGGAAATATTTTATTAGTTGGAATGGATTGGAATATTCGACCTCGTCTTTCACTCCGAACAAGGCTATGTAAAACCATCCACTGGTATCTAACGACGTGTAACGTATTTTCTTTTGGAAGAACCGGACCTTTCAGGTGCAGCATCGACTTTGGCCTAATTAATATATCCTTGTGGAGATAGAAGGTATGCGTATGCGAAACCGAAATGTGCACCTGTTATGCCAACATAGTTGAGTCCAACATTTTGATCACTAGTACATCACACACATTTACCTGCGTGCTTCGGTTGTACGTAGTAACGCGCACATTTTTGCGAACATGCATCAAATTCCACTTGTTTATTGAGCTATAGGTTTTTGACGAGCTTTTGTGTATGATTTCATTCCATAGAATTTGTATGCTGTTTTAAAGAATACTAGTTTCAGCTTTTTTATTCATTCAAACCGCGTGTTGGAAGTAAGTTTTGTAATACTGCGTGTTGGTTTTCAAGTGGTTTATTTATATCCATCACTTGGCATCCTTAAATCGGTGATGCCAGTAAATCTTTAATACAAAAAAATCAGTATCATCTGCAATAAAAACAGCAGCACCTACTCAAATGACAGCTGGGGGATGGATACTCATATTATCTGCTCCATCGCGTGCCTCTTACCAGTTTACACGAGTGCCTAAACTCAGACAGAGACAAAAAGTTTCGGACTGCGGTTGGCGTGACGAAATGTTTTTAAATATATATTCCACAATACGATTATTTGATGCATATTACTGAAAGTTACGCCTTATATGTCTTTTCCCATTGCACTATTCCTTTACTGATATTCAATAATATGACGCTCATCTGACATAGTTTTTCAAGTGTGTGGATAGGTATAATCTTTTCCACGCTGTTCAGATGGGAATGCGGGAATATATCTGAGAATCGCTAATATTGGTTTGCAATGCGATGAAATATCATCTTGGCATTTCTGCCTCTCGCAATTGCTGCGTATATTTATCGGAGAAGTTCTGTGGCGTGGTTATCAAATGAAGAACACATGGGAGTATTTTTTCCACTTCTCTACTACTCTCAAACCTTGACGTTTTGTCAAACCTCTTTTCCATTCAACCTTTTTTTTTTGAAACATTACCAACAACCACAATTAATTCTGTCATTAAACTTCCAAAACAAACAGATAAAATCATCAACAGATGCATATCACCAAGTCCTAAGTAGATATTGCTAAATTGATCTTTATTTTACCATTTTTCATGTAATGCTTGTTGGTAAACCTGTTATCTATCGTTAATACAGCACATTTGACTATGTTGTAGTGCAGGGATGGCGAACCTTTTTTCAATGAATGGGTCAAAAATTATATTTTTATCGCGGAACAGAAGAGAGTGGGTCACAGATATTTAATTAATCAATGTTAGTATCTATACAAGGAACTTCTGAAACAAATCTTCTAAGCTTCTGTCGGAGTTGGTATAGTTTTGGGCTTTACTTATGCAGCACTTCTATCAAAGTCTTATTATGGCACTCGATTTTATGAAATTAGAGTACGAAACACGCATATGAATTACCAAAAACGTTTAGGATGATGCGGCAAATTATTTTACGGTTCCAAAGAGTTTGGAGGGAATTCCACTTTGATAGAGTTATATTTTCCTATCAGCTTTCAACCACATTAAGGCACTTTTACACTGCCCCATTGTTATTTCAGATTTCTAGGTTTTTATTTCAAGTCTGAAAGATTTTGTTTTCTCAATGGAATTATAGGCTAGAAACAAATAAAATGTAACATCTAGTTCTCGTATAACCCCTAAAACAGTCTGCAGATGCACATCTGAAAGAGACCGAGAAATGAACAGATCCATTGCATTGTTATGTCATAAACGATGTCAGAGCCAATAGCTGAATAATGGCAGTGCAGACATGCGTCCAAGATTAGGGGTTTTGAAAATTACCGGCCCGAAAATTAACAATTTGAATATGAGCGATCGCAGCCCTGACTGTGCAACTGCTGGTACATTATAATAGTTTAGTTATTGTTAGATTAATTCGAAGCCGGTTTTATCAATTTTTATCACTGATATGTTGGCAGTTTTTATTTAATTAGTGCCTTGGCGGGTCACGAATAAAACGCCGTGGGTCACTTTGTGACCCGCGGGTCAGTGGTTCGCCATCCCCTGTTGTAGTGTAACTTTTTTGGCCTTACATTTTTGATATTTGTATTCAGATCTCTTGGCCTTGGGGCTCTGTCAAACAAAGTTACATATAAAATATTGGTTGTAAGTTGCAAAACATGATCATGTTGTTGGAATAACTCGGCATTTACCACCCGTATATATATCATTCATTGTCGAGAATAATAAGGAAATCATAAAATCTAAAACCCGTTTTCGTGAATTTTTTGTTGTAGCTGAATTCGAGGGACAGCATGACAACAGGCAAGAGAAGCACGGTAGCCTCTTATAGTTTATGACAGGGTTTCCTAAAGGGGACCCCGGCCTCCTTGGAGGCCACTGATCGGTTATCTGGGAGCACGAACAAACAGATGGAAATGCGAATATATAATAACAATGTATTTTTATAGAAGAGAAGAAGCAAAAGTGTTGAAAGTCTGTGGTAGTTTGAAAAGCATTGGCATGGAACGTAAGAATGAACTACATTCTTTCCCAGGGATATACTATAAAATGCAGCAATTTTCTCATTCTTGTTCTCGTGATAGCATTATCTTTCACTGCGTCGTCGTGATCATCCCGCTGCATAACAATCCTTGCTAGCAAATAATTGACTGTTTTCCACCGGGTCTATATCCACTTGAACCACTGCCGGCTGCATTAGCGGGCTTGTATTGTTAATTGCAACAAGAGCGGGTATTTTGAAATAGTACTCTTTATTTTACGCGTATGTTTCAACAGTATTTCCATATATATATATATGGGTCGCGACCCAAAGCTGGGTTCAAAAAATACCTAAAAGTTATTGATTTTTATTTCCTAGTAAATTTGGTGCTTCCGTTGTTTGTGCACCAAGATGGCGCACAACCTGAACATAGTATTGTAACAGGCATGGTTCAGGTTGTGCGCCATTATGGTGCACAGATTTGATGAAAAACACTAATACAAATATCAAGCCGTAAAAAAAATTGCTCAATGCTGCAAACTCCACACCCATGTAGAAATGATGGCCAATGACCCCAAGATGAATAATCGCAAATAAAAAAAACTTTATGTCTGAAAACAAGGTTGGGCCAAAAAAGGCCCCTTATCTGCCGGACTATAAGCTTTCAGCATGATTAGAGGGGTTGTCTAGCTTTAGGAAATAGGTTGTGCATCAGAACAAGTGGAGCAGTCAAAATAATATGAATTGTCATATATATATTTTTCAGGACGTCGTGATGATCAATTCAAAAGCTTACTAATTCGACATAAAATGTGTATACATCAACAAAACTTGCTGACTGATGGATCATCCGTGATGAATTTGAACTGACCCCCAGTGATCAACAACATCAATTAAATTTCCTTGCCAATAATCTACGAATCCAAAAACCTCACCTGTACTCTACTTTTTTTGTAGAAATCTCTCTCTCTCTCTCTCATAATAACCATATATTCCTGTAACCGATTTTCCTTCCTCGATATCATACTGCCTTCAGTAATTTTAATTATAACTACCAGTGATTAATAGTTTTTTCGGAAGAAAATTTAAATAAGACTCAGTCTTATTTTCAAGAAAACACGGTATAATCAGCTTGGCCCAATCTTTTGGGGAATGTTTTTTTTTCCCACAGTATATAACTCCTGTTGGCTAATTCGGTATCCAATTTGGCAATCCGCATAAAGTTATTAATATGGTGTAGCAAAATTTTTATTTATGCGTTTGCACATTTTTCTTTTTTACTGAGTAATTGATCTTATCATATCTCGGTGATTGTGTGTGTGTGCGTGCGTGCCTTAATTAGTTTTAATACTTTTGGGAGAGCAAACACGAACTACTTCTTTTATCAATATCTTTCCATCTAAAATCTGTACGTTTCAAACCTAACTTGAGGTTTTGTTTGATTTTCCGATCCTATGATCAGTTTTATTTATTTTGTTTTTATCAATTACTTATCGTCTAACTCTAATATGCTTATTAGGGAGTCGAAATAAACTTAGAACCCATCAAATCCCGCAATATACCGGTACAAATCCGCTAATCCACGGAAAGTCGTTATCGTTGAAGTCACATCGCAAGCGTGTTGTTTGCACTTCAACGGAATGTTCCACAACCAGGATAGGGAATCTGTATAATGATTTCCAATGCTAATTTATTACATTTTCAAAAATCTTCATTCATATTTTTTCATCGTTTTTATCATCTTAATTCTAGAGCCGAAGTAAAAGTGTTATTATAATGACAATTTTCTAGAATAGGAAAATTTATTGGTTTGTGCCCAAAAAACAATATATTCACCGTGTGAAATTTCTCAAGCCCCAAACCCACATGTTAACTTCAAATTAAGACATTACACAGAACTGTTACATGTAATTCATGTATTCCACTTTAAAATCAAACATTTTACAACACATAACACACACTCATAAACAACACTTAATGTAAGAGAAGATAAAAATTGAACAATTTCTAAAACAATGTAAGTGTAATTTAAAAGTACCTGGCTGCTGGGATGAATTTTGGTCACAAACTAGTCAAGCTAAGTTATTTATCATAAATAGTGAAGTTATATATCATGCATAGAAAATCGTCCAACATACTTTTTTCAACCGGAATTTGTGATGATACACAATAAATATAAGATATTTTAATATGAAATGATCATAGTGCATAATTAAATATCAGGATGTGTTACCTTGTGTGAGGTAGCGGAAAATTTAGCCCAAAAGGTATACTGTGTACCAGTGGTCAACAACCTGATACTGGCAAAACAAAATGATCTTTAAAGTGTAGCAAGGTATATTATCATGGCAAACCTAATGAGGATTTGTCTAAGCAATTTACATATACCCGGGTTAAAACTACTGTTATATACAGCTGTGAATGCAAAATATATTCAAGCAAGATACTCCGAAAATACGATGCCATTTCCACTTGATAACTATGGGGATCAGCTTCAGAAAGGGAGAAGCCTGAATGAAAAATTTCTTGTCATGGTTTTCAACCGTCAAACTATGGCTATGACAAAGCATTTTGCAAATTTTCTACATTTACAGAAGATTCGAGAAATTGAAATATACTACAGATTTAATTACTAGAAAATTTTCACTAAGAAAATGTGGAAAACGACTTAGGGTAGTTTTAAATAAAGAATCATCCAAAACCTCAATTCAGTATATAGAGAAAGTTGATATTGTCACTGTCCTTTACCAAATCCAAAGATTCCCCGCTAACACATATGGATGGCAGTCTGATAATATCATATTCAAAATACCAAGAGATATATTTTTAGCAAGATTACCAAACAAATATCTCCATATAAACAATCATACTTCGGAAATCCGGCAATGACTGGTAATATTTGCTAACTACGAACAACAATGGTATTCATTTTTCGGACCTCCTGAAGTATGCGCACCAAGATGGCGCACAACCTGAACTCAGGTTGTGTACCAGGTTAGGGTTCAGGTTGAGCGACATCTTGGTGCACATACTTCAGGAGAACCCATTTTTCAACTAAATATAATCAGCTAATTAGAATAATATTCTCACGAATATTAAGAATGTTTTAGCTTTTAGTACCAAAACTCATAAAAAACAAGAGCAAGAAAAAAACAAAGGTTCTTCACATAAAAAATTCTAAACAAAATCAGAGTAGTGTATACTTATAAATTGCCTATTTCATTTTACTGAATGCATATATCGATATATGTTGATTTATTGCTTACAAGTAAAATGCTAAAGTGAAAAATATAGCAAAGGCCAAGGTGTCAGTGACGCCTATAAATACTGACGTATTTGCATAAGAAATGGCAATTTGAATATGCAACAATACTGAAGTCCATATTACCATATATATATAGGAATATGTATAACATGAAAATGGTCGGTTGCTTTACAACAGCTACTCCAACCAAGTAAAAGAATAATTATAAAGTCAATTAATTAAAGTTAAGTAATTAAAACTGCTGCTATTTAAATCTAAAATCATACAAAGCGTTAATTCTCCAAGGCAGGCTAAGTGCACAGGTTCCAAGATAGACTCAGAATTTAAATTCTTCCCAGCCGTGAATTTTCGTCTTCAGAATCAGAACTGAAGCTTTTTGCTGACACAGGCGAAGATGACAATGCACTTTTTTCTGACACAACTGATGATGATATACTAACAGAACGAGGCATGATTGTATCATGAGGAATAATTAAACTTTTGCTAACAGAAGAACTTCGACTAGCTGGTTTGGCACTGGCACTCGAACCAGTCCTGGATCTTTCTCGCTTTTTATGGCTGTGATTGGTGTGAAGTTGTCTGTATTTGAAATAAAAAGTATGTGTCACGAAAATCTAATAGGTACTGCTAAGAGCTTGAAGTAGGGTATCAATCAGAAGTAGGAACTCTAGACATCCGATAATCACAATTGAAGTTGAAATCTTTGACAGAAACAGAAAAAATATTTGATACAGACAACTCAGCATAAAATGAAGACACCATTTTTTTCAGAATTGGGAGCGGGAGTCCGAATTTCCTTCAATCTGGGACAGGTATCAAAATGTCTGCCAACCAGAAATCATGGCTCGCGAAGTTTGGTGTCGGAGTGGAGCGTTTATTTTCCCCACTGCATAGCCCCGCCCATTGATATTATGTTCTATAATAAAATTTTGGCTTCACATACCTGTGCACTAGTTTATAATACATTCCTGAACTTTTCATAAGTTCTGCATGATTCCCCTGTTCCACGACTTCACCTTTATCGATGACCACAATTTTATCTGCAGATTCAACAGTGCTGAGTCTGAATAGGAAAACAAAATCTATCAATCAATGGATAAAAATCTCTACACGTTCATACATCTTGTGCTTATCATCTTGTATGTAATGAGAGGCATAAGCTTGGATTGCCAAATAAGGTTATGGATCTTTGGTACATAGCTGTTTTGTTAGCTGCATATAAGTGGTTTGTTGCATGCAAACTGTGAATCGTCTCACTAAATTTTTTTAGGAAGATATTTCTAAACCATATATTCTGAACTAACCCCACTGCTAGGTAAGGAACTAGGCTGTTGGTATGGAACGATTGAAAACTTCCCAGTTCAGCATTGCCTACCCATTATATTACTACTTGGGTGGTGGGTACGGGATTTAAACCCGAGATTTTAACCTGTGAGGCCATAATAGTTAACCCTAGGCCCATTATGAATCGTAAAACCCGTATTTAGAAAACATGCATCATTGTACACAATACCTAATCTTGATCGAGCTTCCAACTTCACTAATCTACCTACACATTGATCATAGTAGAGACAGTAAATTTCACCATACCTGTGAGCTATAACAATAACTGTTCTATCTTTCATTGTTTCTTGCAATGCTTGTTGAACCTTTCAAAGAAATAGCATCAATAAATAATAATAAGAAAAATGGACACCACTGTTTTTTAATGCTGAAAGGCAAAGCATACACAAAAATAGGATCCTTGGTAAAAATAAGTTCCTATATTAAAAATAATTGAATATTATTTCTTAATAGAACATCTTTTTATTTCAAACCCACTCCACAATATTTTTAAAAAGGGTAAAAGTGTGGTTGATAGAGTTCAAAACTCAATAGATTTTAGCTTGTGGCAAGTGGAAGGTTCACACCACAATCAGATATAAGTAACTACTAACAAAAGTCACTATTTCTAACAACAGACAAGATATAGTACCAATTCCATACCAAATATTCACTTTCAGTATCTAAAGCACTTGTTGCTTCATCAAGAATTAAGATTCTTGGATTCCTAATCAATGCACGAGCTATCGCAACTCTTTGTTTTTGACCTCCTGATAATTGCGTCCCTTTTTCACCAGTTTCTAAAAATATTAAATAACACATTTCAATGATAAATAGGAATAACGATCCTTTTCCATGAAATAGCAAGTATATCGAACTTTTGTTAAAACATGATCAACTCCATTATACAAAATGAGATGAAAATGTAAAGATAAAGATCATTACAATTGTAGAACCGAGTTAATATGATAAAATGACTCTAAGTACGGTAATGACATTTTTTTGTCAAACAATTTGTCATATTCTATGCAAAAGTATGATTTTTATAGAGATGAAGTGACTTTGAGTGTTGTGCAATTCTTGTTATCGTTGTTGGGAAAGAATCACTGTTCCCTGCAAATAATAAACCAATTCCAAATTTTTCAATACTTGAAGGAAGAAATCACTAGAAGGCTGTTACTTTTTTTTCAAATTTTCTATAGATCCTATAAAACCCCAAAATTTTGCCGTTTTTATATTGTGGAGACTTTTAGTTTCATGGCTTGACTGCCCACGTGTTGCTTGTCTGCTGATCTTTTTAGAAAACTCTGCAATGTTTGCTGGCCTTACGATACCAGCAGCGTTACCTTAGTGGTCATATGAGGTGTTCTTTTAGTGCCAAAATATATTACCCACGAAGGCTATTTGAAACAAAATATATGGCAAAAGGAAGAGTCTTAGGATGTTCAACTCGGTATTTCAATATCCTTAACTAAACCAACTTAAGTCAGAGAAAAGCAATGCAGCCATTTTGCGACGTGAAACAGTTACCTGTCTGATATTGTTCAGTCAATTCAGTAATAAATGAATGAGCATTTGCTTTTCTAGCTGCTGCAACAACATCCTCCATTGTATATTCACTATCATCCATCCCATATGCAATATTTTCTTTTATAGAACGAGCATATAACACAGGTTCTTGACCCACCAATGATATCTATGGATTATTAAATAAAATGCCAAATTATTCAGAGAATTTATCGAGGCAGCAATACAAATTGTATATATGAATCAGGCACATTATTGTTTCCTGCAAAGGAAGCAGGCACCATTTCCAGCATATTCAATTCTATATGTTATAACTCTATTACCCGAATGATAAATACAAGTAGGAAACAAGTGAGAAATCATACAAGATTAATTATCACCTAACTCAAATTACCGGAAATATTAACAAGGGAAGATATGTTGTGGTCAGTTTTAATTGGACATGGTAACCTACGACAATAATGTGCCCATAAGAGTAACAGAAACACAAATTGAAGGCTTTACCCAAAAGGGTGGAACTTGAAAAAAAAACTTTATAAGGAAATGAGTAAAAATATATTTTCGATTTTTCAACTCCTGTTCCCTTTCTTCAAATACAATGGTGAACATTGCTTCAAATAAGAGTAGGCTACCTATTTCATTTGTGATTATTTCAATTTTTCAAATAAAACTTTCAAATTCTAACAATCGTCCAGTTGTCTTGAAACGCTCAAAAAATGTTCATATTTTAAAGAAAAAGTATCTTTTATAAAAATCATACTCCAAAATCGAGCTTTTTTTCTGCTAAACAAATGATAGAATGAAGCATGAAGTGTTGCCTGAACACATATTATTTAACCCACCCTTTATTAAATCTTAACTTTAATTAGGTAATACTCACAAAAAAAGAACAATTTTATCATACCTTTTGATGTAGGTACTTGTGACAATACTTTTCAACAGGATTTCCATCAATTTTGATAGATCCCGACACACATTCATAGAAATGTTGAAGTAAGTTGACACAAGACGATTTGCCTCCACCACTTGGCCCAACTAATGCAGTCACTTGACCAGGAGGAGCAATGAAAGATACTTTCTGAAAAAAAAAAAAAACGAACTGGTTAAGAAAGATTTCATACCAGGCTACATATTGGCTACGGCCTACGAGATGACAATATTGCTATCAATATGGATAATAAGTATTGTTGTATTAAATATCCAATTGTGCAAAAAAAAGAGTATGAGTAACACAAGTCAAGTATCCTTCAAATATTGAACAAATAAAGGGAGCAGGGTTTCTATACATAGCGAGGGAGGAATAAAGAGATTAAAATAGGCAAAGGGAGGATATATAATAAAAATATATACTTTCAAAACTGCTTGCTTTGGTCTTGATGGATATGCGAAAGTAACATCTTCAAATGAAACTTGTCCTTCAAATTGTTCAGGCTTATGTTCTCCAGATTTCAATTCTATTTTTGGTTCACGATCAATCAGTTTAAAAACTTTTTCTGCAGCTCCTAACGCTTGCATGAGACCTAAAAATTATTCAGTTATTTAATTTATTGCATTTTTCTCCTTTCAACACCTTTAAAGTTTTAAACAATTTCATTTCAAAAATAAAATTTCATATCTGAAACAAGTGCATGCAAAACAAGTTAGCATATGTTAAAATGAATGAGATATGGAAATAATCATGCAGAGTAACAATACATAAAGAAAAGATATTGATGCAAAAGGCCTAATCAGCATTTATATGAATGGACTACAAATATTTATGACCATTATAATCCATATGGAGGCCATGATATGCGTAACATTTTGCACTGGTGGCGCAAAGAAGTTTGTTAGACACACACAAGTATTTTAATAAATAAGATGAATTCAGATATAATGCTTCATAGCTTGTAACAATGCCATGCTACGTGTACAGATATAGTTCAAAGTAGGAATAAATTATAATGAACCTTTTTTCCATTATCCAATGGATATTACTGAATTGTGCATTCTGTGAAATTGGATCATATTTTATGATGTGAAATTTTGTATCTATTTGTATATATTATTTTCACTGTTAATAATAATGAAATCTATTACTTCATAAAATCAAGCCATAAACTAGGAATTGAAAGGTAAAATGACGCAAATCATAAATTCTTCAATGTTATAGCATTGGAAATTGGAATGAATCAGAATTTCATTACCAGTATATATTTATGATGTAATTAAAAATTTTATGCATTCTGTAAAAAACTTCCAACCTATATATATATAAATGTTATTAATTTTACCGGTAATAATGCAATATATTACTTCATGAAATTCACTCCATAAACACGCCATTTAGGTTTTTTTAATTCCCATATTATCTTGAACAAGGCTATGTATAAGTTATTTTTTACACATAATTTATTCCCAAGTTAAAAAATCGAACTAAATTGAGTAGAATATAAAATAGTAAAGCTAATGAAACAAACTTTGTTAAAAAGTTTAAATTTCACCAAATATTCAAAAGAGATTAGCACATCGAAGAAACATTCTAGATAGAAGTTAATGATATTGGGTGTTATGTTAGTGATTATTATGTAAATCCAAGCAAGATTGGAATAAAATGACAAGATGCATGAAATTAACGAGTATAGCAATCAATAATGAGGTTATGCAAGGGTATGAGCAAACAAAGTTACATAAAGATGAAATAGTGCACTGACAAAAATATCTGCATGACAAAATTAAATAATACACATGTAATGAAGTATCTACAGTAACACCAAGAAATGCCAAATGAGAATCAGAATTAATCATAATATCAATGGAAACATGAAACTTATATGACCTAACTTGAAATTAGGATAACAACGTAAAAAGGTGGTATGATATTATTTATTCATTATATTTTCTGAAACTAGCAATGTCTGTAATATTTGATACTGTTCTGAAAGCGTTGATTTGCCAATTGTTGTCTTTTACATTTTGATGCATATTATATTATTAGAACTTGTAAGAGAGGACATTTATAATCAATAGTCAGTCATTATCGATGAAAAAAATGCAGACTGACATACTAAATACTTATGTTATTAATTAAACTGCTGGATGTCATGTGACATACAAAATATGCAGCAGGTACTGAATATTCGAAAGCGTTAGCAAGTCACCATAAAATTAGGGGTATAAAAGAATGTTTATATATTTAGACCACATTTTTCAAATGTACTGAGAGTCTGAGCCCAGCACAGTTTATATGTGTCACAGCATCTTGAATCTAGTGATTTTGTGATGCATTAAATGCATGAAGACAGTAATGTTAGTAATTCGTAAGAAGTAAAATTAGTACACATTCAATTTCTTTTATGAAAAAATTATTTTTGCACCGAAGCCATGCATTTGAAGATGGTGAATTTTGGTGACTTTTGTACCTGTGTAAACACTTCCTACATTTGACATACAATCACCAAGCGTTATTTGGTAAAGTATGAATGCGATCAGGTTTTCACTTTTCATGAGATGATTCAAAACAAGATGGCCACCATACCATAAAGTTCCAGTGACGAGCGCAAGTGTTGTGATCTGGTGATTAATGAAAATTCATTTTTAGGGAAATTTTCCTACCTGTATAGACACTTCCTATTTGCATCATAGAACCACCGAGCGTAATTTGATAAAGAATGAACGAGATCAGGTTCTCACTTTTCATTAGATGGCCCAAGACAAGATGGCCGCCATACCACAATGTCAAGGTGACCAGCGCAAGAACTTCAATCTGGCAATGGGTAATAATTATTATTAGAAGTTATTAATGGCACTTTTACCACAAATTAAATATTTAAAAACTAAAGGTGCAAGCAAAAATAAAGCATACAGCAAATCGACATGCTACTGAAAGTTTTGGGATAATCAACCTGTATAAACTTCCCCTAACTCTTCCATTATCTGACCCAATTCCTCTTGGTAAAACATAATTGAAATGAAGTTTTCTGCTGAGAGGATGTTATTGAATAGCAGGTGTCCACCATACCACAATGTTACAACAAAAAAAATCCATTCAAAGGTCTATAAAGATGGAATTCATTAAGAATTATATTAGAGGGGTTTCATATGTCTTGACTGGGTACTGCTGTAGTGCATGTACCAGATTAGGGTTAGGCAATAATTTTATTACGATTTTCCTTATTTTTGTTCTATTACGAGTTCGGGGACTGTCTGTGTTAGCCAAGTGAATATAGGAATATAATATTGCCCATAGGTTTCAGTCCCTTTAGGCTTTCACACAACTTGATGTAAAGTAGGCAAACAAAATTAGTTACCTAAATATTGGTACACACACTTCTGGAGCGCCCTCAACTATATATCTACCACACATACAAGCCTTTTAACAACCAACAAGGACTCAATTCTTGCCATTTTAGTGTATAATGGAATCAAGGATGTCCAAAACAAGTCAAATATGATAAATTGTTGATTTCAGGAAGAACTTTACTCATCTTTATCATCATAAAAGATATAATGGTCAGACAAAAACACACTTCATTATAAAACTTTTGAATATTGAAACATTTTTGAAATGAATCAAAAGAGAATGTTTATCTAATCAGTTTCGTGTTCACCATTTGTAAACTTCAATTTTTATAGATATACGAAGATTTGTCCAAATTTCTCTGTTGAGAATTTCAAATGTATATATGGATATGTCACCCGAATATGGCACATCAACTAATGAGCCAATATCTGATAAAACTGCAGAATCATCAAAAGATGGCCATCACACTCACATAAAATTAGCACAGTCATTGTCAAGATACAAACTTGGTGGTGCAATGATCTTTACTAATATAAGAAAAGTCTAATAAGGTGAGATATATTAAAACAAACCTCTGTCGACCACATGAAACCAGCATAAGCAATAGCTTGCTTTTTCTGAACCTTGTAAACTGAAAGCATTTTCTCCTCATAACGGCTGTTTTCACCAGATTCGTTTGCAAAACTTCGAACAGTTCGCATGGAGGATACAACCTCTTCTGCAACTTCATTTGCCGATGCGTATGCATCTTGTACTTGTGTTTGTAATTTCTGAAAATAATCATGAATGAACATTGTATAATGTTGATGGAGTTAGTGACATTGCAAAATATGCTAGAAACACAAGACCATTATTTTTTTCCATAAATATGAACCACCATAATTTTTCACATCACATCTCTTTTTCAAAATTCTTATGCAACTATAGTTAAAAATCTTAGAGGCTCAAATTTTTTTTGAACTAAAATTTGGTATTCCTACTTATAAATAAATAATACTACTTAATAAATAGGTAATGGCTTTGTATATATTTTAAATTTTCTGATGTGCCTCTAAAAAAGGCTCAGCACATGCAACTTCGAAGGGTTTGGAAACACCATAATTGTTTATTTTCAGAGTAACTTAGGTAGTCAATGTATTGGTTGAGGTAGTGGAGTTATGCAAAATAGGCTTTCAGAGGTTCAAACAAAAGGTATAAAATCACAGACAAATTGGTGAAGCGCCAAACGTTTATTTTAAACCATTGAAATACATCTATTTCAATAAATATAGTAGTGTATAATGCTATGTATGTTTCTTTACTCATTTAAAGTACCTTGTAATAATTCCCATATAACTTTGAAACACCAAGAACCAGTGGCAAACCCATGAATGTGACTACAGTAAGTCGCCAAGATAATGAAAACATAAAAACACAAGTTCCGACAGCTTTTACAACACTTCGTAAGAATATATTACAATTAAGTCCAATCATGTCACTCATTGTACTCGTATCAGAAGTCAAGCGTGACAGCATATCACCTGTGTAATAAGAATTAGATATGCTTTTATGTAACAGTATGACTCGACAGTTGCAAACAATACCAATATATAACTTCATATTATTCATATAGGGTGGGTTGAGGACATAGGCCTCGAATACCACAAAAAAGGGCACATTTCTCCAAGTAGACCTATATATGGGCTGGATTACTGTGCTCACCGAAAAACTTTTATATTAAAATTTTTATTCCATTTTACTTTTGAGTTAGTGTGAGCGACTTTGCTTTGAGCAAATTTTTTTATAAAAATATACATTGAATAAGATTAAATGCTCTTCCAAGATTTGGCTAATAGTGAGCACAACACAAATATATGTCACAAGCCATGGTAACTCAAATTTATTTTAGCTCAAATATATTTTAGTTCAATTAGCAAAGTAAAAAATAAAATAAAAACTTTCATAGGTCATTTTTGAATAAAACATATTCATATACCAGTTTTAGTTGTGTCAAAAAATCCAATTTCCTGTTTCGTCAGTGATTCAAACAAATGATTCCGGATCCTCATATTGAATCTGGCAATTGCCAATGACATAAGTCCACCTCGACAACCAGCACATATAGATGCAGCAATTGTAATTAAAGACATTATAATAATATTCTTTGTGAATTTTTGCGTATCTTGATCAATGGCAATACCTGTGTAAATAAAAATTGATTTCTGCCGGTTAGTGCTGCTATCACGAACATCTCTTTCTTGGTAAAAGAGATTTTACTTTACTGATAGACAAATTGCAATAATAACTAGAACCAAGAGGCGATGCAAAATAAAAACGGTAATGAAAAATGATAAAAAGACAGTTCTGGGGGTAAACTTCTGTGTCCGGAAATCGCCACATAGTAAAAATCGCTGCAAGAGCATAGTGCTGTGAAACAAGTATTTGTGATAAAAACAGTTCGATTTATAGGATGCTTGGAATATTTTAGGTTTAGGGTATGCTTTAAAATAATGAATCTTTTTTAAACAAAAAAGGTACCGGTACTTAAAAAACCTACGGTAACTGTTTTTATCCCGAATACTTGTTTTACAGCAAAATGCTCTTGTGCTGATATTTCCTACGAGGTGAAATTTCCTGTGGCGAGATATCCTAGAACCGTAAACTACAAAGCCAGATTAAATATTGCAATTCCATTGCTAATTGTTTTTTTTGAACAATTGACAACATTTGCACCAACCAGTGGTGATGGTCTCTAAATCAGTTTTATGTTGGCCCAGTGGATAAAACGTTAGAATAAATTGGGGAGGCAGTGCCAATTGTTTACAACAATAATAGCGCATTACCTAGCAGTGACTGCTTGTACAGAGCCTTGGACAAAAGAATAAGCAAAAGAAAAATACACCAAGCAATATACAAAGAAAATTTTCAACATTTCATTTTAGGTTAGACTCATTAAAAAACAGCTACACTAAAAAAAATCGAATAGGAAAACCAGTTGGCAATTTTTCTTTGTGATACGGTTTTATATTGAAAACATATCTACCTGATATAACTCTCCCAGTAAAAAGTGGAATAAAAGTTTCAGCCAATGCTGCACCAAGCAAGAATACAATCGCAGTGAAGATAAGATGCACATCTTTTTTTGAGTACGATAACATTTTCGTAATTGTGACTTTGCTTACAAGTTCTTTAAAACTTTTTTTCTTTTCTTTTTTATCTTCTTTATCTTTCTTATTATCATCTGCATCATTATCCTCGTTATCACTATATCCGGATGTTGAAGTATCGCTGGAACTTGGCCCTTGCTGTTCTGATTCATTGGTAGGCAAGTTGATAGCACTTTTGAGCAATGGAGTATTTTCATCAGCTTCAGAAACGTTTGTATCATTGGTATCAACTTCAATTGTGTTTGGTTTATGTTTAGACAACTTTCCGAATAAAATAATGGTTATACCGAATGCAAGAATTGACCATCCAAATATAATCCAAAACCACATTGTACCATAACCATTCAAGAAATCCTGCGTTTCTGAATACACCAGCAGTTTCGCAAAAATATACAAAACTATTGCAATTGAAATGCTGAAAACATAGTTTCCAGCTGCCTCAATTTTGTTCGCTCCTCCAGTAGGATTTCGAATTATTCCAATGAGTGCTCCGATAAGTAGAGAACTGCGTACAACTGCAAAAATAATAAAATCCAATCCAGTTGTTGCAACAGATTTATCTCTCAATTGTTGGAGAAGCAAATCCCAGTCATTTCCATGAGCAAGTATGACACTTGTGGCGGCAAGATCAACCAATGAAAATACCCCAGTCAATAACAATACTCCTAATCCCATTGTGGTATGCGATGCTCGGATATTTTAATGACTGAAGTTATGACCAAAATGTATTGAAATATGTAGCCGTTTAAACTGTTAATGAAATTTAAAATATTATAGTTAAGTACATTGAAAGATTCTTGATGAAATTTCACTACTTTAATGTCATTTCCACTCTTTTATAGGAATCAATAAAGCACTGATGATTGGTAGTTGTTTTATTTCAAACGGGCCATATCAGTTCTCAAACCGCAGTGATTATTTGACTGAGTCCACTTTGAGAATTTCATCCCGGACAAAAAGCTAAAAAAGTCAAACTCTAAAAATGCTTTCACTCCTTGTAGGAATTTTGCTCCATGTTTTCTGAAAGAGTGAATATGTTTCCCCCTGCGGCAGGCTATACGTATGAAATTAATTTGACCCACTGACTTGTCACCAAGAAGGTGATATATAAAAGAACAAAAATTGTGCACAGTCAGTGTTCTGGTGTAGGGCAAAAGTCTAAAAACCTTGAGTAGTTGGTCAAGTTGAGTCGCGGACATTTGGTATATTAAGTCAGGTCAAAGTTTTAACAAATTTTACACATTGAGTCCTTAGTCATATGTTAGTAAGTCAAGTCATATTAGATTTCAGTAATAACAATACAAATGGCTAAGTCACATTGACACTAAGACTTGAAACACAACCTATTATTGTTATGCATTTATGGCTGATGAACAGATTGCTGTAGGTATTTTGGGTTTACTAGACTAGTATGATCAGTATATTGGGTCTCATGTAGTTTCGTACCTAACATACTTCTAGTGGGCGTAGCATAACAATTTTTTCACATATCAATCCTAACCCCCACCTGACTACGTCATTCAAAAATTACGTCACTACGACGTCACAGTGACGTAATGGAGCCCTTCAAACCATATGAACTGCCATCCAAGACGCGCAGACGACCACCCAAAATCGAACAGCTATTTCTCTCGTTTTCTCGTCACTATGATCCCGATACAGCGATAGGAGAGAGATCGGTGACGTTAGTCAGTTCTTTATCGTCGGCGCCAATGCCATTTCGGGCGATCGTACGTATATTTGGCAAGCTCTATGACGTGATTGTGATGTCGTAGTGACGTAATTTTTGGATGGCGTAGTCAGATGGGCTTAGAATTGATATATCAAAAAATTGTCATGCCACGCCTACTAGAAGCACGTTAGGTACGAAACTACACGAGACCCAGTATATCAAACCGACACAATTTTCCTATCTGAATAACCCTGTTTTAACAGTTTACTACTATTTAATCGTCTTGTTTTAAATTTACAAGCTTCATGCTGCACGTGTATACATGCAGGCATGCCTGACTGAATGATTGACCCATGAAATTTCAGAATTATTACAATCTTATCTTACAATTCGGGATCTGCCGTACCAAGTCATCTATCTGCAGATCTACCTTGCTAACACATGTCCCTCAAACTTATTATAAATTGCACAACAATGTGAAACGCCACATGCACGGCAGACAGACTACGCTACGAACGAGTTCTACATATTGCACCATGATCAGGAAACACTTACTGTATGTAAATATTTGCCAGCGTTGGGAGATTCTCATTTCTCAACTCGCGTTGTGGCGCGTCGCGCTAAACGTTTGGAATAGCTCACCGCTGCACCTCTGATTACCCTGCGTGAGTTCGCAGGTTCGAATCCCATGGGGGAGAATTATGTGTGAAAAGATTGCTGGACTCCTCGCGGCAGCATTGTGGCTCATGTGACCGCTGGTCGGTTAATGCTTCCTCTACCCTCAAGTTAATGCATCCGAAACAAGTGCTGGTATCTGTGTGCCACCCTCAATTGTCGTTTAATATAATTTCATTTAATCGTGCAAATACCGCGACAGCGGAGCCTGTACCCTGTAGTGTCAACCTTGATTAGATCTACTAAACAGATGGGACAACAACAAAACGAGTGTTAGCGATGGGATACTTTTTAGCGGCCCATCTGTGCTGCCGAATATATAAGTCGGCGAATCGCCTCTTAACAGAAAAAAGAGAAGACTGTGACTTAATAATACTGTTATTAATAAATATCTCAGAAATTAAGACTGTGGTACTGTATTCGATGAGCTAAAGAAAGTATAGCACACCGTACCAAGGCGTTCAAAAGGGAAGGAAGGATAGCGCCGGTACGGTCCCTGCACAAGTCACTCACTCACTAATCCCATCCCCTATACCGGTATGGACTGGTAACCGGACGGTAAATTAAGCCGTCGAATCGGGTTTCTTCTCCCCCGGGATAAATATGTAAATCCTATCCTATCAAATTTGAATTTTAATATTTGTGACTTCAGCGTGACTCGTTTTTTTTGTTTTTGTTTTGACGCTGGCATATCTACATTCACACTAAATAGTCTATCAACAAAAAGATGACCCGAAATAATGGGTGTGATAATCAAAATGAACATTGTATTTAGCGTAACTAACGAAAGCAAACTACAGTAATACCAATTTTGCAGACAGGCAAAATAAATCACTCATTTCCAGTGGAAATTCGGGTGTTGACGCAGCATTCCCGGTAAATAATATTAAATTCGGCGGTGATCACAGTAAACATGACAGAATATTGATATTTTGCCACAAGTATCACCGACAAAAGCGTAGCCAGCAGACGAAATTTATTTTATTTGAGGCAAAAAAAATTTTCTCCAAGACGAAGCCTATTCCAGCCTTCCGCCCCGAAAAAGCCAGGTACAAGCAGCAACTGATATCTAATGATATAACGAATATGTTTCCCACAGACTTATTCCGTTGTCGAAGTTATACAAGTAGGGTTTTGTTTGTTATCAATTCTAAAAAAACATCGGATTTTAAAACAAGGGCTAAAAATTCCTGTTTTGACTTTTATTCCCATTGCGTACATATATCGCTACGGTGGTATCTACACCAAAGTCATAAGATTTTAGGATAGTATTTCAAGACTGAACTACAGCTTGAGAAGGTGTGTGTCGATATTTGTGGCGTTTCGGAGGATTTATTGCTAATAAGAAGCGCTTGGAAAGTTTTCACATTCATTTTCCTTCAACCTATTTAATACAAAAAAATTAAATCGTACAGCTATTTTGAACAATACAGGCAAAAAAATTTGATTTAAAACAATTGTTTTAAAACAATTCTTTTTGAACAAATCCCTATATACAAGCGTACAATTTCATCTATCTCGGTTGGTTCCTATTAATAAATCAATTTTATTTCGGTCATTCTAGCTAGCATAAAACTAAACAGCAAAATATAGCTGAAAACGACGAACGAGCGTATGTGTAACTACAAATGCCGCAAAGTCGCTACGCCTATGATCTCATGTACCGCAGATAAAAGGGGATTTTCGGAGAAGCATCTCGTTCGAGCTGCGACTAAGTGGAATGAATATATGTTACAATCAGGTCAATCAATAAGATGATCGTTAATTTGATTGATTATTTCAGCGCATTAGGAATATACTCGTAAAATAAGATGCTAATCTATCCCTACACAGGATAGGATTTTCATATTTATAATATATAAGTGGGAAGAGTTAACCATGGGTCTATGGGAAGTCTCCCCTAGGTTGTCAGTCCATGTGGAGTATGGGAATTAGTTAACGTAGCAGCTATCTGCGTTAGGTCCGAATCCTGTAGGGAATGGTTATGCGCGATAGGATGACTGGGTCGCCGGGGGTAATTAACGCTGAGCCCGAGAGGGGAAAGATTTCACACTCTCGATGGGTACAACATCACTCTCATACGATGAACAATTGCTTTGGCTGGGAGATCCCTTCTGAATTTTGCTCGGAAACCCCACTGTTACCAAGTGATCGTTTTATTTTCCCACATGTTACTCTTGTTTTATTGGGATCAAAACTAGGAGTTCAGGTTTTCATTTAAGCTTTGTATACATAAGTACATTTCTTTTCCATATAAAATCTTTTGTTCTCATTATCAAAACTCCTTCAATTCGTAACAGGGCAGTGTTTTAGTGTTGATTTCTAAAACGGCTACAATGTGCAACGAAATTGGTTGAAAGGGGCCTTTTCTTCTTCCAAGTCCAAGCACATGACGCGAATGATTATTTACCCATTCTTCTACCCGGCATGTGTTGGTAACCGAGATGCCATGACTCGCCACATGGTTAATCTGTCTTACTGACTTTCGTCTTCCGGGATAAAAAATCGTATATAGCTACTTTCAGTATAACCTATAACAATAAACTTGAAAGCATAGTTAGGAATAGACACAGTTTATTTTTTTAAATCTCCGTTACACGTCACATTACGTTAAACGTTACTCTTAAAATAAAAAAATCCTGGAGTGCCAGCAAATCCCGATTCACTGAACATGTCGGAAAGGATCTTGTTTTATCCTTGTAATAGTTAAGAGAAAATCGCGTTGAACAGTATTTTAGAAAAATAACTTCATCGCTGGTTTTTAGAAATCTAGATAAAATTTCTGCGAGCATCGTAGTTGAAATATTGTTCACTTTTGTTTATGGCGGGTATGTGGTTACGTATCCAACCTCATTCAATATTCGTCATAAGCGAATAAAGAAAGCGATTTTTTTTAACCTATTCTCGTTTCAAAAAGTACATAAATATGCTGCTGAGATTGAGCGTCAATGCTTGTCACTCTTTATTGATGCAAGTAATTGAATACATTTGTATGGATATATTCTTTCTCGTGGGTAGTTGCGCTATCTGCAATTAAAATTTTTATTACTTTATCGTGAAAAATATATTAGCTAGAAAATCCGAAGATGCAATTGTAGATGAAACAATAGAGCTGATCCGGTATCTGGCCCTGAGTCATATATATACATAATTTTTTTTTTTTTGCAACAACACACAATGGGAAACAGGCCCACACACGATAATTATATTTAAAGTGAAATTATATTCAACCTCCGTATAAGAGATATTCATTCAGGTCGGGAGAAAGCTTACGTGCTCATTGCATTCGCGAAAAAATTAGATACGTTTTTGAAAAACAATATTTGTTTTTGACATAGCTTATTCTCGTAGTTACAGTGACTTTGATTAAAAATGACTTTGAATGAAGAAATACAGCAAATCGGCATAAGACATTTATTTTACCACAAAATTGCCACACCGCCGTGTTAACGCAAAATGGCGTCTGATTATAATAATATTTGGGCGACTATCCCGCGAGTGGGTGTTTTTTTCTAATTGGCCACTCCCGGACAGCAACATCTGCTTTCATACAATTACTCATCGGGTAATTCTGAAACCCTTCAATCTGAAACAATAAAAGCATGCGTGCACATTGTATAAAGTCGTATTGATATTGCTATTATCTCAATTTAAATTTAAGATCAAAGGCTCATTTGAAAACAGAATTATACTCTCCTTATTCATACTCTTATCAAATGATATCTTCCGCACACCTGCTCGATTGTTTGTAACTTTTTCAAAATGATTAAAGTTGAAAATATAAAGTTTTGCACATTAAATCATTACATATTTGGTTCTCCAACAAACAATGAAGAAATGGCGGGATTCGTACATCTCTATAATAGATTCGGATCACGAAGTAACTATAGATTATATATTAAACAAAAATATGTGCAATTTATCTAAAAACTGTAATACAATTGCATTGTGCCTGGATTTGACTCCTTAGTTTTTTTTTCTCACGACAATGTTCTGTTCACTTAGTAATTGTGAGTGGAATCAGGATAGAAAGTCGTTTTAGTGGGATAACGACGTACGTATTTCGGTTTATGTAATTTGATATCATGCTCCATTTAAACAACATAAAAGTACATATTAGAGTTCAATTCAATTCAGTAGATAACATCAAACTATTATTCGGGGAATGTAAACAAGGTTTTGGACAGGTGTTCAAAAACGGAATAATTTCGCGAAACAAACAATTTTCTCGGTCGCAGTATAAAATACCTTAATCTGCATTGTTGGTATATTTCATCGGGCATTGTTATCCCCTACCGAGTTTATTCTAGGAATTGTTTTTACTTGCTTTTTGTTATAATTTAAGTAGATAAACGGAAATCAATTTTCTTGACGAAAACGCTGTTTTGTGGTTTATATTATTTGAAATATGCACAGTTGTTAACGCATTTTCACCACGGCGGCGCGTGTACTATCCTTTTTAACTTCAGTGGACAGATGTGAGGTTCGTGCAAGAGAATATAATATGAACTCATTTGGTTGAACAATTTTATCAAATAGTAAGTTTTGACTTTCGAAGTAGCCGATTTATTTTAACATTAACATTTTTTCAAATAATGGAATTCATCATTTCATGGCTGGATTAAGTGCGACGAAAAATTCTTTCATCTCATTCCAAATGTCCAAGTATAGTGTGAAAAAAGACATTAATCGCAACGGTGCAGTGAGTGGTTAAAAATAGAGCCATACATTCGTATAGTAATAACTTTCCATAAAGTTCCATAAAAGTTGCTCATGGACTTACAAGTTTTAATACGCAATCAGGTAACCATCAATCATCTTTATGTGAGTTATTTCGTACTTCCAGCAGAGTTTAAACCGTGGTTAGCAGCTTAAGACGAGGAACGCGAACTGATTAGGTGTAAGACATCCCGCACTGAACGTCCGGCATGCGATGAAATATCGAACAAGTACGCGTAAGCGGGCGGGCGCTCCCATTTCGTTAGGACGTCTATTAAAAATGTATTTGGTCCATGGTTGGAGCGAAGTATAACGAAACACCAAAAGTTATTTCTCACGAAACGATGCCTTATCAAGAGTCACTCCTTTATAAATCGTTTCGCTGTGTTCCAGTGAAGTTGTCTGACCGTATGATCATAATAAAATGGATGACGTAAGGCCTATGACGTAAGGTTTGTCTAAATATGCCCAATCTAAAACCTTTGATGAAGTCTAGTGCATCAATGACGTCGCTTCATTCATACTTAAAAGGAAACCAAATCGCTTAATTGCGGTGTTTGCGAAATTAGTGAGCAGCTGCATGTTTATTCGTCAGAGCTCAGACAGACTTGTGAGAGAAAAATGAACGCTTATGTGGCCAATATCTCATTACCGCTTTAATTTAAGTGATCATCGCAGAAGTCAATGTTCAATAAAATAAAATCCTTTTACGCTGCAGCTGATTTTTTCATCTTAATCTGAGACACAAATGTTTGTAAAAACATCAGTTTGAAGCTCATAATGCTATACGTCATCGGTCATTCAGTGGATAATGGTATATGCACATTTAATGAAATACAAACCAATATATATACTTAAAAGAATATCGGTTCACTGCAGCCGTGATAAATCTTCTATACAAAGTACGGTCGGAATTTTTGATTGCCATCGAAACGATTTCACGGGATTGATATGCTCTGTACTGAAAGTGGTTGCGGTGAGTTGTTATGTATTCATGCCTCGACATTATCGCTGTCTCGGCTCTTTTATTATTTGTGGCAACATCGTGATCGAGGTTCTCTTGTCGACTCACGAAATGTTTATTTTCATGTTTATGCGATCGCTTTTGTATTCATCGTTTCCTATTGTTCACTTAGTTGCTGTTAATACGATTAATTTAATGAAAACAATAAAAGATGCTGGCTGATATCTTTTCTGTGACCTTCAAACGAGATTACAAGAAACTTCGGGTTAAGTGACAACTTTTAATCCGTTGATGTGTACAGTCTAAGAGAACAACCTAACCAATCAGAACACGTATTAAAACAATCAATAAAATAGCGTATCCCGCATCAAGTCTCGTATGCGATGTGGGTTTGGATACAAGTTTTCAATTTCTAAGAACGCCTCATTGAAATTACGAAAACTTAAAAAAAAATTATTTCCCAAAAGTTGAAATTCATGATTTTAAAACGAAACCATCGTATTGGCGCGTACTATTATATATTCAGTCCAATAATAATAAGCCTTTGAATAATTTTATAATAATTGATTTTTATACTTTAATTACACATTACTTGGGGCTGTCATTATTCGCTATACTAGTTTGGTTATTCGTTCAAATGGAAATTATAAAAAAAACATATAATTTACTTTTGAGATCGATGTAAAAATCTTTTTTTCTCGAAATACTGTTCGTATTACGTATCTGGTTTCGCGACGAATAAATTGTAATCTTGTGGATGACGAAAATCAAGAAAAAATGCTGTCCTAAGCTAAAGTGAAGAAAACAGGACAAAATATGAGACTCGCCACAACACGTCGGCGTTCGTCGGAAGGATGAGACTTTGAGATTTTAGATTCAGGAATTGTAACTTCACTACGATTGGATTTTACTTAATTTCATTTAGGTTTTTTACCTTTAACGTTAACATATGCAAAATAATAACTCAAATTTCCGAATATGAGTTAACAGAAATTTTAGTTCGTGATTTCGTAAATTCATCAATACGGGTAAACAGCGGATACAGCGTAACGTTGGGGGCGCTCCAGAAGTATGTGTATCGATATAGAGGTAACTAGATTTGTTCGCCTATTCAACATCCAAGTTGTGTAAAGGGACTGAAACATATGGGCATGGGGTATATATATTCACTTGGCTAACACAAACCGTCCCCGAACTCGTTATAGAACTAAAATAGGAAAAATCAGAATAAAATTGTGGCCTAACCCTAACCTGGTACACATACTACGGGGGCACCAAATTGGGGAAAATACAAGTTGAATGTTTTGGTATTTCATCCCGATTATTATTATTGAAATTGCGTGCGGTGGGTTGATTTAGAAAGGTTTTATTTTTGGTTTTAGTACTCCAGTCAGCCTTCTGAAACTTCCAACTTAATTTAAAAGTTCGGGAATTGAATTCATAAATCAAGCGCGCTCAATTACGCGTTCCATATTTGTTCACGTATTTCTTACGAAGTCGATATATATATATTAAATAATAAAATTTCGACTTTTTATTTTTAGTTAACTACGTAAAGTTTAAATATTTTCAACTGTTTGTATCTATTTTATACTTATCAAATCAAGTCTACTACGGTTTCAACCAAAATGCTGAAAGAAAATAAAGTACTGTCTATCAGTTTATTTGTGACATTATTAATCGGTAAGTCAATTTTATACATGCCATAGGCAGTATAAGATTTGGGAGTCAGGTACTTAGTATCCAATAAAAAGAGGTGCTGTGTTCAAAAAAGTACAAAAGGGCGATTTAGGCCACTAACGGTATTGTATATCATATATGTTGTCAAATATATGAATAAAAGGTTTTAAATTTCACGTATTGACGTAATTTCTATTTATAATTTATTAGGCAATGTCGACATTAAATTACATAGTCTGATAGAAAGGCAACTTGGGTGGGTTTAATACGCATTTATTACTACCAGATGTTTTGAAATTTATAGAGAGTAATCCATCGAATTATATAGATTAAGTGACAGAAATCGCCATAATTTTTCTTCAAATGAAATAAGTAAAATTGATATTCGATAGGTTTCTTTTGAACGATCGACTGTTATTAGAACTATACTACAAATCAAAATGGCGTCGTCCAACGGCGATGAACCAGTATGATGAAATACTCTAGCCATCATGTAAAAACAATTGACATTTAATGGCATACCTTCTACACTGCATGAATGCAAATATCACGGATTCTTATTCATATCTTATACTTCAATTATTATATTTTATAGCACAATGTTCGACCACGCAAATGAAACATCTGAATGCCAATTTCTTCTCTCAAAAATTAAGCCAAAATCTACAGATTCAATACAATGATCACATGACGCGATTGCGTCGATCAGCCAACGTTCAATCGTTGCCCACAACGGCAGGAATGAAATTCAAAGTCGGGGCATGCGCGATTGAAGATTTCTTAGAAAATGCTCAAAATTGTTCTCGAGTATTTTACTCTTCTGTAAGGAACAGTGAGTCATCTCGAACTGATTGTGGGTAGGTGCAAATACAGATTCAAAAGCTTTAATTTAGTTATATTTGGTTAACAATATTTCGATTGATATAGTTTGTATGAAAGGGACGGGCTATCCATAGCGAACTCACAATTCCAAGTTTCTGAAAATAGTTTAAACAAAACACCATTATAATTTAATCAAACATTTCTAAGAATAGGCAGGTGTTCAGAAATGTGAGACATGAAACTAGACTTTTGTAATACAATTTGTGGGAAACTTTTATTTGAGAACGAAATAATTGCTTCAGGCGTAAAATTGATACAGGAGCGGAAATTGGAACAAAACGAAATCTTAATATAGAACAAAATGACAAAATAGTGATAGGTAATTATTTTCCCATTAGACTTTCAATTTCATCAAAAGTATCAAACGACCAGTAAAATGAATACCACATCCAGCAAAGTACCGATTGCACTTAAACCATATTTATATAGTGGCGAGAAAACATGAAATTTGTCTTTTTTCATATGCCATTAACATTAACGTAAATTTGAGAAATTTACGAATCTACCTAATCTAATGAATCTGTTACTTTTAGAAAAGAATATACCAAATTGCGGAAATGTATGCTTGCTACTATAACCAATTGTATCAAAGATTCAAGACTGGCCACACGTCTTAACGAGGCAGACGAAAAGGAGATAACACGCAATTTTCTCGTCTTTTTAGGTAACGATGCATTGTTACGTTATTGAATGTGTTAATAATAAACAGCAAACAATAAATATGTCGATTACGTTTAGGTGATGAGAAATTTTGGTGCGATAAAGGAGGCTTGGGAATAGCAAGCGATTTTCTTCCTTCCGGGTCAATGTGCGACCCAGTCTTTTATCAAGTTAGCGAAGGATGTACGTCTACTTACAGCAGATTGTTTAATTCAACAGCCTCAGATCAAAAATTATGCAGGTAGAAAACTTAATCTTATGGCGTTGAAAATGTTCAAAGGCAACATGTCACACGATACTAGATAGAAATTTGCGCCAAGCAAGCATTGCTCGTTGGGTTATGTTTGTGAAACTGCATCCAACGAAAGCATACCATTTACATTGGAAAATTTGTATTAAACCGATACACGGTTTTAAAGAGAGACTTGGATCACTGGAAAATACAAACCCGATTCGTGGAAATTTTTTATTCATTGGTCAAGTTGAAGCACTATTATTTTCATAATATATAGGTTTATCTGAAGCATTAAATATTTGCAAAATACCATGTCTAATTCACATTTATTATCTATCAATATTTTTCAGAGAATACAAAAAAGCGAAGAAATGTTTTCTGCAGACAATATTTCAGCACTGTTCTTTCAGTAGAATGTTATTTCAAATGTTGGAGATCATGATTGAATTCACAGCTGACTTCCAGCCGTTTTGTAAGATAACACCCGAGGAAGAGCGATTAAAATTTGAAGATCTATTTTTGGAAAGTAAGCACACTATATGTAAAATCATAGAAATATTCTGATATTATTCCTGTAATATAATAGTGGGTTCAAAGCTATTTTGGTGAGAGATATCTCTATGTTATACAAATGAACCTTTTTTTAGAAACCTGCCCACCCCACTCTCTTGCCGATATAGCGTTTGCATTGGACGTTACGAACGGAACAACAAGAAGACAATTTATATCAATGAAACGTATGGTCGGAGGACTGATAAAAAGGTGGAAATAACGTTCGAATTCTACAAAGATTTAGATTGCGGTTTCAAATATTCAGCAACTTATTGTTTTTCAATTTTCTTTAGAATGAATTACGGTTGGAATGGAATTCACGCCTCAGTTTTTCAATTTGATCTCCAACTACGAACGGCAATAAAGTTTGGAAGGTATTTGCAAATGACTGAAAAATTCTTTTGAGGTTCAGATGGTCTGTTACCTACAATTTCAAAACGATTGAACAACGCAATGCTTATCCGACGAGAATCCCAGATGTTTGCACTAAAATATTTTGTCTTTTAATTTCCTTTCTATTTTTTTTGCGCCACGTCCCCCTAAAAAAAATTCCAGTTATATATTTTTTTCTATATCATCAACACTTGAATTCTTTTTGTTCTCTTAAAGTGATGCAAGTAAACAAACCTAGCAATTACATTAAATGAAAGGTATAATAATCGATTTTGAGATAAATTGTACGATTACATACAAACCCTGTTGTCTCCAACAAATGTAGTACTAAAGTTAAGTTTCAAATTAGTAAAAACAATTTTTCGAACCCATAAAATGAACCATAACAGTACGATTGTGTGATTATTTTCCACAATCGCTGAGATGACAGTATTGCATTTCAAAATGGCGCGTAACAAGAGTACTACAAGTGACTTATGACGCCAAAGAAAACCAAAACAAATGTTTCTTTCATAACGAAACAGGTCACCAACAAAGCTTCTCATTCAAAGAAAGATCCAGGCGATGCGCCGCACTTCAACTACGTCAAAAAATAAGATAAGGCGAATGACTGGGAGATCCTTGTCATCGCTAGCAAGAGGAACCTTTTCACCAAACAAGGATGGCGATGTTCTTTTGAAAAAAACCTGGAAGTCCGGACAAAGACCTCACAATACTGCTGTTGCATTTGTGTTAACAACGGGACCCAGTTCTGATTCTGTAATTCAAAGTTTACAATTACTGAAAGACAGGTAAATTATACAATATTAATGTACTTAAGTAAATGTAATATCTATTCATGCTGTAACATAATTTGTTTTCAGGAACGTACACGTAGTGTTTGTTGGACCCTCAGCGCTTGAAATTCCTTCTAGCAGTAAGAAGTTCAACACCGTACCGAACAGATTAATTAACACAGATTTCAAATTTAAACAAGTTAAAGCAACTGTAGAAGAAATGGTGGAAGAAGTTTGCATTGCTGACAGGTGATTGACAGACACGATATTATCAATTCAATCTAACTTATTCAAGTAATTCGATCTCATCGCTGTTTGAGTACTTGAAAAGATGATAAATTTATAACGCTCAACACAACGTAATAAGTGTGACGAAAATTAATATCAAACATTTATTAGCGAGATTCCAGGTGATGAAGATATTGTACTCGGATTGACACATTAACAACACTTTTTAGACAAAAACAACTTGAAGACGGGGCTATTCTTGCTGAAGGACAGGCCCAGAATTCAAGATGGAGCTCGATTCAAAGACTGCTGGAACGTTTCGGGGAATATGATCTTTCACTCCTTTTCGAATTGAATCCAATTGTGGCGCCCACGAGGACGACGACAGTAGTACCAATTGTCGATGTTTCTACCCCATTGACAGGAATCAACCCGTTCAACCCATCTGAAGGAGGAGGAATGGACGGCGACAATTATTGGGAAAATATTCCACACATTGCAGAAACCGGAAAACCGTTGCCGACCATTGATTACCCTGGAAAATGGCCTTTTGACTTGACCGGTAATTTTTTTTATACTTTGAGTCGTTTTGATTTTAGCATGTATATAATATCTATATTATCAGTATTTATAAATAGAATAATACGTATGCGATGATAGAATGCTCGTTTGTTGAGCTTACATGATCCTTTATTGATGCCAATCACATCGTCCGGAATTAGCTTTTATAAAGCCCTTCATCGTGATGAAACGATAAGTTTGCGATAAGAAAAAACAATGTGGATTTTTTGACAGTTGATTCATTGTTTAAAATCTCACAAAGCCCACAAAAAGATGAGTATCTATCAAGTGAGAGAATTAATAAGACCACTCTCTGTTTATTAGCATGCAGTTTTTTGTTTTTAAACAACTTTAAAATTTTAATATAAGAAAAACACAACGCATCAAAAAGATTTATGAATAGCATTAAGCCCAAAAACTAGTTTTGTGGGTTAAGTTTTATTTATTTTTTTATTATTTTTTCAGAACAAGATCTACTAAACTTCTACTAAATGGTGCAAGTTGCAAAAACGAGATGCCAACAAAGGTTGTAGATTACGATTCGCACCGCAAGTGGTTTTTCAGATCATCGTTTGTCTTCATATATTACAAACTTATATCAAGTGTTGCGAATTACGGCAAGTCTCATCGCTATGTCACAATTCTGACAATCGATAAACCACAAACACTCGTTATTAAAGTCGGTTAATTGTACTTCGGAAGGTTTTACAAATATTCACCGTATTATGTGTTAACACAAGACTGTTATTGTGTTCAAATACGTTTATATTTATTAGAAAGCCTATGAAAGACTTCCCATTCATAGTAAAAAGTCAACACCTATCGTATATATATATTTGTGGAATAAAAATTTGAATTTTCTCAAGCGCTTGTCAAGCCGATTATCGGGATTATTTTCAACCTAACCACAATGTTAAATTTTTGTTTGTTTATTTTCCTTGGAGTGTAATTTTGAATTTCATAATTAAAAGATGATGATAACAAATAGTTTCATGTTAATTGAAATACTGGCATAATTTTCTAACATGCATAAATATTTTTTTTTTAAATTCCCGTTCCCGCCTTTTGTAATATTTACTGTAAATAAGAAATAACTAATCGATGTAGTCTGAACTTCGGACTTGAAATCAAAGGACGATGAAATCAAAGATGGCTATGTAGTCGCTGTGGCCGGCCACGGAACATAGGTGTCGCCTTTCAACTTCACTCGCAGGCGTAGCGACCTAAATGAAATTGACACAATGTTTTTATCTGTTTTATTCAACCTCTGATTGATTAACATGTTTGAATTAAATTGGCTACGATGGTTCCAATACATTTGAACCCACGACAATTGCACATGCATACTATTGCACCTACGGATATTTGAACCCACACTAACCCTAACCCATGGATTTTAGCACCCGCATATAGATTGAACCCGCGGATGCAAATGTATGGGTTCAAATGTACGTGGGTTCAAATGTGCTGTTTGCACTAGAAGACCTAGATAGTTTTATTAAAGGTATTTTGTCTTTCGAAAATTTGTTCCATTTTACTTTTATGAAGTCAAATGCACTACTTTTTTTTTATGTACAATCGTAACATTAATTATTTTAAAACTTATTTCATTTCTAATTTTTATTACAATATCTCAATATTTTATTTCAAAATTGATATCATGAATACTCATACCTTACTTGCTTTATTATATGTATATATTAGTTACGCTATATATATATATATATAGTTAGCCGACGGAGAAAGTTGCGGGTTAGTGAACGCTTGGAAGCGCATTGCTAGTCGAATTATCAATATTGATCAGTGCTTATGTTAGAGTGTTTTATGTTCCTAGTTGGTTATACCGTTTTTAACGATATTGCCATAGGGCGTACGATGCCATTTTTCCTATATCATCATTATATACAGTTACATACTGGGCACGAAAGTGCAAAACAGAGTCTGTTATAATATATGTGAAATAAACACACCGGGGTAACATTTTGTCAGTTGAAACGCCCAAACGCGGGCCAATCATAAAAAATATTTTTTTTGCATTCGACAGAGAAAATTTAGACGAGTCACAAAGGTACCGGACCGAGTGTAACAGCAATATTCCATGAAAAGAATTATCACCGATTCGTTCAAGTGAAATATGCACCGACGGGAAACATATCGAGGAGCACGGCTAAGAGATCTAACTTTCATTAACGCTTTTTGAGTCACAGACGACCGACGTTATATTAGCTTCGGGGTCTTCAGAGATGACACCAGACTGAAAATATTTAGCTGCTTCGTTCAGACTTTCCCCGGACGATAAAATAGGGGTTATATTAGGGTTATTATAACTATTTATCGACTTTTTTTCATTGTTAGTAAAACTCTATATACGCAACGTTCTCTCGCTTGTTTTGCCGCATATTTTTATGATCTTTGGTTATATGAATATCTAAGTCATATCTTAATTTTATTTCCGTGAAGTCACGGTGGACCTTAGCGATGTTTGCTGGTCATAGAGTCAAAATCCCAAAATCAACTGACATTTACATATGAGAGTTTTTGATAGTTAAAATTTTGTTATCGGCAGTGGGAACTTAGTTTTTGAATGCAAATCTTCACCAAATCCGAGCCAGCTTTTCGATACAGCACCTAGAACGAACATCCTGGAAAAAACGTAGCTTCAGTTCAACACTACTAAAATTGAAAAATACTGGCGACCATAATAAAGTCGCTTTAAAATTTGAAAAAAATACCATTTTTTTGAATTATAAAGGACAACCTGACGAGTGAAAAAAGGGTTTCGTCTATTCATTGCGAGAATAAGCACAAGTGCCTCCCTCCCTAGTTCTCGCCGACTTGGGATACATAGGTTAGGTGCAGTTAAGCTTATGACTTGAGTTCAGCATAAATTTATTTAGTGCCATAACTAGCTATATATATTAGGGCTGGGAATTTCAGGGGAAACACTTTAACCGTTAACCGGGCAAAATTAACCTGTTTACAGCAGCGTGACGTTTGACGTAATAATTTTAGCTTGTTACGCCACAATGGTTACAAAGCAATATCGCGTATTTGTCTGTTTGAAGGTATTTGTCTGTTTTATGCACGCGATATCTCACGAAAGAGAGATTGAATCTGCTCCAGATTTTGCATGTGCATTCATCTCATTTCGGACCAAAAGCCTATTGATTTTGGGCAAATTCTGTCGTATAATTAGCGAGTTATTAATTAATTAGTGATGGGACACAAGGTGTCACTATGAAGTAAGAGCGTTGTTTTGGGGGATCCCTAACTTTCGATCGATAAGTCTTCGGTCTCTGACTGATATTCTCGTTTTCACATTTATTGGGTCCTTACTTATTAATACAGTTAGTGATATTCTCTTGAATTTAAACGCTACAGGAGATTAATTTGCGACGACGTGATCATTTTTTGAAAAAATTGTACATTATAAAGATGATTTGTACCGTAGATGTCAGTTAACGGTTGAAATAAATCGTAACCGTTAACCATCTAAAATTGGTTAACCGATTAACCATTCTCAGCACTACACTATTTTTATAACACTTATAATAATTACACTAGATAACTAACTTGGTATTTCACTAAAAATGAACTAAATTTACCCATTTCTTTGATAAGTATAGGTTCTTTTCTTGGACGGCAAGCTGAAGATATAATATATTAGTAACTGGAAATGAAATAGAGAACAATCAATTAAAAGATAGAAGTAGAGATATCTGGACAACTAGAAACCGAAAAGCAATAATAATAATAAATAACAAATCCGAACAAAGATACGGAAATTTTCGGGTACTCCCGAAGTATGTGAACCAACATGGCGGACACCAATAGTGTCAGTACGAGAGAAAATAGGAATCGCAGACAGGCCCACCCTCCAAATGTTCACGTGGAGAAACAAATTGGCACAACCATTATTGTCTAACATTATATTGGGCATTTTAATTGGTGGTATTATCATTGCCAAACTCAAGAAACGAGTAGTAAATGATATGCAAACATAAGATTATACTGACGAAAAAGCTAACAAAACCAAAATTTAGGATAGAAAGTTATGAATTTGAAATAGATTTCAACACAGATTCGTTTGTTAGATCCAGATTGGTACAGTAATCAATGTTCAGTAAATTAGTATATTGTAGTAGTCCAAAATCAATTGGAGGTTAAATTTTGTTTTTCTTTACTGAGACTTTCTAGATCTCTGTGAAGCATTTCATAATACTCGAAATCTTCATCCATGATTGTTAAAGCATCGAACGAAGGAGCGCTAGACAGAAATTGAGATATTTGGCTAATGCACGAAACTTCATTTTGTAATTCAGCTTTCTTTATCTGTTGGTTTTCCAGTTTGGATATAAGTATTGAAAGCTGTTTATCATTGTCAGATTTGATATTGCGCACAATTTCTAGTTCCGTCTGAATCCCACTCTCGCTACCATACATATCATAACATAATTTGAACTCATTTGCAAGTTTTCGACACTGTTCTTCCCATTCATATTGCCAGGCACGGTATTTCTTTCGTTCAGTTACCATTGCTTCCTCCATTTTCTCGAATCCCTTTTCCTTGAATTCACAGTTCTGTTGAACTGCTGCGGCCTCCTCACACAAACCATCAACCTTTCTCTGTGACAATTTCAACGTTTCCAGCATTGAAGAATGAATGTGTTCAACGTGACTGAGTTTTAAACTTTCTTGTTTTACTTTTGTTTGTAAATTATTTGCAACTTTTTTGTAATCCGAAAGCTGTTGAATTAATTCCTGCTGCTGTGACTTCAGTTGTCTTATTGACTCCAGAACGAGGTTTGCATTCATGCTTTCTAAGGAGGTACTCTCGCCGTCTTCGGCCATGTCAGTTTTATGTTGGACTGGAAAAAAGTCGCGTCTATGTTCCGAGCTATGTCACATTCACTTATGATGCTAAAGCACCATGTATATAACTGTAACCAGAAATACCGACTCAGGGCAGAAATATATACAACATCTAGTTAATACTATCGACCAGACTTGTAGATTGGATGCCATTTACGGTGCTCATGAACTCATGGCACAGACGCTTTCCTCAAAAAGCATAGTTTGTGATAGCGCGATTGTGACTTACAACATAAAAATAATGAACTAGACACTGGCAAGATACCGGTTACGAGAAAACAAACTCCAAAATAAACCAAACTTATCTCTTGAACAAGAATGAATGGCTAATCCGTAAAATAGAGTGCGATAGGATGGTCGGATTGGCATTACTGCATTGATTGGCTTATTTGCTGGCCGGCTTTGGCTTCTTCCAGCATACAAATCCATATATCTGGATCGATTTGCTGAGATACTACTAACATTCCCAATCTGGCCGAGATGTTCTGAGTTGCCATATAATTTTTTCAACTCATCGATATATGAAAATCTTATCTTAAAGTTTAACGGAATGCTCAATTTCTCCTGAAAATACCGGTACTCTCACGGGGAATATCGAAAGCAAAAGTCTACCGCGTCTCTC